GTTTCAGTCTCCGGCTCGATCTCATGAGGTGCATGCTGCGGAAGTGGACTGTTATACTCCCTTCATTTCGAAACGGACATTGGTTAATCCTCTCTCTCTATATTCCTGTCTATCACTTTAGTATGCAGGCTTAACTTTCTTAATTCTTAACTTGCCTTAGGGCGTTTTTCTACCAGAGGTGAAATCAAAGTGAATGTGGACGTTACTTATTCTAGGGTTGAACCGATGTTTCGGCAACCGCCGGTTTGGCACCATCGGCAGGTTTCCTATCTGCCGACGCCGATGTCCAAAAACAGTGTAGAACGAAGAAAATTAGGGCCGCCCTGATGCATCCATCGATGGATCGATGTCATCTTCGATGGTTGGTTGCATGTGTGATATGGTTGACGGATAGCATGGTTGGTTTCATTACTCTTTGCGAAGGTCACACCTTCCCCTTGTACATCGGATCACAAGCGTGAGATTATGGAAGCCGGATAGAGGTCCGCGCTCCGATCGCGGCGAGAAAATATGGAATCCTCCGCCCCCCCCTCCCCCCCCACCCCGATGCATCGATACACTATCGATAGTTTAGGCCGATGCATCGATGTTTTGAAAACTGCTATCGTGACAGCCCTAATAAAAACCCTATAACTTCATTTGAACATACACACATATATGATTCTCTTGCATTGCCTAATATTTGCACAGGAAAAAATCTTAATTCATTGAGGCTTTGTGACCATCCTACAGAGATGCAGGGAAGAGTATGAAAAGCCAGCAGAGCAACTCTTACTGCAAGTATTTCATTCAAGCCTTCTCTTAGTTCTGCTGTCTTCTTCCTTTGTGAGACTTCAATTTTGTTCTCTTTGTTTCATAAAAGTAAATGCCATGAAAAAAGGGATTTAAAGTACTCATCAAAGTTACAGTCAACATAGTAAATTATTCAGCATCTCTTGAGGTTTGGTAGACATTGAAAAGTGATTAGCCTCAAGGGAAGTTGTCATCTAGGCTATAAGAAACCCTAGCTTGAAATTTTTGTTATGGTGCTCTTCCTATCTAGATGTGGTTTTCTAAAATGTGGGCAAGTGAAATAATACATAAACTCTCAAACCTGGAGACTGTAATCCTGAAGGATCTTGACAAGTGCATCTCTTAACCCAGGAATCTTGAGACCCGATGGAATTTGTCGAAGAAGGAGCAATGGATCCACATGTGTACCAATGCTCCTTAACAGCTCTATGATGTAACCTGTTAAAAATGAAGGAAAAGTATTTTACCATCATGGTTTCACCTAGCATTTTCCTGCAACGTAATTGAAACACACGAGGTTCATGAAGGGAACGTTTAATGATGTCATTCCAGAGATCTTGATCATCACATTCTTTGCAGAAATCAATAGCCAATTTGATGTCCTGAATCTCCTCCACTAGCACTTTTAGAGCATCTCTCACATTCCCCATCCTTTCTGCAATCAAACATATAATCACCAGAGTATTGCATGAAAATATAGATGCTTCTCAAGAGGATGAACTATAAAAATTATAAAACAGATGAATCAGGGGACTGACTGAGAAGAAAGACCATTTCATGATGGAGTTTGTGTTGCCTGCAGAGCATGAAAGCCTCCTGGAGAGGATAGTGAGAACTATTCCTCAAGAGTGGAAGGAGTTTTGGCCGATCAAACATCACATAGAGGCGGACAAGCAGAGCGTGGTATTCTGTACTCAGACCTTTGGGGTCTTTCTTGTATAAAGCATCCAAATACTGGGAAGAGAATATAACAGAACCAAACATAAGGACTCTCATACAAGATCTGTTCACATGCTCCAGTGAATCCAAATGGTCACTTATGATTCCTTAACAGACAAATAAGAAAATGCAGGAACTGAGAGTTCTCATTTTCTAGTGGAGCAGAAAATATGCCTTGAACAACATGAAATCATGTTTTCTTAATCTATGTAGCAAGTGCCTCCTGCCTTGACCTGTATGTCTAATTACTTTGTGAGAAATGCAATTATCTATAAGACTAGGTCTACAAAATTAAGATTGACTTCAAAAGTAGAACACCTCAAAGGCATGGCATGCACAACTGCTCAAGGGCTGCTAAGGAGATTACTTCAGCCCATGTGTAAAATACACTACTGCCAGTAGACACAAAACTTATAATAGAAGTTGAAAACTTGAAAGAGAAAAAACATGTTGATGCCATGTCACTCTAGGGGTGGTCAAAAGCTGAGAATCAACCATATTTTGAGTGGATTTGTCCCTTATGCATTTTCTTGATTGGACCAATTTACTCTGAATGGGAAACACCAAGTGGGCCTATAACTTGATCAGAAGAATAAGTCTGAGAGAGTCACCAGATATAGGAAGTAGTTATTGAGTTGTAGCCTCTTAACAACAGTGTTGGGAGGGATAGTGTCCATGCTGGCGAGAAGAAGAGTGGTAGCACGACCAGAATCCAGAGTCATTAAGCCCTCTAATTTGTCTTCAATCACTCCCACCAGTCGATGCTTCTCAATCATTTCAAATACATCCTTGTGCTTCAATCTGTGGAGTGAACAAGCCCATCATCAATGTGCAAGCATACTGCCTGAGCTGCATACTGCATACTGTCCATATGTACATATATACAGGATCATAGATTAAGGGGAAAATATTAGTTTGTACCATTGATAGATATGCATTTTGACAATGTGTTTATGAAAATTAATGGAAGAACTAACTTCAGGTGTGAAGAACTAGGACTGTGTGACACTGAACAATAATTGAACAGGGTTACTGGATACTGAATTGGGAATATCATTAATACTTTTTATAATTTTTTCTCTCCCTCTTGATAAAACCAGCCAGACCAGCACTCATCTCTTATTCTCTCTCTCCTTCTACCCTCCCATTACATTATTTCAGACCCATTCTTGGGAGTGATGAAATGGGGGAGAAATGAGAGATTTTCAAGTTATAGAAGAATTTACGCATTTGGAGTTCATTATGAATGAATAAACTTCTAGCAGTAGACTCTAAAGCCCTTGTAAAAGCAAAACGTGCAGTGTCAGAGCTGATAAACAAACCTCTAATGTATTTTAAAAAATGTGACCAAAAAGAAATGATTCTTTGCCTAGTAAAATCCCTAGTAAAATGTTGGCTCATAAGAATTGGATTTAATTATACACAGTAAAGTAATATAGGGTTGTCCAAACAGTTACTGGTTTAAGTGAAGTATATAACCTTTATCAAAATATGAGCTATTTTTTTATTTAAAAGGAAAACTCATCAAATTTCTTGGAATAAGAAGACATGCTGAGTGCTGCACTTCATGTTCAATGCACTTCTGGAAGGTAGTAGGTTTTGATGAAGTGTGAAGTGTCTCAACTATAACCATAGGCAATATAGGGGTTCAAGCTGATGGCACTAGGCCTTCCTAACCTTAGCCTAGCTAATTGAATCATGCCAAGTCCTGAGCTCTGTTGGCTGCAAGTCATGACTTGATCAATTGACGAATCAAGCGTCATTACACATAAAGTGGCTAGTCTCATCATATGACGTTTTATGTGTGTGGGTCAGCTGATTTGGTGAAATGTCCTTTGGAAAGATGTTCTTTCTCTTGTCACTCAGTATATTACAATGTGGGTTATCTCAATTAAAACATCTGTCTGTGGGCCACCCTGCATAAAAGAATAAGAATGGTTTAGCCAGAGCAGGGAATATTAACATTAAGCTCCGACTTGAAAGAAGGAGAAACTGCATACCCAGAAAAGCTAAAAATAATAAAATGTAGATGAGAATCCACTTAAATTGAAACCCCTTTATCCTAAGCCAAAACAAAGGAAAAGGTCCTTATGGATGCAAACATGGGGAAATTTATGGGAAATGTTCTCAGAGAGTCAACCAAGTGTAATTATGAATGTGGTGGAAATGCAATAAGTCCTTGAATTGACCAGCACATCTTTCTAATCTGATTTTCCTTGTTCTTGAATTTACCAGGGGAGATTTTGAATTGAATTACCATGTCCATTTGAGCTTCCTATCAACACATTTGCCTTGAAAAACCTATCATAGTAGAAGCATGAGTAGTGCAGCCTTGAGGTTTCTACAGAAACAATCAGGTTAGTGGAGATGAGAGGGCAAACACAGTTTTTAATTTTTCTTATCTCTGTCAAGATCTTCTATGCCAAGTAAATCTGACTTGGATTTGAATTTTTGGGGAGTGCAAAACTGTGGGGTTAATACAATGCTCTTAAGATGAGGAAATATGGTAGACTAACTTGAGATACATGGCAAGGGCCTTGTCAAACTGCCTGGCATGGGAATAGAGTTGAGCCAGTGTCTGAAGGAGAACTTGGTTCTCTGGCTCTGACAGGAGGTGCTCCAACACTGCATTGATCATTCCAGTCCCCTCATACAGTGAAGGTGACCACTCCTTCACCAACTAGACCATCATTTTTTAAATTGTGATTAATAACATGACAAAGTTGCCAACACAAGATAATGTGCTGCAAAACCTAGAACAGTAGTTAGACATACTTTCATGAATGCACAACTGATAACAGTATAGGAATACAAAATATGAAGGAGCAAGAAAGGAGCCGTGGCTGTTAAAAGATTACTCTGTGGGAGCTTGTGAGAAGAGTGCTGCAAACCAGGGTTACACTTTAACAGATGACTTATTAAACCCCTTGGGGGTTGGGAAAGGAGAGAAAAAAAAGTTTTTCTTAGCTGAGACAGGGTTAAATACTTAAAAGCCAGTTTCATGAAGAGGTTGATGTCTGACCTTGAGAAGACCTTCTGGATTGGTCTTGAGAAACTCGAAGAGGACCATCTCATAGATTATGGAGGAGAGATGAAAGTCTCCACGTGGGAGATATGGTGCAACAACCTTTAGTTGCTTCAGATGTGCAAATTTGTACACTTCTTCCTCCCAAAGCCTCTGATCCTTTCCCAGCACCTTGGGGCAGAGAGCAGCAGCCTGCTCAAAGTGCCCATTTCGGAGCATATGGTCAAGGTAGGAGCGCCCAATGGCCACTGGTGTGTGATGCTTCAAAGCCTTCTCATTTCTCTCCACTTCAGCCATGGCTTCTTCAAACTTACTGCACAATCAAATGGCAGTTGAATTAGTTCTATAACCAGATTTTATCACTCAAATAAAAATACAATGAAGCAAAAGCTTGGGATTTCAACATCTTCTCACACATTAAATTTTTCTTATCAGAACTTTGGAGGGCATTAAATAACAGTTCAGTTCTTGTTACATTTCAAAATAGGCATAACACACTTGCAAGTTGTTTTTGCAGGAGTTTTCTTAACCCTAGTACTGCCAACCATAGATAAAATTGACCTTGGTAGGCTGCCATGCTGCTTCTGGCAGTCCCAGGGTTAATGTGCAGTTTTAAGAGAAAGATATGAATGAAATCTGACTTTCAATTGCACTATGGTCTAACAATCAGGTGCTATTATCAACTCTTGAGGCATAGCCATTGGACAACAGGATAGTGTGTACAATTTTAACAATCCTGCTGGTCAGGACAGCACAAACAGTAAGTTCTCAGTACTTGAACCACTGAACTGATGTTTTTCTCCAACAAGTATGAGTGAATACTGCTAGTTTAGGGCTAGACTAACACATATTGCATTTTTAAAAATATCTTCATCATTTAGATGCAGTTCTACAGCACCTGACTTCAGTGCACAGACCCACCATGACAGATTTGTAAATATTTTTTCACAGTCAGAATAAGGACATTGTGACTGTATGGTATGCAATTTTCAAGTGCAATCCTATTGGAACACATAATCACATTTTGTTCCCAATAAGGAGTCATCATGTTCCAATAATGTCAAATTGATATCCATTGAATTTGATAAAGTCCAGTATAAAAGCAGTTCATCATTGAGTTAATCATTCTAGAACAAGCATAGATGTCATCTCTAACAAGTTCTCTTACATTAGCAGATATATCAAGTGGCCCAAAAAAAAGTGTTCTGTTTGACACTTTATAAAACCTACTGTGGATAATCTAGGTTCATGATATTTTTGTATCACATTGGAAATGCCACAAATTTGTTTTTTGAAAGTTTCATGTACCTAGGTTGTTGAAATAAAAATTGACAGTCATTCAAAGTGGAGTCATAAAAATGTACCTTTTCCATGCATGAGGAGGATGGAGTTTCAGCACTGCTTGAATGATTTCTCTCACTTGACACCATAAAGACTGCTTTTTACACCATGTCCTTGTCACAGTATTCTACACATCGTAGAATAGTACTTCTATTGTACATCATAGCATTAGAATATTACAATGAGAACTGGCATAAAAAGATACATTTATGGTTTCAAGGGAGAGAAATAATTTGAACAGTGCTGAAACTCCATCCACCTCATGTGTGGAAAAGGTACATTTCATGACTCCACTTTGATCAACTGTCAATTTTTATTCCAACAACCTAGATAAATGAAACTTTCAGAAAACAAATTTTGTGGTGTTTCCAATGTGATATGAATACATCATGAATCTAGATCATCCGTAAAACAGGACACTTTTTTTTTTGCACCACCCAACATATAGGGTGATTTTAAAAAAACACTACCATTTTCTGTGGGAGAAACACAGTTTCATAAATGGAAAAAAAATTATTAATTGGTTATGTGATTGACATGGAATGGTTACAATGCATTGAGATGTGTGTCAGCTTTTTTTCAGCACCCCTTCTTAAGTTGTGTAATGCCCATTTAGAGGTGAATCAAAGTTGCTTAGAGGTGGATCATGCCACCTCCAAGAGGGGTAATCTGTGTTCAACCATCTTAAAATTTTGTGAAATTTTGGCAAATGGTTGGATCATTTTGGGAATTGTCCACAGGCAAAAAACTTATGTCTGTACTTTGAGCAGAGGCTGAGAAAAGTGAGTTTTCATTTGATCATGGGGACACAAAATGGCCCCAACCCTCAGATGTTAAATTCTTGACCACACAGTCTTATAATGTCATCACCCTATTTTGATTGGCCATAACTTTACAAGGGATGGTTGGATGCAGCTGATGCTTGACAGAGAAATTCGTGAGCCTAAGAGGCTTTTTAAAATCTGCTAGATGGCATTGTATGTCAATAGAGGGTGTTTTTGTTGACTGGAGGGCCCGCTATCTTCATGCTACACCACTTTTTAGAGTAAAAAAAAACCTGTAAGGTTTTTTTTTAGCCTTTGAATGCTACATGAGCCTCTCTGTCAAATATCAGTTTTATCTGAGAGCCCTTTCAAAAGATTTGATCTTGAAAGCAATTTAAAATATATTAATTTAGTCAAAAATGGCTTAAGGCCAAAACTGAGGAAACTACTCAAATTGAAATTTGAGATGATGGAGCATAAACCATTACTGCATTTGAGGTATAATGATCCACCTGTAAACTTTGTAATGGGACAATGCATAGCTCAATGAATTGTTCTGAGGAAAACCCAATCTTCTCAACATCTTGTATATGTCCAATATTAAAGGTTTGTGAATCTTATTATTTTTGCTCAAATATACAAACCAAGGGCAACAGAAAATATTTTCTGCTGCCCTTGGGTAGTTTCAGGCAATTTTGGCACCAAATAATTTCTTTTACTCTATCTGTGCACCTTGGTAGGGGGCAGTTTACTGCCCAGCCAGGTAATTGCCTATTCAGCCAATATCTTTCTTTAATATTAAGTTCATTGATATACAGGGTGTCCTAAAAGCCACTTTACCGAGATGGTGAAGTGTTTAACTGTGATTATTTTCACTTGCATTCAGATTTTTATTTGCAGGAGGTGTGAAATGTGCATTGAACATGGACAACAATTTGAAAATTTTCTGTAGTTCCTCATTGTCACTTTCTGCTGGTGATTGGTTGTAAATAAAGTAGTTTTTCCCAGGAACATGAGTATAATCTCAGTAAAGTGACATTTAGGACACCCTGTATATATACAGGGTGTCCCACTTATCGCGGACGATTTTAATCACGTATGAAATTCTTTCTACTTGAGCAAGCTAAACAAAATTTTCCCAACATTTAGACAACTGTTTAGCATTTATTGTGACAAAGTTTCAGCGAAATTATATGCACCAATTACAAGCTATGAACGTCAATGTGGCCCCCATCGATTTCAAGGACTTTTTCTAATCATTTGTGGTATTCAAGCAGCGTTTTCTCATACATTTCAACAGTAACGTCTGCAAACGCAGCAGTAATTCGTTCCTTCAGTTTGGTGATGTCCCTTGGTTTGGTCAACTTGACAAAGCCCTACATGAAGAAGTTGCACAGCATCAAATCTGGTGAACAGTGGGGCATTGCCAGCAATCCGCGATCCATCCATCGATTTGGAAACTTATTTTTTTCAGCCAGGCACGAACTTCTTTGCCAAAATGAGTTTGGGGCGGGCTGGACTTGCCGCCGTGTGACTTCTTCATGTAGGGCTTTGTCAAGTTGACCAAACCAAGGGACATCACCAAACTGAAGGAACAAATTACTGCTGTGTTTGCAGACATTACAGTTGAAATCCGCAGGAAAACGCTGCTTGAATACCACAAATGATTAGAAAAAGTCCTTGAAATCGATGGGGGCCACGTTGAAGTTCATAGCTCATAATTGGTGCATTTGATTTGACTGAAACTTTGTCACAACAAATGCTAACCAGTTGTTTAAATGTTGTGAAAATTTTTGTTCAGTTAGCTCAAATAGGAAGAACTTTATACGCTATTAAAATCATCCATGATAAGTGGGACACCCTGTATATATAAATATAAATGCTATAACCCACCACTGTTCAAGCAGCCAGTCGATGTGATCATCAGTGTCCCTTAGCTTTCCGATAACAACATCCTTGGGACTCACTATGAAGTACAGACCCTCTTCTGGAAGACAATCTGAAGAAAATGACAATAGGTGACTAAGACTAATTACATCTACAAAATCTTCAAAATGAGCCTAGTGCACTCTCCCCTAAAAACACATGGCACACATAACATCCAAAAAGCATACATCCAGCATAAAGAGCATACAGAGATGGAGACATCCAACACCAAGCTAGATGTTCTCTCTGTCAATATGGCTAAACTTATTGCAAAATTGTTTTGACACCTTTCCCAGCCCATGGACACTTGGATAAGGTTGCTCTTAAGTTTTAGAGCTTGTCTTCAATGTCATCAAATCAGAACTCCATTATTGGAGCTCTTCAGTGCTAGGATGCATGAGACCAAAATCAAAATATTCAAGCAAACACCTTGTTTCATTAGGTTGTAGTCTTTCAGATTTCATCTGGTAAATGTACCTAACATGAGTCACAAGGACACTTTGCTTTAGATTCACATCAATGAGATGTAGGGTTTTGGCTGCATGATATAATGGCAGTTATGCCATCTGAATGCAAAAACTGAAATATTCTAATGAGTGTCTTCTTGGAAACAAGTAAAGTGGTTTGTACTGTAGAACACTTTCTCCCTTACACATATCACAAATACTACCATCTTAAATGAAAGGGAAAAGAATGTTAAGTGCATAAAATCAACTATACTTTTTTTGGACTTTTTTTTGCAGAAGACCACTTTTCCTTTCAGCCCTCCATTCAGTGGAATGATGTATCCATTAATGCAGTACTTTAGTCCAATTCAATTACAGGAGAATTTGCAGCAACTGACCTAGATAGTAATCATTGCACTTGTTCTCCTCACAGTTCCGGATAGGGAGGGTGTCAACAGACTCCTCTATATAGTCTTCAACATGAGGATCAAGTATTCGAAGTTGTGGCTGCTGCCCCTTTTGAGGAAGGATCTCAAAGGCTTCACTGTCAAGTCTTGCTTCCTGTTTGTCCATTGTAAGGACTACCACCTGTCCCTCAAGTGAAGAAATCCCACAGATAAAGAAGTCTGTGGTAAGCTGTGAGATGATCTCAACGTAGAAGCGAGGGAGGTCCAGACGAGCCAAGTCCTCATCTCCAGCCCGCTTCCGCACAATGCAAACCTTGATTGTGTCTGCCCATCCAATGAAAAGTGATCGATCATCCCGCCAGTGCAGGTAACAACGGAGGAGTTCTGGCCGGAACCTGTATCCATGCAGAGGTGAAATTTGCATTTCTAATTCTTGTTTGATAACATTTGATGCATTGTAGAATTCTCTAAATGAATAAAAGATTCTCAAAGGTTAGTACTTAATTTGTGTAGGTCATTGGATCAAAAGTGTTTGTCATTAAATTTTATTTATATTTATTGCTTACATTTTATTAATTTTTTTTGCACAACACCAGTCTATTTCATACATGGATCAAAGCACTTTTTCAGTACTTAGTTTTTTAATAAAATTTAAAACACATTTAATCCTAATATATACTTGTCTCAATGGTTTGGGCATGTACTTAGAATGGCATCAGAATGCCTTGTCCAATAGATTTTGCTCTACAACCCAAGTGGCTGCAGACCACAAAGAACGCTAGAATGTCCTGGATCAAAAAAATTAAAGAGTTTTGTGGTTGTCTCTCTATGAATATGGCAGAAGCACCTATTGAAGCAGTAGTCCAGGAAAGATGGAAAGAACTGGTGACTCATCTGCCCCATGACCCAAAAGAAAAAGGGATCTTGAAAATGGATGATCCAATGGATCCAAAAGCAAATCCCAACAACAAAAATATATTTTACTACCCCATGAAGGAGGGTCCAATTGGATATTCACTAAGCCCAGGTGCTATACTGTAGTACTAAAACCAAATAATAAATAATAATAATAAATAAATATTAATTAACTTCAACACCTAAACTAACAACAATATTCACTACTACTTATGGATCATAAATAGCTCATCTGTAGCAAAACTCAAATGCTGGAAACTGCATAATCACAGCAGCAGCCATGATGAAATGGTGACCTTGAAGGAAGCAGGTACTAGCTAAGTTTTTCCCAACAGGTTAAAATTCAGGTACATAGTTTACCCAACATGACCATGCCATAAAATAGTTAAATGTATATTAAAGTGGATCTGATTAGGACAAGTATAAGCAAAAGGGTAAAGAAACAGGATGATTATTAAATCATTTACATACCTATGTCATGTATTTTTCACATACTTTGCTCTGTTACTGCTGCAATTAGTACATTTTGGTAGTATTGTTCCACCAATGTCCTTGCTCCATCAAGGTTAGCATGACAGCTGCGACTTTGAATTATTCTCATAGAATTATTGTTTTTTGTATCACCCAGGTTCTGTGTTTCAATCAGGTGCCCCTTCAGTCACAAGGGCCATCAATGATTATCAACTTTCCACCATCCCTTGTGCTATCCAGCAAGTTTTATCATCACACATTAATTTCTCTTCCTGGTACAATCACTTAAAAGGCCAGAAGTTACATCATAACCTTGTGCTATATGCCTCGTACTACTGAAAATGCAAAATTAACCTTTTGGCATTCATGTATTTTGAATATGTTGGCACTGCCAATCTGAGTGTTATTATAAAAAATTCCTTGGGATTAAACCAACACCAAAAAACTTGAGCATGGAAGCCAATGATAGTTAGTGTCCATTGATAGTGTCTAATTTTCTCAATTTCTGGCATACATGTACCTTGGGAAGTTTGCCATTTCATTCTTTTCATATTTCCCCCATTACATAACAATAATAATATGGATGAGACCTATCAAGCATAATTGAAATAATTGTGAAATAGTGAAATATACGGCATTCAATATCAGCTTTATGCTTGACACAACCTTCTAAAAAATGCTTAGAGCATAATCATGCTCCATGACCAGGGATGAAACCATCATGTGAACCATGTCTTTCCCAGATGAGGTTTGCATGAGAAATCATTCACAAAAACATTTACCTATCTTCTGTCACAGCTCCACGTAATTATGAGATAAGAAGGCACTCTGCCGCAGGATGATCTCTTCATAAATACCCTGCAAAAGAGGAAAGGTGTGAGGAAACAAAAAATGTAAAGAGGATTTCCTTCTCTCTCTTCTTCCTTCCTCCAATTGGCCCTTTGGCATCCTCAATTTTTCTCCATTTTTCCTTGTGCCTTTTTAACACATTCACGCCCAGCGACTCCAGAACACTATGGGTTTAAAAACGTAATATTATGGTTCCCGGCGTCAATGGATTAAGAGAAGATGCAACTGCAAGTCCAGTTTGTGCCAATTGGTTCAATCATAATGAAACTTCAAAAACTTGTTGAGGTTCAAGCTGAGAAAAAAGTGAACTTTCACTTTAAATGCAAGGCATTTTGCATCTTGTATTTAAAAAACATTAAAACAATTTTACTTTCTACCCAGTGCTTCAGATGTAATATATGGTAAAAGGGGTGGTTTTTGCGCACTATCCTTGTATTTTGAACTTTCGTGTCCCATGACGATTTTATCCTCAGTCAAAGACCTTATTTTGTAGGGTGCCAAATTGGCTATCAATTCACCATAAATTTAACACCACTACAGTAACATTCAGACAAGGAGACAACCGAGATTTAGGTTTGGCAGCGAAGGGCTGATTTTGTGGTTGCCTCAGTGATAATTGCACGAGACAAATGCTATTTTCATGTATTATGCTTTGAAATGACCTGGCTTGTTCATTACATCCATGAACTCCTGGAAGTACGGTAGAATGATAGTTTTCATTATTTTGAGATTGTATCCCTCCATGATCATAATAGTTATGCATGAAAATGAGTGCATAGTTAGCAATGGTGAATTAAATGAAAAACATCTGGAGTGCGGAAGCCCTAATTTTGTTACAATTTTCGCACTTTTTGTGATGAAAATGTCAAAAGCAAATGTCACTAGCACTAGTTGACTTCGAGCTGCATAACAAGATTAAATCACAAAGGAGAGTGATATAAGGAAAGAAAGGTAAATTCTCATAATAAGAACTGAAAAATCATCATTCCTCTTTAAACTCAGACCACAGCTTTCTCAAAATGGTTCCTATTGTGATAATGTGCATACATAGCAGAACTGAAAAAGGAATATTGTTGTGCCACAATGGGAGAAAGAAAGTTATTGATTAAAAATGCCAAACTTCCTTCTCTGTCAAAAAAAAAGAGAAAAAAAAAGAGAATTCAGAAAATAGCAATTGCTTCTCAGGTGGAAAACACCACTAAGTTCCAGGAAGAAAAACGTTTGAAGCTGAAGAAGTGATCACCCGCTATTGGCCCTTATGACTGTCGCATGCAAAATAACAAATGTTGATCTAATCTTCAGTGAGTCCAGACTTTCTGAAGCCTAAATTTTCCAGATGATCTTGTTCCTGGACTTCCCTCCAAAAACCCTTAAAAAAAACCTTCAGAAAACTTGTTTTGGCAAAGTCAACCTGAGGGTGCTTTTCATGCAGCTGGAGGATATGGCTTGCATGAGCAAAGTGTACAATTTAGTATCTTCATTATTGCATAGTTTCTGCAGCTCAATGGTAGTGCGGGTCCAGTGTCCATCCTGATATACAAAGACAGGCTTTTTCAGACACTTTTGTTCCACATGTGGAATGAAAACGTCTCTCGTGTATTGGAAAAAAGCACGTCCTATCATCCATCCAGACAATGAACGTTTGATGCAAAACTCCTCCTTTTCAAAATCCAGCCTCTCCTAGCATTTGTAATGTGGTAAACTTCGAGCTTTTACCATTATAATTGGTAGGAGAATGTATCCATCTGTGCAAGCACCAATAAGCACTGTAATGGTGCTTTTACCATCAGAAACTTTCCTTTGGACTGTTTTTTTTTATCCCTTTTCTGCAAAAACTTTGGACAGACAACTGCTGCCTTGTAGCCCAAACCCTGTTTGTCAAAGTTGAAGACACGTGATGTCTCCTCATCAGTAAGAAGATTAAGGGCATCTTAAATCAACCAGCCATTTTCTGACATCCTGCTCCGATGCATAAGCCTGCATATGCATAATCTCTGAACCTTTTGAGGGATACATTTGAACGACGACTGAGGAATCGTGAGATACAGTCCAATCCATCCTTCATGTCTTTGAAAGAAACTCTCGTTTCCATGAGGGTATTTTGCTTGGAGGTACTTATGTACCCTCTTTTGAAGCATTTTCCTGTCAATAGAGAAGTTTTCTCTCTGCTTTGGATATATGTATTCTGTGATTCTATTCTCAAGATCCTTTCCCAGCCATAGCTCTGGACTGAAAGGAGTTACGTCTGGATCAACATGGCCTGAGAGGTGGTCTCTAAGCATAGATTCCAGAACACTATGTCTCAGCTGCATCCCTCTGCGTGATCCCTGAAACTGCTGCTTCAATTGCATGTTGCATGTCTTCCAAAGGAAGGAATGTTTGGTACAATCCACGAGGACGCCATTCCACCTTCTTCCTATCTCCATTTTTACCCTTTCAGACTTATGGTCTCCTCTTGGCATTGTTTTGCCTTGAGATAGTTTCTCTGCCCCCTTTCCTCTGTTCTTTGAAGCGCTTCTGTCGCCTTTGCTTCTTTATTCTTGCCAGTTAAACTACTATGGGCTGGGCAATCTTTACTTTTGCCATTTATCAATGGGTTAATGTATATTACTACTAGCAACGTCAAAGAAAATTCTGTTGAGAACAGTTCTCTCATAAGAAGAATTACATTACTGCACAAAAACGTACAATTATATTTTTCCCTCAAGATTACTTAGGAATATAACTTTTATTGTGGTTGGGTAGCCATTCTTTCCATAAATGAGCTGTACATTTGAGAGGAAATAAAGAAAATGAATATTTTTCAGATATGTAACAAAAAATGCTTAAATTTTGTTCATTTTGTCTCCTCTATTTGCAAATAATGATATATTTATTGTGCTGTAACACAAATTAAATATAGTATTCTTCAAGAGTGCAAAATCCCCATATATGAACATTTGGTTTTTGCGCATGGTCGCGAAAATAGCAATGAAATAAGTGTTCGTTTAGTTTATTTTGAAGTCATGTTCTCCTTAAACATTATCCTATGAGGGCACTTCTCTATCCCTTTGAGAAAAATACATGCCAGGTTTCAAAGCGATCTCAATTTTCCTGCAAAACAGGTCATATCTTAAGGAACAGAAGTAGCCTGTCGTGCCCACAGCCCTGCCTATGACAGGCATGAGCGTAAGCAGGTGGACATTTCATGTGCACATACTTGGAATCTCCTGTGTCCACATTGGATATAGTCTTGTCGTCAGCTGTAGGCCTCTCATTGAGGGATGTGCGAGAAATGAGCATTACGCGAAATCCCCCTCATTGCGCGAAAACTACCCATTTTACCATACATTCCCCAGAAACATCAAAGCAGCAAGGGCAAGGAAAGGAGAAGGTGTTCATCCAAAAAAATCCCAAGCTCCAAGGCTGTGTGACCCTTTTTTGTTCTTATCACACACATTCTTCTCTCCCATATCATTCTTGCTCTTGCTAGGATATGAATTCAGTTAGAAAAAGAGGGCCATGTGTAGCTCTGTCTTGTATGGGGCTCAGAATTTCAGATTTTCTCTTTCCCAGCCATGGATTTCCCAGTGCTCATGTATTTCTTTTGGGAATGGTATACTTAGAGCCATGAATTTCACCCATCTCTGATTACAATGAATGCCAACAAAAGAGGCTAAGTAAGTGAGATCAAATAATGCACATTTGTTGTGCCATGTGACCTGGAACAAGTTATGGATAGGACATTGAAGCTATAAAAACTGGGCCCAGTATGAGCATCATGAAAAAATTTAATTCAATGCTTTTAGATGGTACTATATGGTGTTTGGTGTCTCCATCTAAGTACCCTTTATGGTATAATTAGTTGGAAAAGTAGACTACTCTACAGTAGTTCTTTTTAATGGAAAAACATGCAGAGCTCTTGAATGACTTAATCATGTCATATACAACAGCATAATAATGAAGTTCATTCACTTCATGCATATCTAGCCTTTTCACTTTCTTCCTTCTCCCAACCTTTTTTTTTTTGACTTTCTACAGGGTTTCTGGGTCTCATGATACATGTGCTTGCATTTATCTCTCTTTCTATAGACTCTTTCAATAGGCTTTCTCTGCATAAAAAAGCATGAACTAGCAAATTATTGACTAACTTCAGAAATTAAAGTTCACCACTTCTATAACTCAAACTCTCAAACTATATCTTCACAAGCTTGAATTCACCAGTTTGATGGGCCCACATTATGCAATCATTCACTCAAGTGAGCAAGCATTGCCTTTAAAAGGGAAAGTTATGACTGTCTGATAGAGTTTACACAGTCCAATATGAGGGTGGTTGCAATCAGTGAAATATTTAAAAAATTTTATTCAATCCATTAAAATTGTCCACTTGCCATGAATTGTTCCTAACTATCAATTAGGTCAAAAGACAATAAGCAATGAACTTCAATACATTTATATCTGCCACAATTGATACTAGTTGAACAATAGTTATAAATGAAGAAAATTTCCATGAAAGCTTAGGTCCACCAGCATCAAATGGGATAACTTTTTCAGTTCCTACCATTACAGATGGAACAGTCCTATCATATTTAAATGAAATCAGTGGATACCTGCTTCCATGTAGTTAACACTCTTACTCAAGCAGTCATCTGTACACCACAGCAATAAAATTACACTTAGATTGCTTAGACTGGTTAGACATCTAACCTAAGGAAACTTCCCCGTGCACATAAAGAAAGAAATAAAATTATATTTTTGTGTTGAATGGCAAACATCTTTGAAAGCATTTTCAGTAAATTAACACCATTAATATTTGAACACTGCCTCTCAGTTGCAACAAAGCCCTGAATCAGGACTCGGACTCATTTTTCACTCATAAAATCAGTCAGTTTGCAAGTGATTTGTATATGCAAATAATACAAACAAGCTATGGCTGAGGCTTCAGCAATCTATAACAAACATTGATACTTCAACAATGAATATGGAATACCTAAGTAAAAAAAAAATCAATTGAAACATTACATCAACATTACACCTACATCACCATTACTTACCTATCACTGTGATCTTTCTTGATGAGGGAAATGGTACGCCTTTCATTCATGTCAAACACCCTTACCCCCTGTCACCAAAGAAATCACAGGTCATTCTGATAAGAAACAAAGATGACAGATTGAACATTGAACATGAAAGAAAGCTCCTGCTCACTGCATCTGTGCTCCAGGCCACAAACTGGCCCCTCCATCGAATGGTGCGAATCACCCCTTCCCCACCATGAAGTATAGTCTGCTTCTGCTTCAGGAAAGTCTTTTCGTGGAGAATTAACCTTTCATCCCCTGCATCAAAAGAGATACTCACAGCTAACATGTGAGTAGGAACACTGACTAGATGTAAACTCTGAGGGCACCAGTTTTTCTAGGCCTTATTTGGCATTACTCCAGTTTGATCCAAGCAAGATAGCAGATGCTTCAAAAAGAAATTGAGGCCTATAGGAAAAAACATGCTGAGATGAAGAAAAAAAAGAAAATAAAATGAATGAAAATCCTGTTAAGCACAGCATCAAAGTACTATTGCTTTTCAAGGTGTCAAGAGAACAATGGACAAATCACTTTATCAATCAATAAAGGTTATCAGGAGGCGTGAACTTGAAAAACTGAATATTTCTACCAAAAATATTATATGAATGTATGAGGGCAGATTCTAATTTGTATGACACTGGCATCAAGAATGAGTGAGTTTGGCTGAAGGTAACAGGAGACTGAAATAACTGGATATTGGAAACATGAAATGATGCTCATCCATATCATGGGTAAAAAATACAGATTCATTTTCAATGAAATGGCAATAAAATTTCATGCTAGACTCCATAAAAAGACATAAACATGGAAGACTACTACTGCAGAGCCCCAGAGGGACATACATTTTTCTTAGAACGCATGAAAGATGTACCTAAGCAGATAAGTACTCTAAATGTGGTTCAGGAAAGGCAAAAAGATGCTAGGCAGATGCAGGTATGTATGGATTCATGATTCACAATAGAGTTTAACATAAAACTCTGCACAGTGAGAGTTAATCCTTTAACTCTAGTATTGCAGGTCCTGGAATATTACAGGTACCAGACTGATGATGTCATAGTCAATGCAGCAGGAGTAGGGTCAAGGAGTTGGATAGCCACCTGGTATATCTGTGGCAGACATCCAGCAAGGCAAGAGGTACACATTTGAAGTTTAAGAAGCACAAATGTCAAGTGTACCCCCAATGTACCTCCAGAAATTGCATTCCTACATTATCAGTTAAAATGAATCACATTTGGAATTCCAGTAATTCCTTGGGTAGCTCCTGAGACAGATCAAACTGACTTGAGCACCAGATTAACCATTTATTTTCAACATAGATATTGCTAAATCCCCTCAATTAAGTCTCCATTACTTAGGATATTATGGTCATAAACAACACTTGCTTGGATTTCCTTTATTTTCTTAACCCTTTGAACACACCAGAAAATGAAACCAAGTGACTGACTTACACTGACTTTTCTGAAGAAATTCATTATTTATTTTACATGCCTTATTTGAGGGATCAAAACAGTCAGTCTATGCTCCTGTGGCACCTGATCATAGGTATTCTCCATTATTTCAGATATATCAGCTTCGAGATCATACTTACACTTGATGACTTGGGAAACTCATGAACAAGGTGCAAATTTTTTTTTTCCAGTCATTTCCAAGCCCCAGAATCATCCTCTCTTTTCTTTGCTGCTGCATCATCACCCCTGTAATTGTTGTCACCAGAGTCACCAGAATTATTTTATGAATGTCTGCTAACATCTTCTTTAGAAGAGTCACATTCCATACTGGGAGACTTATTCATTACTCGACTCATGTTTGAAGCCAGAATCACTTTCATATGATAAATTATCTACCAAACTTTCGTCAACACCATGTTTTCTTGTCCTGCTCAAGGCCATGACTGTTTACAGGGAGAGCATAGCTGGGAGGTTAATTTTCTACTGCAACAGGTGAGCTTTAACTGGAAGACTGCACTGGTACAACATCTGCCGAATATCAGAGAAATGATCAGCTGTCATGTAGATGTCATGCAGTGGAGTGGTTGCAGCAGGAAAATTAAAAACTTCACATGATGCACCTGTGTGTATCAGGGATGGACTTGGCCAATGATGCATACAGGTGCCTTGTGTGTGTTCAAGGGGTTAAATTCTATAAAGCAGGTCCATTCTGTCTCCAAGGAGCTACCGTGTATGAACTTCCCTAACATGAAAATCAGAGAGATCCTGGAAAACAAAGATAATAAAGTCTACAGCAATGCCTGGCAAGGAAACTGTAGAGTCAGGAGTCAGGAAACTGTAGAGATATGAGAAGTATCAGATAACACATATATTACTGTGTAACAACAGATATAAACCATTCTTTCAGTAATGGGGTTCCCAGTCACCTTGACTCACCAGTTAGGAACTTGCGATGGGAGCCACCTTTGAAGTACAATGGGTCAATGGCAATGGATTTCACTGGCCGATCTAGATTGAGGACCATGCTGCTCTCTTCAGAGTAAAGGCAATGGATTGCCACCTTCAGATAGAAGAAAAAAACTTCAGTGGGGAGGCTAATGTTCCCAGTAAGGAAATCCAAGACAATTGACTTCCTATATATTCTCTTTGCATGAAACAAGCTTCTCTCCTATGCCTAACCCCATAAGTGTTTTAATTCTGATAGGCATGTCTACAATCTGTGACTTAATTTTTAAATGCTCTGTCTTTTGTCTGTTCAATGAGGTACAAAATCCTGTAAAGGGACAAGCACCCAACATGCATATTATTACATCAAAAACACTGAAGGGGTTAATTGCTTTTAAATTATTTAAAAACCATATGCATATAAATATCATGTGCAGATGTTTTTTATGCTTCATTTTAAAGACTCAAAATTTTTTTATAAGCACCATCTTTTTCTTTGATTCTGAATCACTCCATAATATTTCTGCTTGAAATCAAGAAAAAGAGTATCTGCATGATGTATGCCTCAACGAAGATTGAAGGAAAACAATACAGGCAGAAGTTCACCTTGCCATCATCTGAGCAGGATGCAATGAAGTCACCATGCTCATCCAGGGAGAGATGGTTAATGGAAGTGGCATGAATGGCCATCTCCTTCCCCCTTACTGCATTTCCTTGGTGATCCAACACATACACCATCCCCCAGTGGCTTCCGAGCACCAAAAACTGCATTTAAAATTTTCTGTCACCAATTCCAATAAAAACATATGGACAACAAGTTAAGAGATGACCTTGGAGTTAAGGGCAATGCAGCTAGCTGCATCCTTGCGAAAGATGTCAGCCACATCATTCAGGATGCGCTCATACTTGAGCTTTGGCTCTGTGACATCCACATCCTCTTCTTCTGCAAGGTCAATTGCTGGAGCTCCTGCTTGCAAAGTTTCCTCTATTTGCTCTTCCATATTGATTTTAAGCTATTAATGAGCACACAATCTAATTTCACATGAAATGGGGATTGCAACAAAAAGCAAGAAACACATGATGGGATCCACTGAGTTTTGCAGGTATAGATATTTGCATCAAAACACCTGACACAAAACCAAAAAAAATTGCTTTTCAATAAAGAAATAAATAAAACACAATTCCAAAATATTGCCAATCTGGTGGCTTTATATACAATGTACCATGATGGCTTACTTAGTTTGTGGAATTTAGCCCTCAAAGAAATCAGGCCAGTCAACCACTTATTGTGGTTATTTCCTCAACTCCTATGAACCATTCACATACTGATCAGAAAAATTTTATGTGAAAAAACCTGAGAGACTTTATTTCCGTCACAAATTCAGTCACAATGACTAGATTGATCAGATCAGACATTGCTTTTCCCTCACTGTGAGAAAGTCTTGTCACAAGTCTCCTCTCAAACACTGTTTCTGACAACATAGTGATAAGTTAATTGCGAATCTCAAAGCATTAAAAGAAACCTAGCTAGACCTAAATGTAGCCACATGGAGAACAAGCAACACTGATCACTTTTGGGCAATCACCTGATGGCCTAGTTGCATGGCACTGTTGGTAAGTTTAAGCAAAAGTTTGACAGAGTCTAAAAGGTCTTAGTGAACTAAGGAACTTGATGGGAGTCAGGAAAGGGGAGCAGATGTGAGGAGTGGAGCTGTTTCCTCTGTCTCAGGGCAAGAGCCCATAGGGATATGGTGGTGCTCTCGCAGTCCCAATCGTTGAACCTACCAAAAAAAAAGCATTTACTCATCATGAGAGGCTCTCTAACACTCTGCCATAATGCATCTATGTAAAACTTTCTCTGATTCAAGGAAAAAAGTGAGACATCAGACTAATAAAAAGGGATTCTCTATCTCCAAATGAATAATGAAAAAGGATACTTTTAAATGAACTGATATTAGTACAATGCTTCAAGTAAGAGGACCCACCCTCTGTCGATGAAGTTCGTGGAGATAAATTGCCGAAAGACTCATGTTGGCAATGTTTAGCTCAATGAGGGAGTCCTGTTGGCTCTGTCCTGGATAAAGGGAGGCATGAAGGGATTCTCCTTCATTCTCATCTCCTCCACCCCCATTGTTGTGCATGCTTTCATACAAACTGCAACACAACAGTCTTCTTCATAGTCTTTTTGTTGGACAACTAATAGATGATTTATTGTTGAAGGAAACAAGGTTACCTGCTGAGGATGGGACGACTGGAGGTTTGAAGAGGTCCTTCAGCACGTGATAGCCCTCTCCGCACAGGTTGACTTGGATTTCTTAAAGAAGGGATCCCCATCGCAGACCATCTCCCCCAAACATTATTTGATGCAATTCTGGGCATAGGCATTCCAACCCCCTGCCAAAACACAGAAGCAACATGAGATCATAATGCTTCTAGAGGGTGAGAGGAAGGTGACTTATTTAGGATGTTACCATGACCCCTACAATTCATTTGATTATGCTATTCTGAAAGATCTGGGTCTACATTTTACAAAATGAACCCTTTAAAAGGCAAAGTTTCTAACAGTAGTGAATGCTACTGGAGGTGAGTTTTTTTTGGCAAAACTTTAGGAAAAACACACCTACATAACACTTAATACTTATCCCCATATCCTTTATGCAGAAACCTTTATTAGTCTAGTGGTATTTCAGTGTGTGAAATTCTTCAAAGCAAGGATAAATGTACAGCTCCACATTGCATTCTTTACAAAGGAAAAAAGTTTCCTTTCTCCTAAGCTATCTTCATTTGGTGTGCTGATAAATGTGGCCCCTTCTTTGTGCTCTTATTTTGCTTGGCATGGCTGGAACTGGATGCAGAAAATGACAAGCCATGAATCAAAGTAGATTCAGTTCTAGAAAAGCTTGACCCCCTTTAGGAGCCCTCTAAGGTGTATGATACTCCTGCAGCACTTGTCGCAACAGCTCCAAACAGAAATCACGACTGTAGCTTTTGTCTTGTTAATATTTGGTACACAATGATGGAGTTGAACAGGGTGACCCAAAAGAAATGCAAGAAATATAAACAAGGATAATTTTCCTTCTGATAATCTGATTGAAACAAAACTTTTCACAAACATCTAGTAGAACATAAACTTTTAAGAAAATCAACAATTTTCAATGTGTCCTCATTTTGCTTTGATACCAGACCTAAAGGGCTTCGATGTTTTGGAACATATCATTGTCTTTTCAGCCCAGGCAACCTGTTAGGATCTCTTGAGCAACTCCACATTTTTGTGTAGTTTAGTAAAGGCCTTTGCCTCAAGAATAATTGAAAAATCAAATGGGTTGAGATCTGGTGAATGAGGCAGCCATTCAAATCCTGGCAGGTTTGCTCAGCACAAATTTTGAGTGATTTTTGCCTTGTGAGATGGTGCAGAGTCCTGCTAGAAAGCTCAATCTTCTTGAGTGAAATGCCCTGACAGTTTTGCTCAAAAAAATGGGGGAATGGGCATGAATGACAGGCAAGTTCCATTATAGCAATGCTCTTCTCAAATCTCTTGCATTCTGGGGAATATACAGATACACTGATACTGTCAAGCCCTGAAGCAAGAGTATACCCACCAACTCATCTAATGAAGATATGAATCACTGCTAATTAAAACAATTTGAGCTAGTTTCAACTGGCATCACCTTTTTCAGCAAGTCATTTGTCTTGTAGAACATGTAGGCCTTATCTGATGCCAAGCATATCACATAAATTATTTTAATAATAATGCTTTACCATATTATCATAATAAATTAGTAAAGCAATTAATTTCATATAAGAAGTACTCCAACCTCATGAAAAGGATGAGACAAATGTTTATGAATGTAGGACTCTGAGATATATTCTAGAATAAAATCTGAATCTGACTCAGAATAGAGTCTGAATTGAAACTGCATGGTGACACTATCTCATGCAAGTTTCAAGCTTGCATGCCCACCTTTGACTTTAAAATCATTCAGTTGACAGCCTTTGATTGCTTTGTATCATAACAATAAGACCTGAGAATTCTGGGAAACATAAATGGATATGGCTAGTAAGAAAAAAAAAAAGTAATGTTCAAGCGAAATTGATCTGCATAAAAAATGTTGAGTTTTATGTTCTCCCAAGCTTTTTCCTAAGCATATCTTTTTCAATAGCCCTCAATAAATTGAGAGCTTCCCTCACTATTTTGCTGATATGACCACAGGATCTCTTCTTGGTAAGCACAATGATGATATTCATATCATCAGCCAGCTATGACAGAGCTGCAGGCAGTACATCTAACATCTACATTAGTTTCAATTTAGACGGTGGTATGCATTAACCTCAACACACAGGCAAAGAGTACACTCTAGACCCAACTTTGAATCACTGGTCAATTATTCCATGTGGATGGTGAATCTGGAGGTAAATTCTAGTACGAGTATTTCTCCACTTCCATTTGGAAGTGAAGAAATGATCACCTATCATAGTTACAAAATGGCATCTTTCAATGTCAAATGTGGTGCAAATGAGAGGCTTCCTAAGATGAGAGTTCCCATTTTGAAAGTATTAGGTTGTTTCACATGAAATGTCCGATTTTTCTCTATACAGGCAGTCCTCAACTTACGACGCTCCGACTTACGACACTTTGACTTAGGACGCTCTAAGCCTAGGGCTGAAGGAGTCATTGACATGTAGGCCTGAGGCCTCCCCCGTATTACCGTCATATGTCAAGGACTGCCTGTACAATATGATGTCTTCAAAAGAATTGAGACTACTTTTTTGTATGAGTTCAAATTGGGGCACAACGCAGCTGTAGCCACGAGTAACATCGACTTGGCGTTCGGGAAAGGGACTGCTAACCAGCGGACTATTTGGCGGTGGTTCGAAAAATTTCGATCTGGAGACATGAATCTCGAAAATGAGCCCCGAGGAAGGCCTGAATCGGTTGCGAATGAAGAACATTTAAGAGCCATTGTGGAAGCTAACCCACAAACGACAGTTTGGGCTCTTGCAATAGACCTAGGTGTTTCTATTGCAACTGTTTCTCGACACCTGGCTGCAATAGGAAAGGTGAAAAAATTGGACAAATGGGTGCCGCACGAATTGACGGACAGCCAGAAACTGCGACGCCTGGAGGTGTGTTCATCGCTGATGGTCAGAAACAACAAAGAGCCATTCTTGGAGCGAATCATTACCTGTGACGAGAAATGAATCCTGTACAATAACTGGAAAAGAAGTGGACAATGGTTGAATGCTGGTGAAGCTCCAAGACATGCACCAAAACCGCCATTGCACCCAAAAAAGGTCATGGTGACAGTATGGTGGTCTGCAAAGGGAATCATACACTATTCTTTTTTGCAACCGGGACAATCAATTACAGCAGAATCATATTGTCAGCAAATTGAAATTATGCATCAAAAATTGGCCACCGAACAGCCAATATTGATAAACAGACAAGGACCGATTCTGCTGCACGACAATGCTCGACCCCACACGTCACGAACCACCGTGGGAAAATTAACAGAATTGGGCTATGAAATTTTGCAGCATCCACCATACTCACCTGACCTTTCACCAACGGATTATCACCTTTTCCGTCACTTGGAGCTGTTTCTCCGGAATAAAACATTCCGGGACCGAGAGGCTGTAATTGGAGCATTTGAGGAGTTTGTTAATTCAAAAAATGTAGAATTTTATAGAAATTTAATATTTTCCTTAGTATCCCGTTGGGAGAAGACAATTCAAGCTAATGGAGCATATTTTGATTAAATGAAATTTTATTTGTTAAAAATATAGCCTTTTAAATCTCATCTTCAAAATCGGACATTTCATGTGAAACAACCTAATACTTCAACCCTATCTTAGTACATACAGTTCATCCACTGTCAGCTTAACCTTTTCATGCATAGACAGAGACAATCTTTCAGATATAGAGCTTTTCTAGGCATACCCTATTTATGGGTGGGAAGAAAAAGGAAAAAGACCTACAGACATTCCTGAGGAAGAGGAGAGCATGTACATAGAATGATGAAGAGATGACACTCCATTAAGAGTTGCCAGATCTCTCTCAGCATGCCGCTGCAGGGATGTAAGATACCGACTGGCATGGTCAGGAGGCTTCCAATGTGGATTGGTAAGAGTGAAATGAACTAGAGAAAGTTCTGCCTTTCCTCCTTCTGCCTGTGAAGGTCAAGGAGCAACAATTTCAATCACCAATTACATCTTTTTTTTTTATGGTTTTGCACATAACAGTGATTTCTGATACATATGGAACTCATAATACCTGGAGATGCTGGCAAGGTAGGGTGACAAGAGGAGAAGGTTCATCACCATTGCTACCTTTCTCATCCACACCCTCATCTATGTCGGAGACCTTCCAGGCAGGGTTGCCATGACGACGGATGTTCATCTGAGCGAAGGAGCACACATCACCAACTCCCACCACCTGTACGGTGAAGTTACGGAGGAAATCCACAATCTCCAGGGAACGTGGACGAAGGTAGAAAATAAGGATGATGGGGGTCAAGACTGGAGACAGTAATTCCTCCAAAAGAAATACCTAAGGAGAAAGTAGATGTGCCTCATTTAAAGTTGAATATCAACCAGTCTCAGCTAAAACATGGGTATATGAAGGCAAGGAAACTATACAAATTTGAACTGGAACAGCTGAGCAAATCGGTTGCGGACAGGAGACGTGTGGGCCTTCAGCCGCCAAGTATCAGGGAGATAATGTACATGGGCCAGAACAGCATTCATTAGGTATTCGGGACACCAGACTAGGTTCTCCTCTGGGATGAACACTCTGTAGAATAGCAAATTAATGCTAATGAGCATGACCTCTCTTTTATATGCTAAAAAAAGTAAAAGCTGACCTGCATCCAGCAACAATCACAGTGAAGATGGTCAACATGAAGAACACATGCTCTACATTGAGGACATCTTCATCCCAAATGGAAAGTGCAGCCAGAACAGCCACCATAGTCCCACTCACAAAGGCAATATTTCTGCAGATTAACAAAAACATGAGTTATTGGCTATGCCTCAAATTCATTGGACCAAGTAAATCATTTAATGGCACAACAAAATTTAGACTCACTGAGCAATGACAGCTAAGATGGGTGAGGTGAACATGTTCATGTACTTGGAAGCAGGTGCATAACCCCGGTTCAATCGAGCATTCAATTCGTGGTCCAACTCGTTGAAATGTCGCAAATAGATCCTGCCATAGAGGCTCCACCGACGCATGCCCAGTGTTCCTGGCTCCCGCTTCACCAGCTGTTACATCAGAAAGAAGAAGCAACAAATAAAATATAATAAATTAGGTGCATGCTATAACTACAACTCAAGAATAGATGGTCAAGAAAGCAACAGGCCTCAGCATAGTTGCAGAATGAATAGAGGAATTGCCAGAGAAGTATAAGAGGTGAGAGGATGAGATTCCCAATTCCAAACCAAAGAAAGCTCTGGGAAAGATGATGAGCAAGCTCCTGTCTCCTCCCTGCTTTCTTGTACTCCTCACGTAGATGCCAGTTATTTTCAAATGGTGCCCATGGTCCCCCTACATCAATATGCAAAGAAACTGCATTATCATGAACTAAGCACATCCATTTTATCGAATCGCGCATGAGGAACTTGCACTGACAGAAAAGAATGAGCTCCAAGTTGTACTTGAGTCCTCGGGTGAGGAAGACCACTTCTCCAATCAATGGGATATGCAAAGTGAATGACACCAGTTGCTTGTTCACCATTGCCACTAAGTAATTCTTGAATCTGCAATGAAAATGCATTCATTAAAAACTTAAACTCCATAAATAAAGCAAGCAGGTTGTATCAAGGTGATTCAAATCTCATATGACTAGGCTTATTAGGCTTAAGACAATAATATAACTTTCGTAAATACCAAGCTGAGATCAAACATGAAGCTAGGTGCATATGCAAGGGCGTTGCGGTATGCAATAAATTCCTCGATAGGTATACCGTGACTTAATATCGCGGTATATCGGTGATACCGGCGAGGTGCGGCGGGGGGGGGGGGGGTTGCTTCAGTTGTGAACTCTTAGAAAAAAAAGCGTCTCTCTGTTGTGATGTCGTGGAGCTAGTTGCGCATGGTATAATGCCATTCGATCGGAAGGATGGGGATTCGTTCGTTTCAATCTAAATGGAACTCCAAGCAACTCTGCTGGGAGGACTTATTATGGATCTCGGAAAAAAAAGAAGCATCAAGGAATCTCATCCATCTCATCATTGTGCTTGGTCGCACATTTCATATTAGTATCGAGTGCTCAGGCTCACCAAGCAGAGGGCACAGTCAAGGCGCATGTGTACCCACAATTGATGGATCTTGGTCGTTGAGTCCGGATTAAATACGTTCCGGTGATTAACAGGAAGGCTTCGGCTTTCCCCGGGCGGTGGGCGTCACCGTGGATGAAGATGGGAAATATAGTTGACAAAGTATTTTATTTTTAGAAATGGCTCTTCAGGTATGGCGCCGTGGCGGCGGTATGATAAGTGGCGGTGTCCTATGGTTTCCTTACCGAGGCAACAGTGTGATGAGAGGCGGTATACATACCGTGGTGACGGTATGAACAAGGGCGGTATTCCACGGTTTTCACACCGTGGCGATGATGTCGAAAAATGTAAAAGGGGGTCGGTATGATTATCATGAGAACCGAATACCGCGCGGTATGATGAAAATACTGGTATACTGCAACGCCCTAATATGTATTGCCATCAACTTGGATCAAGGTTTCTTTCAAGTAGGCCTTCATGAAGCGCTTCCTCTACGTGGTATTGCTGTATGTCTCCCATTCTATAACCACCCTCACGCTCAACTTTCCCTCCACTTATATGGAAGGAAAAGTAATTATTTGCCATGAAAAAAAAAGAAGGAAAAAACTAAGGGCACATAGATAAAGTGAGAATCTTTTGAGAATCTTAACCCTTACGCTCCATACATTTTGAAGAAGTAATAGAACCGTGGACGACTGAAATCGCCTTACGCAGCGAAAGGGTTAAGGGAGGTTGCATAATTATTTAATGACTTCTAGCTTCAAACACTTACAACCAGGAGCTAGTAGGTCAATAGCTGTTTCAGTCAGAAAGAATAAACGTGACTTCCTACTACAGTTTTGAGCAATACAGTTCAGTTCAGTAATAATGTTAGTCTCACTTTAATTTAAGTTTTGATTTATATCTGTTAAAGGGAGTCCACTAAACTGAAGATAAACTGAAACTAAATTCAAGTGAAACTGAAAATACGGGTAACATACATCTGTACTCTGTACTGTACTGCATGAATTTCCAAATTAACTGATTCTGGCACAATGTGAAAGCAATCCTCAAGATTCCCATGCATGCATTTAAACAAATAAATAAATGTGGGCATCAGATTACTATTAATATATGGTCAGAAAAAAATGGCATACGCACCAAGAAGAGTCAGCAATATGCCAAATACTTATATGGGACGAAGGGAAGGGAGCAAACACATTGAGCATCACGAGAGCAAAATGAAAACTTGAGTCCAACATTTTCTCAAAACTGAATTTTCCTGGAAAATATTTCCGAATATTTTGGATCGTTAGTTCGCCTGACTGAAGAGTGAATAGTATGTGGAATTATACATTTTCTCACTACATAGTAAGTGAACTGTCGAGGGAGGGCGCTTTCTATTCAAGAACTGGAGTGACCGTGAAGAGAAAAAGATCCTAGTCCCGGTCAACTAACGACAGAAAGACACGAAACAGTCGGTGCCCAAAGGCTGCGAAAAGGCTTTAACATGTCTCCAGGCAGAATGAAGGATTCCCAGAGATTCATCTGGATATACTGGTGTTCGTACTTGACCGCAATATTGAGTATTTAGCCCCTTGTCAGTGGATTTCGAACAGCTACTGTTTTGTGGGATTCCACGAGAACCTTCTTTTGTTGTTATTTGCTAATCATGGTTGAAGTCCAGGCTAAGATCAGCAACATAGATGGATGTTCCCTGCATGAAGTTGTGGTTCAACGTTGGAAGTCTCATTTTTGCGCATACTCCCTTTGAAACTTGTCATTTGGAGCACATACTCTAGCTTATTTTCTTGACTCTTCGGTGCGATTGCGCGAATCCTTACAGCCATGGAACCAGATGACCTTTGAGCACTTTCCGAACTTCCAACATGCAAATAAAAATTCTCCGATGTTGTGCATTAAATACTAAAGCCCCACGAATAACAGATTAATACGAGAGGAAAGTCATTAACTTCCTTCCCTGATACTAATTGGCATTTTGAAGGCCAGAATTTTATTTATTAACCCCTTAAGTGGTTGTCACGTATATATATGGAATAGCTTTTATTAACGTAAAGTGGTTATCCCGTATACAGTATATACGTTCAGTTGACTCGATTGCATCGTACCTCTTTTTGCGGCTAGATAGAATCAACTGGTATTTTGCCTTCGAATCGTTCCAACAGAATAGAAGAAGAATGCTACAAGGTTGTGTGTTGCTTGCTGCAGCAAAAAGGATTCAAAAGGGAAAAGGGTTCGTCGAGAAACAAGATACCAGTGTGCTGATGGACTCTGTTCAACCCTACTTTCGCATATATCATACTGTTGTGTAATTTTGAAACATTCCTTGAGTCACTCATGAACCTAACAAACAGCTGTAAGGTAAATAAATTCTTTATTATAGCATTAAAAATACCTTTTTTTCCCCGAGGGTACTCACCAAGCTTTCGCGCTTAAATCAGGTGGCTACTACAGTGCGATCCAGGCAGATTTCAGGCAACGCTTAAGGGGTTAATGAAATACACCTAATCCTGCCAGCCAGGACTTGAGATTATGAGAAGGGGATCCCCTCCTCCTCCATCGATGGAGAGAGACACGATGGACGAACAGGAAGAAAAAGGGTATCAAGAGTGGATAGAATGGTAGAGAAGTGCTGGCGCCTTGCCTGAGAAACAGAGATACAGAGAGAGATTAGAAAAATTGCGCACAGTCTGCTAGCAAAAAGCCTCACCATTAGATAATCCATGCATTCACAAGACGATTTCGATCTAAACTGCATCGTCAGTCAATTCGCCGCATGATGGGATACAACTCAAGATATTGGGTTGGAAAGAAAGTCTTGCAACACTTTCTAAAACTATTTATAAAAATTTTCAAAGGAATGATGGGCGGGGCTTTGGATTTGTATATGCTGGAATGTTCTCGAAGCTTCTGCCCTCGGAGTATATGAGGCGGCTTCTGCCATCAGTTGGCAGCCATGGCTCCGATCGAACGAGCAACTCTTTGCCCCATCGTCTACTACGAGTTCCTCCAAGGACACCCTGCGAGAGCCGCCGCGGACAACATCTGCGCTGCATTCAAGGGCAACGTCGTCCACTATTCCACGGTGTCTCGATGGTTGAAACGCTTGGAATCTGGCGACACNGTGTTTCTCTCTCTTACACAGTTCATACATACAACTGTATACCTATTTTTGGCACACCCTGTATAGATTTAAAGCACCAGCACTATGTAAGAACATGTTTCAGACCTGAGAATTCGATTGTAGATGTCAAGCTCTGTGAGATCTTGCTTGTGTATGCACATTTCATGTTCATGCTGGACCTCACGGAGTCGGGTCTGCACCTCGTGCCATGTCATATTGTCCAGCTCACTCTGTGTGAACAATTAATGAAAGAGACACAGGATTATTAACCAATTAGTGGATACATTTTTCTCAGTCAAGTTATGACCACAAAATCACCCATACAAAATAAAGATTTCTTCTACTTTATATATTCATAAAATATATCACTCCCTACCCAATAGTATACGAGTGAGACCAAAGAGGGGGAAACGGCCGATTCTCCGAAATCCCCTTGGTCAAGCCAACGAAAGTAGAAGAGGAATAGACGCAAATATCGGAGACAAATTCCAAATTCACCTAGAAACACATTCAGTCCCTTCCACGACGCAGGATCCCCTAACGGACTCGTTTCCGAAAGGGCATTTTCCAGAACTAATTTATTCCAGTTGGACATTTTCCGCATATTTAACCATCCCGTAGGAAATATCCCCACGTGGATACTACTTCGTCGGCGATCCTCCCAAAAAGACAGGAACCGATAATCGACTGCGTACGATCACTCTTAATTATTCAGAGATGGTAGAAGAATATGAAAGCGATGCCTCATCTGATGCCAACATCTCAAGCTGCTCCTTCCCTGCACACCATGTCCTCAATAACGCACCACAGAAGGTAATTAAATCAATGCGATCTGTCCTTCCGCCGCACATCGTTGGACCAATGTTCCTACTCAGAGGTCCAGGTCGCAATCTTATGACACGAGGGTCATTTTGGCATTCCCTGCCTAACTGTGGTTGCTCACAGAGGTTGTTTTAACGCATTCCCGTCTAACGACGCACTGTTAAGCACATATTCTCATGGGCAATATCACCATTGACGTACGATGTATGATTACGTACAGTACATAATATAATTTTTTGTTGCCTAAATGATACTTGAGTTGCTATTTTTTTTAAGTTGGCGTAAACTTTAAAGCCTTTGCAAAAGTGGCTGTTGACCTAGTGAGCAGATGAATTATGGATGAATCAAGCAGATGGATGCGAATGGGTTCGTGGTCATGACCTTTTCGCTGGCGAACAAACCTGAACGATTCCTGAGGGAAGCGTCCATCCAGAAAGTCTCATTTCGAGGAAAAAATACATACAAGGAAAGATATTAGAAATCCACTCTAGTGGAAATCCTTCCGAGGAATAAAGAATTTTCATTCGTGGAGCCCACAAATCTAAAATAAAAACCATACGAAAGGCTTAAACGCTATTCCACAAGGAGATAATTCAAAAGCCAATGCATTGACTTCTCGATACTTTGCTCGTAACAGGCTTGAGAAGAAATTTCAAGCACGAGAAGAGATTTCCGCAAAATGCACTCTCCTCCCGTTGCCACAGAAGCACCAGCAATAATATTCATTATTTAGAAGAAACTTTGAGGAAGAGCAGATCAATTTCAAAGCTATTCGTGAATTGGTGCTGGAGATGGGAGCCTCTGAGAAGACCCACCAAAATCGTGACCTAGGTGGCTCACATACGTAATCGATAAACAATTAGCCTACTTCAATCTGCGGTGGTCTATGTTCATCCTTAAGTTGTACGTAAGATCAATAAGGGCTCTGACAAAGCGAAGCGCGGTAGGAGCTCACGTTTCCTGTACTGTATGTGTACTAAACTTCGTTCAAATAAGTTCCATTAAACATTGATCACCTGAAGTGGGATGGTTTTTCATTACTCTTGCACAATTCCATTAGAATCACTTGCTCGGTAAATCTCGCTATTTGAATAGTATTTTACGTCAGTAATGCTGGAAAACCCTCATAGCTAATTCATTGTTGTGCTATAAAATGAATTTCGCATGAATAATGACGATGGTCTATGTCTTCTTTTCTGAAAATATGGAATCATCAGGTCAAGCCAAATAAGACAAAATTGGAAGGGAATCAGCAGAACAAAAACCGTTGTATAAACTGTGTTATGTCAGTAACACAGCATGAATGGCCTTCCTTTGTTTCATCCATGGGAGAAATGAGAAAATTTTGACCTGAATAGGTGCATGCATCTGTGCTCTATAAAGCAATGCTGAAATATAATTTCTGGACCAAACCATCTCTAAGATATTACATCATAATTCATTTCATTTTGAGTCTGGTGTTATGCCAGTAACTTTGGAACAGCCCATTAGAAGAACCAGAACATGAAATGCATCAGAAATGCAAGCATAAAAAGGACTGGAAGAATAGGAAGTGCTGGTACTAAACCAGAGCAATGCTGTGTGTAATAAACCTGAACTCCAACTATCAATAAATTGAATGGTTTAAATCCCAGATGGCAATAATGATAAAGCCCATCTAAAACAATAACTAGTCACAACCTCTATAATACAGGGTGCACCAAAAGTAGGCATACAGTTGCCTATTTTATTTTAATTTTAATTTGCAGGTAGTTAATAGACAGTGATGACTGGAATTTGACGTTTGATCAACGCAAGTGGGTACTCAAATAATACTGGAAGACTGAGAGTGCGGAATCTGTTTCGGCGAAGTGGCGTGTTTCTCTCTCTTACACAGTTCATACATACAACTGTATACCTATTTTTGGCACACCCTGTATAGATTTAAAGCACCAGCACTATGTAAGAACATGTTTCAGACCTGAGAATTCGATTGTAGATGTCAAGCTCTGTGAGATCTTGCTTGTGTATGCACATTTCATGTTCATGCTGGACCTCACGGAGTCGGGTCTGCACCTCGTGCCATGTCATATTGTCCAGCTCACTCTGTGTGAACAATTAATGAAAGAGACACAGGATTATTAACCAATTAGTGGATACATTTTTCTCAGTCAAGTTATGACCACAAAATCACCCATACAAAATAAAGATTTCTTCTACTTTATATATTCATAAAATATATCACTCCCTACCCAAGACTAGAACATTTCAATTACTCACCAGTAATATAACTTGAGCATAATAGAGACATTAATACTGAATGTATATTTCTGCATGTCAATTATATATATATTTTATTTATACAAAGAAATAAAACATATGGAAAAACAGTTCATATTCAACAGCTAGCAAACATTTGTGACTAGTCACACAATTGTTACAGAAATTAGTATTGGTGTAAACAATACTTCACAAATTAAAAAATGGCAAGACTCCCATCCATAGGACAGAATTGGTTATAACTTGTGGAGTGGCATAGCAGACCAAATCTTCCAAATGAGGCACTTACATCTTGAATCTTGAGAGCTATTGTATAGAAGCTCCTAATTTCCCAATACTGGATTATGTGGTAGAGGACCCTGATGAGCCGCAATAGCCAGAAGCAAGAAGCAATGATGAGGCAGACAATCAGCAGGGCACCAGGCTCAGCCATGCAATCTGACTTGATTGCATCAAAGAGACTAATCTTCTCATATGTGGAGTTGCTGTGGCCTGGTAATGCCTTATCCCTGTTGAAACAATCCCCCAGAGAAATAAATTTTGGTCAAAAGGAAAGATCAAGCTTCAAATAATTCTGTTCAACAGTAATGTGCACATTTATTGGACTACAACTTTTTCAATTTCAATTTTTTATATATTTATGGAAACTGAAAATAGGTTTCAGTAATTTGCAAACATCATGGTTACAGCAATTCTGTTTGGCAATATTGATTCACATTGGAAATAATATATATTGGTGCAATAATCCTTCACAACATTGTATTCACATCATATACTGATTACGTTACACTTTCAAAGTGATTATATCTTTCATTCCTGTTTTCTTCCAGGTTACTGGAATATGCCCATATGATGGGGTCCATTCATGAACTTAAGCCAGTAGTTAATAGCAATCAGGTTGCCATTTTGCCAAGAAAATCTATTGGCCAACAATATTTCCTGTTTCACCTTTTTGCATCAGAGACCCATGGAATGAGTTGATGATAACCTCCCCTTGATGAATACTATCCAAGCTTAGCTAATAGCATCACTTAGGAAGATTAAGGGCAGAGCTGGTAGTCAGTTGATTTTCATTCCCATGAAACTAAACAGGTATCACCAATGGGCTACAAAACTGACCTCTTAGCATCCCAAAATTCTTCTTCCAATGAATGTAGCATGTTTTTTGTTTCAGCAAACTACAAAAACCTAAATATGAAAGTATAATTGGAAAGTAACAGAATAACAATATGACAATCACATGATCCAAGACTGGCAGAACCAACTCATGCTTATTGACTGTTGGGAGGCCCTTTTGTTTCAACAATTTCTTTATTTTGCTCATCATCATTATGTTCCACTGCTTGTCTCTTTTGAGAAGTGGAGTGCTCTGCAAGATTCTTGAATGCAAGCCATAACAGTCTTGAAACGTTGAATAGCTGTATTGTGCCTCATAATACAAAATAATAAAGTGTTAAGTGAAGGAAAAATGTTTCTTATCACTCACCTGAAGAGAATAGGATAGTTTACACATCTGAGCAGGACCACAGACAAGACCACAACAAAGGCAAATTGGGCAAGTTCAAATACTTCTTGAAGTACCATACAGACAAATCCATGCTTCTGATGATAGAGGTAGACTCTGGTGAAGAATGAGTCTAAATCCTCTATGTGATTCCACTGGCCTGGAATGAACACATTATGGAAAATATAAGTTAAATCTCTTGCCTCACACAGGGAATGTACACAGTGAATGAGAACTGCTTTTTTTTTCACTCACTTCTACCAGACTCTGGTATGACATGGATAACACCAGGATCATCAGAAGGCATTTCTTCTCCATTGTCAACACTGTGAGCCAGAGGTAAAGACTGATATCTCTGTGAATCAAATTCTTCTGGAATGCTTGTTCTTGGTATCATCATCTTGAACATAAATTCAATGTTATAGGCCTCTGCTCAATCCAATGCAAATAGCAATTGGAAGTCCTCAAGGTTCAGCAGTGACAGACATCAAATAACAAATGAAACTTCTTTTGGACTATTGTGGGCCTAATGCATGTTCACAAAGTGAAACTCAGGGATTGCTTGAACATCAGCTCCCTGAAATAATAAAAAAATAAACATGGTTGTAACTGGACCTAGAACTAAGACTAGCAAGTTAAAAGTTTCTTTTTAAAAGAAGCTTTCGGAAGATAATCTTAAGTAACAAGGATCTGCCAATGCTGAAAAAGACCTTTAAAACTTCTAACTGCTATGAAGAAGTTAACAAGATAATTTAAGGCACTCACTGCTTGTGACAGCAATCAGAGTTATTTCAGGATAAGAGAAACTAGTTCAAGATCCAGCCCCAGTCTTTCATTTACAATAAAAGGTAAGTGAAAAAACTTTGTTAGCATGCATCACAAACTCTGGCCCACAAATATAAAAAATATCAGCATAAGGATGGCCAGAGAGAAAGAAATAACAGATAAAGAGCTAAAATGAAAATAGCCCATTTCTTTCTTGATACAAGATCAAGAATGTACAGGAATCTATGCCAGAAAACTTGTCTAATTAAGTAATATTCTGTCTTTTCAAGGTTCATGATTGAAGGTTCCAATAGAGACATTAAAACATTTTTGTTCATTACAATATTCTCTGTCAAGATCAAGTATACATATAAAATACAACAGGTACATCCCCTCCCTTCAAGATAGACATTTTTTTGGGAGCATATCCACCTACTGTCTAACTACTTACAGTTACACTACTCCCTTTCTTGTTTCATCCATGAAGGCATCTAACCTCTTCTATGAGCATCTAACTCTCACTCAATTAGCATCTCTTCTAGGCATCTAACCTCATCTCCAAGTACAGAAGTCATTCAGTAACCTGAGTCTCACTAGGGGTTTACACATCTTGAACTACTTTAATCCCATTCTGCAGCTATCATTGTTTTAGAAAACCTATCACTCTTTACAAATGCTACTTACATGTGGCTAGTAACACTAACTGGTAACCACAACAGTTTATTCAGCTCTTAAGAGACGGCAGAACATATCAATGCAAGAAATATTCATTATTGATATTTCAACAAGGATGCTATTCCAGGTAGCATCCAACACTTACTGCAGTTAGGGAAACTGCAGGGTGCAGGATAGAACATTTTCTAAGTAAGGAATTAGGATTTTTACAGGAAACTAAACGTCTACATGGATAGTCCAAAACAAAATAAATTAAAAAGAGTGCAATCTAGTAAGAGTAACTGCAGTTGCTATTTTCAACAGTGGTTTTATGTCCTTCAGTTTAATTATAGTTTCAGTCTCAGTTAAGCCCAGGTTCAATTTCTCTTCAGTTAACAAGAATCTTCTTAAATGAAAATAGACTAGAGCATATCAAGTCCCCATTTATTTATGAGAATGGAACTGGAGTTAAACTAGAAATGGAGACAATCACATCTGTGCTTGGGATTTATTGAGTAATGGAAATCAGCATGACTCAAAACTAGTCTCTTGTTAACAACCTGCCCAATTCAGTTCATTCCCATCCTTTGTGAATGCAGACCTAAAGGATACTATTTGCTTAAATTTAGTTTATCCCCAATTTTGCCTGTTTCTTTTTCAGTTATTTGTGACTGGAGTAAAAACAGTTTAATTGTTTTCAGTTAACAGCAAATAAAATGAAGCCACACTGGTTGAATTAAATTACAGTTAGGTTGAGACTATAGGGCCAAGGCCTGAACTGGCTACATTCATGACAGACCAAACAGTGATTTTGTCTTAACTTGTTTATTTTCTGCTTCAGTTTATCCTCAATTGAATGAAACTGGAGACAAACTAGTCATAACAGATAATTTTTTCAGATTAGATTTCAGATTCAACTGAACCAGTGACAAAATTAGAAATGAAGTGTTTAACAGAACCCTTGGGGCTCCATAAGCAATGCATGGAAATAAACTGAAACAACTTGTCCCACTAACTGAGGATTAATTTCACATGATGATGACAATTTCAGCTCGCTAAAGGACAGACTGATTACCTGAATTTTTAATTGAACTTTCTGCTTACCTCCAATTAATAGAGACTCGACAAACTGGTCTGAAACTATAGTTTGTCTTCCGTTTATAATACTCCCATAAGCAGGGAAAAACATAAAGTGGACATGAATAAAAACAAGACAAATGTTTACTAACTACAATGATAAGTTACATAATAAAACAGTATCACAGTTACAGGAAATGTTTTTTTTCCAAGTGTGGGATATCATTCTTCTCAGCACTAGTTATCTATGAAGTCTCAGTCCACTTACACAATCTTAAACTGAATGGCTACCTCAGTGCACACACTCAAGCAACCAGGTGTACAGTAGCTATAGTTAAGTCACTGGGAATATGGGCAGTAGAAGGAGAAGAAAAGAAATGAGAAATGAGTCATTTAGGGTCTCCCTGGCCTTTGTCAGCAGATTAACTCATACCCTCAAAGACTTTTATTTTTATCTAATCATGACATTCTGACAAGGATGCCCATGAGTCTTCTCTTTAGCAATACTTGGAGTTTGACAAATATGCCAAAAGGAAGACAGACAGGCTCATTGTTCTACCTGGTGAAACCTCTTTAGAGTCATCATCAGAGGATGGATGAAATGGCAATACATTTTATATTAACCATTCCTACTGTCCTTGTGAAGAAAAACTGCCTGTGGTAACCCTATTTTTCTAAGCTGTAGATTAGGGAAGGGGACTGTCAGCTAGCTGACATTTTATTACCTCTAATGGGGTGACCTGTCAAATTCGCCATAATCCCAGTGACTCAACTATATCAAAGACTAAGCTTAAGCCAAAATATGATGACAATCCTAGCATGTAGAAGCTTATGGCATCATGGTGTTTTCTACATTCACCACTTGACATTTGCTTATTGATCTCCAGTTACTTCCAAAAGCTTACTGACAGCATTGCTTGTAAATCATCCTATTAATTATTTTGATGAATGACATAATTCTTGCTTATTCTTGAGCACATCTCAGTCTAAAATTCCTGTCTCACTGGAATTCCATATTTTCTTCTCTAACAAAGATTTGCAAGTGAATTTGTACTATCTTTAACTTAGACTTCATAAGCCTATATAAGCTTCACTTGCATCATGATAAAGATATCCTCTTCTTGGAAGCACCGTACAAATAACATTGCACAGAGTAAAATGTGATATGAATTTATTAGCAAGTCACAATCTTTAATGATGATCTCTGACATGATTCTTATTATGGAAGACTTCATGGTCACGAGATTGTATATTTGTCCTTTCCCTGGCGTCGACGTTTTCGAAACGGTCTTATATCTCTGCCAGGGAAAGGGTTAGTTCAAGCTTATGACGACCCTATGGACAATACGTCATTCATGGCAAAAAGTACCAATAATTAACTGGATTACATGTAATTACTGTATGCCTAAGAACTTACGCTAAGTATTGCGGCCAGGCCTAAACCCCAAAGGCGAACGTTGGCTATTTCTAGCAGATTTATCATGGAATAAGCAAAGGGAAGGGATATTGCGCAGGACGCATGCTTGTCAAGGACTCCCATGGCATGTTTGAATCAGCTGACTAGAAGGAGAAGGAACCATTAGGGATTGGAGTGAGACAAGAGCCAACATGGCGACTCACAGTGTCCCCAATGAACCGCCAGAAGAAGACGCCGCGGAATTACAATTCCCGAAAGGTTAGGTTGACAGTACAAACTATCAATGTAGTGACTATACTTTCAATTTGTACCATCTTTCGCACTGCTTATGACGATTCTCTGGACATTAAGTAGGTACAACCAAGTCAAGGTACTAACATTGACCCATGTGATGGTACAAGTCGGGAGTGCATTCATTCTGTGTACTATTAGCCCCAATAAACATCTCGATTTTGAATTCTACTTTGCCCCTGATAGAGTTCGAGAATGCAGAGACGTTACTGATATCAGAGGTCCACATGCTGCTGGAGCATCGGAAACAGCAAAATGAGAATGCAGAAGATGAGCAGGAACTTTCAGAAGTCTTCGCCAAGACTCTGAGTTACTGCAAGAGATTTTCAAAATTTCACAATCGCGACAGCATTGCTGCAGTTCGAAGGTAATTATTTTTCGTGATAAAATAATTTACTTATTCTTAATCCTTCAGTCAAGCATAAGATGTGTGAGGCTACCAGTCCAAAATGGTTTTATATAGATTCACCTTATACCTTTTCCAAAACAAAAACTGGTGGAGGTAAAGAAAAGAAGAAGGTATTTGCCTGGACAGATCGCCAAGCCCCAAGGCAGTCTGGCCCTTCTTGGCTCCTGTCTAATTCCTCTTCTTGCCAGGGCACAAATTCAATCAGAGGAGGGTCGCATGTCTTGCCTTGTCTGCCTTGAATGGGGCTTAGGATTCCAGGCCATTTTCTCTTTCCCTGCTGGGGATATCCCACCACTTGGGTCTTTATTTATTTGGAATGGTATATTTCTAGGTATGTACTAATCAAATTTTTCCACTCACAGCCTCCTCATGCAAAAGAAACTCCATAAATTTGAAGTTGCCTGCCTGGCTAATCTTTGCCCAGAGACACCAGAAGAGGCGAAATCCCTCATACCAAGGTGAGGGTATTTAGAGCTGTTTCCCCCAGAAGACAAAAGATTATTGTATTCTGATTTCATTTAACATGATTACATCAATTCAATCCTTGCTTCTACAGCCTGGAAGGAAGATTTGAAGATGAGGAACTGCGACAAGTCCTGGATGACATGCACACAAATAGGAGCTTCCAATATTGAGGTTCCCTCCATCACTGAAGCCAAATCTAGGCCAACCTCTTAATTTCCATTTGATGCAATGGGATACTATATGTATTCTGCATTCTTCATCTTTGAAGCTATGGCTGTGTTCCAATAAACTCCTTCCAAAAAAGCCAAGTACATTTTTTTCTCTCTATTGCTATATAATCCTGTCTTGCCATTTTACAGGGTGGCACAAAACTTTAGTTTCCCCTTCCACAGCCAAAATAGAAAACTAAAACAAATCTTGGTATATATCTGAACATTTCTTACTCTTTCTGGTTCATTTATTTGGGTGCACAACACATGCCCAAGGCCATTTATTTATTGTTTTTTCTAGTTCTCTATATACAGTCAACCCTTGATATACTGCCACTCACTATACCACCACTCCTGCATATCACCAACTCTTTCCTGAGAACAAATCCTCCCCATAGGCATATAATAGCCTATCCCTTGCTATAGCACCACCCTCACTAACTTCCATCCACCAACACTACAAACTTACCTTTTTCACTTAAAACCTCCTTGATATTGCACCAAGTAGCATATGTGACACAACTCTTATCCAATACTGAGTACAGCTAATTATTTGCTGACACTGTAAGAGATTCATAGCCATGGAATAGATGTGCATAGGAAGAGGGCAATGTTAGCTTCACATCCATTTAGTCAATTTTTCATTCAGAGATTTCAGTTTCCTCACTACCAACATACTGCAGTTCATTCTAAGGGGTAGAAAGGGAATTTGATGTCTTTTAATGCTTGATATTTCCACCACAAGTGGGAAGGATGCCTTATTCCCTTTGACTAGAATAGGCCGTTAGCTAGTCTTGCATGGCCAATGCCTGGAAGCAAATTGCCTTATCTTGAAGGAACAGTGATGGATTTAATGCACAGGTACAAGAGTGGGTATCTATGTACTGTGGGGTAAAAAGTGAATCTTGCCAAATTTGGTGAGAATGTAGCTTGCCTTCTTTAACTTCAATTTAAAATGACCAATATTTGGCAACAAGTATGACATTTAACGGAAGTTCCAGTACTTCGAAAATTACTACAGAGTGCTTGAAAAATTTTTATTTTATTTTTTTTAGAACTTGGAAATTTTAGTTTTTAAAATAGCCAGTGCCAGATAATGAAAGTAAAATATTAATTCTCTCAAAGAAATACAATTAGTTATCATGTGAAAGTGACTGAACACAGGATCAGACTAGCTCTTGCAGGTGCTGCAGCATTCCAAATGCTATCGTGTCAATATTCCCGCAATTGGAATGGATTTCGTGACTTTGCAAATGGGAGGTTGCCTATTGCTCGTTCACATATACATGTTTCGGAAAGACAAAGCGGTGGGGACGGTTATACAGGGTGGGCCAAAAAAAACAAACAAAAAGCTATCGTATTTGGTAAATTGCCAATCTGATTGAATGCGACCAATTTTGATGGCATTTGATATACACATAGGGTGACTCAACTACGGTTTGTGTGCCCAGTTTCAAATAATTGCAAAAACCGTGAGATTGGCATTTAATTTACTTTTCATCACCAAAAAAGTAAGTGTTCACTTTTCCTTTCAGCTTAAAAATTATCACAACTGACCAAAAAAAGCAAGCAAACAATTAGAAGAAAAAGAGATGCACATATGCCAAACACGAAAGGACACAATTCGGTTTAGGGATATACATTTCAACTGAAAAGGTGCTCAATGTGCCCTTCATTTTGTTGAACGCAAGCCTCTAGTCTGGGACACCACAGATGAATGGTTCGGTCAATAAACCTTCGAGGCAGTGCCTCCCAATCTTCCTTCGTAGCATCATGCAGGGATGGAAGGTCAATGAATTTGGACCTACCTTTCACCCGGCCTCATGGTCATATCGACATTTTCTACAGCACATTTTGTCATTGGTCATCAGAAAATAATTACAACTCCTATCATTTACAAGTCAGATGGCTGAAATTTGGCATACAAACTCCAATTGTGTCACCCTGTAAGCCTACCAATTTTAATAAAAATCGACAGCCTACAAAGAGATGGATGACTCACTAATAGCTTTGGTTTTTTCTTGGCCCACCCTGTATATTGGAAATGAGCAGAAGTTGATTGTTGTATGAGAGCAGTGAAGGATGGAACTTCCCTCCGCAAAGAAGGGATCGTTCATCCAGGTCATGCTCCGTGCACTCCGTGCAAGGCGAAGTTTTGTGAGACCTATGGAACATGTGACATAACATCCTATGAGGATGTTATGATTTGAGGGCCCACAATGTGCGACTCAGAATTTGCAGAATGGAAATTAGTTTCCTTGATCTCCCCCCACTTGCACCTTTTTTTAACTCATAATTTATTTATGACATGTGATGACTATTTTTTTGAAAGTAGATTACTACGTACCATTTAAGACAGGGAAATAAAATGTCTCATCGGCGTTTTTAGCTTTCGGCATTTTGTCTTTATTCATTTTGGCTCTTAGGCATTTCGAACATTCTACATTTATATCATTAGGCAAATTGGAATTCGGCGAACTGGGATTCGGCATTTCGTCGTACACCGGCTCTATGGCATATGGTGCATGACAAGCTTGGGAACTTGAAAACACGTTCGGGGGTTGTCTTCAGTCACTAATACAGTAGACGCTGCTTATTGTGAACACTGGTTTTTGCTATCAGCCGGATCATGTGATCAAGTCTCGAGAGCCAAATCCAATATTTCGCTATATTTTTCTCCGGTTTATATTATTACCTGTCGCCGGATATGGTCATCAAGCCATACGTCGAACACTGTTCTGTCACTATCAGTTACCGAATCTTATGGTATTCAGGGAAGGAAAAGGGGTGAGATATCCCTCCCCAGAGTTGAGGGGGACTTTTCCTTCAGGCTGGACACCGGGAGGAAACACTGTACGCGTTTTGGACGCTGTGCACATCCTCGCGCATGCTTGAAATATTTTCACCGTGACATCCACCATCAATTGCTTCAGAAAAGCGGGATTTTTGTCCTGCACATTAAATGACATAGAAGGACTTGGAGACCACTGGTAGAAGTACCTCCTCCCGACGGGATGACCCACGAAGCCTTTCACGAGTGGGTCGCTATTGATAACCTGCCTGTGACCACAGAACTTACGGGGGATGAAATAATAGAAGAGATTTGGCACCGCGGAAAACCAAACCCGGAGGTAGAATCTGAGGGAGAAGAACCCGGCGTTGCAGACAACCAGCCCCATGTCATCCCGCGACGCAGGTGCTGCCTTGACGGTGCCCCGAAGGACTCCGGTACAAGGCAGTGCAGGGCCGGCCCTAGCTATTTTGGCACCTTGTGCAAAGAGACTACCAACGCCCCCCTCCCCCCTCTCAGAAGGGAGAAGGGTCAACCCCTAGCGTCCAAAAAGACAACGAAACGGAAGGCATTTCCACTTTCTCAAGTAAAACTGAGAGTGGCATCCATTATTGCTTCATTCATTCTGGCACGTTTTGGCGTTCCTGGTGAATTTGCGCCCTGTGCGGGGGCACATCTGGCACATGCCTAAGGCCGGCCCTGACGCAGTGATACGACAGATTATCATTTATCCTACAATTTTGAGACGAAACTGGAGGGTCTCATAACCGCAACTTCCCCGCAGAGGACTTTGGAGGACTACTTCCTCCAATAAAACCGGTTTGGTCGAGTAAAAACTGAATTTTCGAGTTTTCATTGATTGCCGCTGCCTATTGTTACCAGCCGCTTGCTATCAAATTTCCTTGCACCAACGCGATCACGATGAGCGGCGTCTGCTCAAGTTGCTTTATTGCACAATGGAGTGCATGCTGTACCTTTTTTTCTGTACAATTTTGCCACTCCTGGATATTATCGATCTGGGTCTCCAATTTACTCAAAGACTTCTAACATAAGGTAGACGATACCTAAGAATAAGCATCATTACTTTCAACTTGAAAATGGCAAAAGTCTTGCGTAACATAGAAAGGGTTAAGGAAAGTCATACGGAGACACCTATCCGTACAGTGCCTTCTATGGTAGTATGGTCTGTAGAGGAACGGACAATAAAGAAGTCTCTTGATTGCCTAAGAATTTTCAGTTGACAATTTTAAACAACCATGTCCATTCATCTGTTCCCCCCTGCCGCCTCCCCCCCCTTTCAGCGAAAGTCTGCAGATAATTTACCACTTTTTCACCTTTTAAGTCGTGGCTGATTGATGGTTAATAAGCTGTAATCCGTAACACACTCACGTCATCCTAATTAACCCTTCCGGTACTACGAACCTAACAGTTACGTTCAGGAAATACTGAATCGGACCATGCTTACTTGTCCAAGAATACCAGGCACTGAAGCGTTACTGAGGAAAGTGAAACTTTCAGGAGTTTATTATTCCTGTTGCTACAAGAATTAAAGGCTAACTTTTATTTTTACGCATACTGCGCGCAATCGCAAAAAAAACTTCGGCAGGGAAGGAGACCGCTACGATTTAACTCAGTACCGAAAGGTTTAAGACTTATCGACTTCTGTCCCATAGCATTCATATGAGACTCACCGCTGGAATTTTGAACAGCCAGTACGAATTTGGAACTCCCATATATCAGATGGAGAAGGGGGGATGGTTCCCGTCTTCAGAGGCATCCAATTTCCCTTTGTAACAATTTACAGGGATTTCTGTCTCACAGCATTCGAGCATTTATATGAAACTATACAAAACTATGGTTGCATGACAATACCATCGCCAAAAAAAAACTCGACCAAGAAGGAGTTGAGCGATTTGATGAAATTTAGTACACAAGCTCGTACCAGCCTACCATGAAATCGATCAGAGTTTCGAGTGCGTGGGATGAATATTAATGAAGAAAACTTGCTAATTAACTCAATTTCAATAATGGCTATGGGGTCATACTAATCTCCCGAAACTGTTACCTAGAAGGCTTTTACTAATGAAACGTGGTAGAAAAACTAATAAAGATGAGCAGAAAAATCGAGCAAAGTTTCGAGATCGTGAGATGAGGCAATGCAGGTAAAACTTGCTAAATGCCTGAGGAATTGGGACACATTTATCAGCTTCATGCATCAGGCTGATGAATGGTAAGCATCCTGATGACCCTCCACGGATCAAACACCCCAAGAACTTGCTGGAATTGCTTCCAGAGATCTCACCTTGGCACCGCCTCGCAGTTATACACTTGACAACGGTGAAGTGGCTTGAGGTGGAGAAAAAGGAAACTGGCGCCTTCAATGATGCAGCCCTCTTCCCCAATTCCTCAGGCATTTAGACAAGTATCACTGAGATGCTTTCTTCACTCTCATCCAACTACAGTTGGGTCTATCAGAGAACAGAGGATCTTGAGGAGCATTTCAGGGTGAAGTGCTTTCTATTGCTCTCCAAAAGGAAAATTGGGTATGACAGCAGAGCATTCAGAATATTTCTATCTACCACTGACTTCTGCATGAAATTTAAGTAAAAAGTTTGTGAACTAGTTTAAAGCTCAAGCCAAGCCTGTACAAAACCCTTTACAGAACCCATTCCTGGTTCCCATCATGAATTCAGTTGTGGGAACCCAAAATGAATCACAGGTGAGAATTGAAGAACAAGATGATCTTGGCACATTCATGTAAGCCCATGTGACAAGAAATGTTGTTCAGCAGGGAGAAATACAGATTCTGTCATTGTACAACCTAAGGATGAAGCAAAACTCATTTAGATCTCTTTCACTTCTGAACCTATTTTTTATCCAACATCCAAGAGATGATCTTTCCCACCCAGTTTGGTAATGATAGATTGGCAAAGGACTTTTTTCATAAGGGCTTTTATTATCAGCTTGAAACAGGCCACATCAGAAATAAAATTACCATCGCCCTGGGATGAGCATAGACTACAGGGGGCAGGTATTATATCATGGCACCACAAAAATGGGGAGGGGAAAATATTAATTTGTGCATCAGGAAGATGAAGTATGGGAATGTGCAAGCAAACAGCTAGACAGTCTTCATCGCAGGTAGTCAGATATCATAATTCATAAGAGATCATTTGCAGTGCAATGGTCCAACTATGGCATGCAAGCAAACTCAAAATGAAATGGAAGCTTGCCTGAAAAATAAAAACTCAATGCTATCTTAGACTCAGCTAAGTCAGAAAGATCACGTGCTAGGAAGCCATACACTATTTGAGAGGGTGGATTATAATGAAATCAACAAGGGGAATGCAATGAGGAATGCATGTAATCCAATCAGGACTGAAATTATTCCAAGCTCAATGGATTGACTTTGCTCACATGTGACAAGTATGTCACTTTAAAATAGAGCTTTTTTTCCCTCTGAAAGCTCCTTTGGTCAGCCCTTAAGAATTCTATGGTCTGGAGATCAAGAAAAAGATATAAGCATAGCACCTGGAATGTTTTTTGCTATATGCCAGTTTCTTGGTTCTGTGTACAAAATGAGCTGGTTATTGGCACAAAATCAAATAATAAAAAAACTGACTACACTAGTTGAAGAGACAACAGGAACAAAAAATCTAGGCACAATGGAATCTTCATATTTTTCTTGGAAAAAATCAAGAAGGCTAGTGAAAGGCACAACATAATTTGCATTGACACAAAGGCCAGCAAAAAAACATTTAAAGCTGCCTAAGCTAACATGACAATATAATGACAGCTAATACTCTAGTTTTCATGAAAATGCAACATAGAGGAGGACATTAATATACTCCAGCAATGGCACAAAAGATAATGAATTTGCAAGCCCTAAGGTTTCAGTTTTATGTGCCTACTTGTGCATTGGATGTGCTCACAACAGCTCCTATTACAGTAAAAGACACCATCTTGGGGAATACATCAGCCTGCTTTTTTCTGCCTTCCCTACAAGAGCTTCCAAGAACTTCTTGGGCAGCCAAAGCAGCCAAAATATCTGGACCAGACCAGTGATAAGATCAATCAAATTCACCCAAATAGGTGGCCTTTGCATCAAGACAAAGTATTATAATTGATTGCAAGTCTTTTTCCATCCTTCCCTGGAAAATCTCAATATTTTTAGACTGGATATTTTGTCCCTTCTATCAGTGGTGCAGCCAGGAGGGTTGCAAGAAGCCCCTAAACCAACTGTGATGTGTGTTTTCTGGTACTATTCCATCGCACTTATGGTTGGCAGGTTTGTGTTCCCACTTTCCCTTATTAAAAAAATCTGGGCTACACCACTGTCTCCTATAGAGATGCAACAGTATTGAAAAATGGTCACTGACTGATATCCTGAGTAGAAAGTGTCAACTTTCTCAGAGAAAACATTTAAGTACATTGGACATGAAAAATAATGAACTGTTACTACAAGTAGGCCAATGAGGCATGAATTTATTTATTTTCAAGTAGGTCCTATCATATCACTGACCTCTCAGCCCCTGACAACATTATCAAATCAATAGTTTGCAAGTAGCAAAAAAAGAATCAAGAGTATGTTTAGTTATCAGAGCATATTTTCATAGAATAAATCTTGAGTAACCCCATCAACAGTGCCATTGGAAGATAATGTGAAGTATTATAAGCATCACTCTTCCCCCAAAATTGAGGAGGAAGACCAAAAAGGTTGCTGAGGTCCAGCTGATGGGAAAGGAATAAAATAGTGGTCAAGCACAGTTTTCCTAGGTGTACATGCCTTACTGATAGTCATGAAAGGGAGATAATCCAATACTACCCAAAAGTACAAGTTACTTCATACCAGTCAGTACCCAGGAAGATACAGTTGCATCTCCAATAGAAGCACAATGCCATAAATATCCATATGTTTCATAAAATAAAAAATCAGAAAAAACATTGTGCAATACCTACACATTGGCACTTGTCTGATAGAGCCAGACACAAGGAGTGAAGACTCAAAACTGAATCACATGGAATCACAAGAAGTCAAATCCAAGGTCATGACTGAATAAAGAGAGGGACAAAATAACAGGAGGCCAGCCTGGTATGCAGATGGTTAGATATCAGAAGTCATGCGTGAAGTGAGAGCCTGCACACGCTTCGCATTGCAGCTCTTGCATAATACATGACCATCAAGGGGGTAGCAACCACTTCCACCTTCAGCAGATGATAAAATCAGGCCACAGTCCTGTAAAGTGGAAAGGGAATGCACTAAATGCAAGAACGAATAGCACACCTGCAAAGACTCATAACTCTCTTTCTCCAGTTCTAGCCTAATTCACTCAGCCAATTTTGATGTAATGTCATCTTACACAATTATACATCTCATAAATATAAACAATCACAGATATTTAAACAGAAATTAGCTCTAGAAGTGGTAACTTCTGGGTAGGCCAATTTCAGATGTGACACACTACCTGACCTGAGCCTGCAAGGAGGTAGCTCATTGCTATCTTGAAGTACGAAGTAAAGCATGAAAAGCCACAGTCTTACCTCACATTTGTAACAGTTTACATGGAAGCTTCGGTCAAGAGCCACAACTCGAACAGTCTCCTCCTGACCTGGTTCAGGCATGATGGGCTGTTCACACACAGAACAGCGGGGTGCAAACTTCTTATGAAAGTCCTGCATGAAAACAAATGAAAGAATAACTTCTAGAATTAAATACCTAATGGAACAAGAAACATCTGTGGAGACACTGACTTCAATGCAATGGATCCTGTTGTGAGCATCCACAGTGAATGGAATGCCATCTAGACCCTTTCCACAAGCAACACAGCTGAAGCATTGTGGATGATATGGCTTCCCAGTTGCTCGAAGAATGCGGTCCAGAATTGGCATGGCACAAACACTGCACTTCTCAAGTGTTTCCTGTTTCACAAAAATATGACAAAAGAGACCCAAGGTCACAGCATACTTATAATGAAAAATTATGAACTAAATGAACTTCAAACAACATACCAGGTAGTCTTCTTCACAGTATGGCTTTCCATCCACTGGATAGAATGGCTTGCCCTGAAGCTCTTTGTCTGCAAAGATTCACAAATCATAATAAGCATAGATGCAGTTTTGTACGTCACTCACAGAAAATACAATAGGGAATCCTCACTGCACACAAAGCATGTGAAGCAACGGATGTGATACACTTTTTCCATTGCAGTACATCCAGTTCGCTCTCCCACAACCTTCTGCCCACAATTGTGACATATCCCTATTGAAATTATGAAACATTAAATAATCCAGGAAGCTTACAAAATAAAAATTCAGTCACCTGTAAAAGAGGATGAACTTACCAAAGAAATCTGAATCTCCAGGGCTCTCCATAGATCGCACAAGAAGGTTGGTAAGGTCATCAACAGCAGAAGCTCTTCCACTTCGTGAAGGCTGACTATTCAGAGCATCTGCTGAAGGGTAGTTGGGATGTCCATAGCTACCCAAGCTGCTGTATCCTGACTGGGATGAAAGCTGGCTTGGAGGTCGAGGGTTCACCGGCTCATACAATGACTCGTACATCTGGTTCAACCATGTACTGGTATTCACATCTGTCTACCTGAGTCAAGAGATGAGCAGAAAATGAGTAACATTACCTTCTGAGATGCTTTCTGAGGTGCTTGTGGAAGTGGTTTTTGTGCTTGTGGTTGAGCAGTCACTCTCCTAAGTTCAGAGTAAGATGATGACACTGGTGATGGAGGAGGTGGTGGAAAAGAACCTTCAGGGATATGCCCAGAATTTGCATAATGGACAGGCTCTGGTGGTGGTGGAGGTGGCAGGTCTTCTTCTGTTGCATACGTAGAGTATGAAGATACACCTGGAACAACATCAACAACCTTCCTTTCCTCTTCTACTCATCACAAGAACAGGCTTGCAAAGACTACTGTCAACAAAAGTGACAGATACTAGAGGTACTAGAGTATGTGCAACTTATGAGAAATATTCTGAGGGCACTCTAAAGGAGATTCTCACTTCAGGATGCTCTCAAGAACTAGGCAGAGGTCTTTTACTTCTCCATGCAGATGATGCTTGAAGTCAATAATAATAGCAAAGCTGCAATGGTGATAGATTTCCAACACTCTTTCAAAGGAAAAGCTAAAAAAAACTATACATTGAGATATTTACACCAAAGTTTCTATTTTACTGCAGAGTAGCAAGGAGGAACAATTCTGGAAGTATAACCCAGTCCAGCAAACATAGCCTAAACAGCAACTTGAGGTTTGAGAGCAACTTAATTTTAAGTGTGGTAGTTTGGATATAACTTTCACCAAAAAGTACCATTACGAACATTACTAATGTGCTGGTGCATAATGTGAAGCTCAATCTGCAAGAAAGACTTGAGTCTTTTACTTCTTTGTGATTTCATTGGCTTAAAATTGGGACATTAAACTTTCTTCTTTATAGAGATAGGACCATCTCTATTAGGGGGATAACAATGACATACGAGTCTAGGTGAACTATAACAACTGCACATGCATCTGGGTACAAACACTGTTTCATCAATGTGTCTAACTTGCATTCCCTGGAATTATCCAATAACAGGAAAATACTTTGATGACCTGACTGTTAAATTAATTCAATTCCTAACAAATTCAACATAAAACAAGTTACAACTAATTTACACCTCAATGACACATTATTTCCTACCAAGCCCTGAATGAAAGAGTGAGATTTAGCAACAAAAAAAAGGCATAATACATGAGAGGGCTTAAGTTGCAGATACCTAGAGCTTTATAGCTATTGCTAAGAACATGAAACTCCTCTGCTTACATTATTAGCAATTTTGAATTGGAAAACTCCAAGCCAAGACACAATATGAAATGAAGAACCTGAATGAAGAATCCTGTCAGTCAGGGTTCTTTCCCACTCTTCCTCCCACCTCCCCATTAATTACTTTTGTGGATCCTGAAAGCTTTGCTTCTCTTGAATGACTGCCACATGACCTTAAGGAACTTCTCTGGTATCATCAGGAACACCAGTGGGTTAGACATGGTAAGAAAATGGAATCCATCTAGAGACATTCTCCCCATTTTTCCAAACCTCCAAGCCTAGTGGCTTGGAGGTTTGGAAAAGAAACAGCATCCCACAAACAACAAGAAACAAATGATAGAGAGGAACCTCACATTTTAACATTAGCAATAATGCATTCACTAATATCAGACATAAATTTACATTTTGGCTGAAATATGCAAGGTCAAGACATCTCTGTCTTATTGACAGCAGTCCTCATTTACAAAACGATCCTCACTTGCAGCACTATTGAAGTTATCCAGATCGCTGTAATTGGAAGCACTGCTATAGTTTGAGCTGTTTCCATAGTTGGCCATGTTGCTGTAATTGGAGGGGTCAATGTAGTTGGCATATCTTGAGGGTGCATCTCCATAGCCTGGAGGGCTGACCACATTGTAAGGTGCACGGGCCTTGGGGGGTAATCCCATGCTAAGATTTGCATATGTGTGGGATGTTCCTGTTGCACTCATGCCAGATCTTGGGTTGCTTGATTCTGTCACTGGGGACTGAAGCATTGTGCTGAAAGATGGCTCCATCTGATAGTTTGTACAAGAACTTTGGGGTACCAAAGGCATATTCTGGAAGAGAGAGAATATAAAAAATACATAGAATAAATATAGAATATTTAGAGACTATTTATAATTTAACAGTAGAGGAGGCAGAAGTGATAAGAAATGAAAAAAAAGTTTCATTGTGAGCTGTCATTAAGAGAAAATTATTCATCTGAATAGCATGAAAATTGGCATAAATATGAATTAGATACACCTCTAACTGAATATTATTATTATTTGTGACCATTATTTGTGCAGTAACTTGGATATAAAACTATCATCAACCTCTTCTTCCTCTAATAGTGTCTTTCACAAACCCAGTGGGTAATAAGCAGGGTTGTTCAGAGTCGTGATTTTTTTTTAACCCTGGTAAAACCTTGTAACAACTGCAGGGTTGAAAGAAAACTGGGATAGTGGCAAAAATATTATTTCTTATGTTCCAGAGGGAGAAATGTAAATGGATCTATGGTAGGCTGATCTTAACATATTAAATGTCAAGGGGTAAAATGCTGGTCCTCCCTGTAGCAGCATGTGAACAGCATCAAGAACATGAGAAGAAGTTCCATCTGATCTGTGGCTTTCCTAATTTTATTTAAGAAATTGTAAGCAAAATGTCTTCTTCCAAACAATGTAGGACTCCTTCAAAAGTAGTCTGTTTCAAAGGTCAAGTAACTCTCCTTTTTCTCTTACCAACCAGTTCAAAAAGACAGTGAAAATGCACTTGATCTGTCTACAACCTAGCAGCCTGAGTTTACTCCCTACTATAGGAATGAAATCAGCTTAGATATTTTAGTAGCTAAATTCATATGTATAGGCTATATCAAGGGTAGCCCTATATTCAGGTATATCCAAGGCAGTCTGGCTGTTCATGTATTAGTGCAAATCCCCCATGCCTAACTTTGGTGGAGCATGACCTTTCCTCAGGAAGCTCAATTTTTTTAGTGTTATAATAGCTAGAAAGTCAGTTGAAGTTAATAAAAAAAAAAGGGCTTGCATGCAGATGGGGACCTAACAGGATTCAGTTTTGATGTCTAGGCCAGTGGTTCCTAATCTTTTTTTTATTTGTGGCACACATAAGGACACTTGAACTTTCCACAGCACACCCAGCTATTTACTTACTTTCAATGGGAAACTTGTGCTTGCTTTGCTGAACACAGCAGTTTGATACGAGGCATGATAGTGCAACTCTAAGTTTGTTTTCCACTGAGAGATGGCTTTCCCTCTTGTTTTTAAGTTTTTTTAGTTTTAGGTTTTTAGTTTTTTTTGTCAACTCTCAAATCTCACGGGACACCTAAGCCTTACTGGCAGCACACCATTTGGGAAACACTAGTCTATGCCTACATATAAACCATTCTTACCTGTTGTTGTGACTTTCTTGGTTTTGGTGGGACCAATGGAGCAACTTTTCTGTAAATGCCTTGATTTCCAGGGTACGACTGAGGCACTGCATGGCTGAGGTGAAGTTTTGCCAACTCTGCATTCAAGGATGTCATGTTCTTTGAAGATTTCATGGTTCTGGCCTGTCAAACACAGGCCAACTAACTGGAAAATAAAAAAGGGCACCATTTGCTTCCATTCATAGGCCAAGTTAGAAAGTACAAGCCCATATCTAAAGTCTAACTTAAATCCTAAAGTCAAACTCTTCCCAAAAAGGACCAAACGTTGGGCTAGGCCTAGGCTAACAGATGAGAAATGGTGCATGTCAAATGCACAACATGCACTGGACTCCTAAAAGTCGGTCTGGCGTAAGCCTTCAACAAAATATAACGTTGGGACCTAAACATAGACAACGTAAGTCCCTTACCCTAGATGAGATTAGGCTAACTTAGGACTATGAGGCCTAAAAACCAGTCCGAATTCCAACTGCTCGATTACTACAGCTGTTACGTCCAGGCCTATAGAAAAGCCATTATCAAGTATCCTCTGCTGGTACAATGACTTGCTCGCCTATGACTGTATGATAAGCAAGTCGCTATTGGTTGAATGATTCAACTAAACCGAGAAGAAGGGGTATCGCAATGGTCTGATTCAGCGAGGCGATCGCAGCCCCTGCATTCAAAAGCCAGGGCGAAGTGAGTAGGGTCAAGGCGCATGCGCCTATGGAATCCGTCCTGGTCCATATGACCATGACGGAGGCCACGGGTATCCAGCCCACTCGCAGCTACCTAGTGGATGTCTTAGCCCTTTAACGTGGGAGATTTTCCGTGTCCAGGGGGCGAAAGGAAGGGGGGAGGGGAGGTTGTTTGCACAACTGTTAAAATGTCATATGACGGGCGTCCCCGTTGAAGGGTTAAGGAGCATTTAGAAATGTGTCCCTGTTAGTATCTCGTAAATGGAAGAAGATAGGCTGCACCTCGACAGACTAAAAGAAAGTCCATTTCCCATGAAACACGAAGTGACGTCATCGAAGGTTTCTTCTTTCTTTTCGCACTTTATAAGTGTAAGCGGGGTTTCACCCATTTGATAGATGCCCCATATATCCGCGTAAACCATGAAGATATGAAGTACAAAATTTGGCTTCGTGATGATTCTAGTACCATAACCGGGAAATTACGAGTTTTGTCTCGTCCAGGAGTCTTCGTTAAACTTCAAGGTTTGGGCTAGGATGCCGAAAGGCATTTCTGTCCAAATTGGCATTCTCAGTCGAAGTGGAGTGCTCATTCTAACTCCCACCCCCAAGCTCCGATTGGCCTACCCCTCTAAACAAATATATTTTGCATGGGAGCGATTCAATCACCTGCATAGTTGATAATACCTATATTTTTCTCTCTTTTTTCTAATGAAGACTCTAGCTCTCCGCTGATAGTTATCTAGAGAAGGAGCAGTTATCATCAAACAAAAAGCGATTCTGCAACCTGGGTTTCACCTGAGGCTTACGCAACTTCCGGTCCCCCCTCGTTTTGCTGTTACTATAGAGTTGAAAATATCCACCTCGTTTCACGTTTTCAAAGTCGTTAATCCTATCGGGCATGGAAGGCCTCCACTGCCATTCTCCTAAATTTTTTCAAGGAATAACTTGATCTGTATTGTTTTCACACTTCCTTAATGGAAATCTATAAGTATGCAATCTGGAAATTTCGCCCTGTTATCTATCCGCTGCACCTAAAAAAGATGCAACCTTCTCATAAAACAGGGACGTGATAACGAAGCGATAAGACCTCTCCTCAAATACAGGGTCGGGCAAAAGTCAGTTTACCGTAAGCACGTGTTTTTAATTTTTGTTTTTGTTTATTCCAGATTGAAATTTGAAAATAGAAATTAAAATTGGAAATTGGAAATGGAGCAACGTATGAAACTAACAATGGGGCAACGTGTGTTTCTTCTGCAGGAATGGTGGAAAACAAAACATGGGCTTATTTATTACCTTTTATAATATATTACCAATCATGCACTTTCGGTAAACTGACTTTTGCCCCACCCTGTATTTGGAAAGAAGGGAAAAGGAAAATATGCAATATGCATATGCTTGCACGGTGGTTCCGTATAAGGAAATTTCGTCAATCCGAAGCTCATCACATTTCTTGGTGCAAGCATTCTCCAATCAAGGGGATTGCTATGGAGAATATGATTTTCAACAATTTTACAAAATGCTCTGAGAAAAAAAAAAATCAGCATAATGTTTACTTCTCGCTCATGCTCGTCACAGTCTGAAGGGTCATTCCATGTGCCACCTCGACTCATACGCGAAGTCAAGGGTAGCGTTTACCAAGCCAATTCCTCCAATGAGTCTTTCTCGTTCACGTCACAGAATCGAGAAAATTTGTGCCACAATTGCATGACATGCATTATTTTCACATTCATATAATACATGGCTTTCTTCTCTGGTTCTCAATGTAGAGCGAGATAGGGAGACCCAGTCCTTAACACATTCACGTTTCATCCTCCCTGACAAGGGAAGAGGACAGCTGAAGTGGACTGCCTGATGGAACGTGAGGGAGAAAGAATGAGAAACTCCCTTTCTTTTAAGAAGTAGGACACTACGGAGGGCGTTCTCATTTTTGGCATTTCGCTAGAAACATTTTCTGCATGTATATACCAAGCTAAGCTCTCTCTCTCTCTCCTTCGGGGGGTGAAAGATGTTGAATGCTTGGATGAGATCCTCCGCGTTCATGTGCTCTCCGTCGAAGAGTCTGTTCGGGTGTTTAAACGCCGCTCGTATACGAGTTCCCGTAGCATCTTAATCATTTTTGTAGCTCGTCTTTGAGCCCTCACCAGGGTCATGAAATCCCTTTCATTTGCAGATCTCCAAGATTGAATGTAGTTTTCTACATGGGAGCTTAGCAATGCAGTTTACAATGGAAGGACAAAGCGCTAGTTCTGACGGCAACGGAATGCCGGAAGCTTAAATTCAAATAAGGTATAGCTGCAGTCGCTGGGGCGTCATCGAAAGAGAATTTCAACCCCACATCGATGATGATTCATAACGCGTATCACCGTCTGCCTCTCTTCCTGCCTCGCCGAACGCACTCAATGACTCATAACTATCATGGCACATGTCAAGTACTTTCACGAGCCATTTTTAATGCTCCACTCGAGAAAATGCCAGAAGTCCCTCTCGTTTCTCTCCTGTCCTGACCTTGTCCTATTACCCCGTGATGGAGAAACCAATTTTTGTGTCGTCGGCAAATGTTCTGCTTTACTCAGAAAGCCGTGGTCTAAATCATTAACGCGAAAGACCGACAGGAGCGGTCCCATAATGGAGTCCTGCGAGACTCCACTCGTCACCTTAATTTTTGTAGAGACGTCCCCATGTGAGATGCGGTCAGAAAGTTCGGGGGGACTGACTACACAGTTCAGCCCCAAAATCGGCCAAAAAAACGCGCCGGTCTTTCAAAATCTTGGGCGTTCTTGCGCCGGCAGAAAACGCAACAAAGGTTTCTTTTGTAAATACTTCTATCTACCCTCTAATCATCCTAAAACTCTTATCTGTTTTTCTCTAGCCGTTTTAACCGTACGAGCGATTTAAAAAAAAACTGGGCCTTTGTTTTTGCTCGAGGAAAAGTATTAGCGGGAAAATGGTTGGTAGGGGCAGCGCGCATCAATTTCTGGCCAGAGCTCCTTTGTCTGCCCATGAAAACGTCAGTCTATGCGAAAGGATCGGGTGAGGCACGAATTTTCCAAGGATATCCTGGTAAGGAACGGAAGAAATGTTAGCCTGTCGTTAAGAGATCGATCTGCTGCGAGAAACTGGACGAATCGAGAAGAGGTAGCGGTCGATCCAGGAACGCAAAAGTCCCAGCTGCAGTTGCCAGAGACGCAAGCGCGAGTCGGAGATTTCTTCAACGAATTCCGAAGTGCAGATCTAAAGATCCATATGGATCTAAATATGGATAAAATATGGATCTTTAGAGACTGGAGGCATCCAAGGGGTCGCAAAAAAGGTCTCTGCGGGCCGCGGGTTGTGCATCACTGCTCTAGACAGCAGACAGGTTGCTGCTTGGCATTCGCATGGTCACTAAGGTCCCTAGTGGCGTTACACTATTATGTCATCATTTGCTGAGTAGACCTTGATTTTTGGTAGCACAGTACGTGTATTGTGTAGAGAACTGAGCAATTAGTAATGCCTTAAATGTGCGATTGGTGCAATTAAATTTGGCGCAGATGGAGTTCATGGACCAGGGGTGGATTGCATAAAACTGACTTTAGCGTAATGAACCTTTAAACTTCCATTAGCACCTCTAAAGGAGGTATAAACCTCCCTTAGCATAGCTGGAAGCTTCGTTTGAAAATGTTCGCATGTAAAGCCGCAGTAAATGTGAGCAAGAAAGAAATATCAATAGATCCTGTAAAGCAGACGCTCTTGTGGCTGGTTGGATCTCGTAAGTCTGTCATCTTCAATCGTGACTCTCGGGATCGGCGAGGAAATTTTATTTATTTGCATTAAAAGTGACTTTTTGAAAAGCAAGCATTACTTGCTATTCCTTCACAGTGGATCTTTTACAGAAGATCGATCTTACTCTTACCGAGAGGCATGCGTGAGAGTGGGGAAATCCCAGGCGGACCAACGGTCTAACTTCCGTCGATTCAATGCAAAGGAACAAGCAGACGACTAGTTTTTGCTTTTTTATTCAGCCCTAGTTGAGCTATCGTGGCATCTACACTTTCTATTGAGAGTAGAGATGTCATGGTGTTACGGTACCGTCAGTGCATCACAATTTCGGATTAACAATACTCTTAGTGCAATACGCTTGAAAATTTTCCATCTCCCTCCCAAAAGCTATGTACGGCTTACTCTGTCATACGCTTACAGTGCAATATTTTAATTATTGTGACCATAGATCATTTTAAGCACCAGCTGGAGAGTAATTTCTACGATGAGCAAAAGGCATGGAAAATATTCCACATAAGTCTATTATAACCTCCCTCTAGCACACGAGGTTTTCATTTTAACGTTTGACCAGCCAAACCTAGCTAAATTTAAATTTTACAAGGCTGAATCAAGTGAGGTAATGTTGAATTCAACATGATGAAAGAAGTAAAATGATTACACTCAAGTCGTTTGGATTTTCCACCCAAACTCAGACATTGTGGAGCGATGTGCATTACAGAGAAAGTACCATTTTAGAGTTAAGGGATAAAGCATCAGCTTCCTTCTCCAATCATAAACTGATCGTTCAACATTTTATTGAAACTAATAATAGTTTTTCTAGGTACTTACACCTACCTAAGGGTAACAACCCAAAACTACCAAAATGTACATGGCTATGGACGACACCACGGGAGACATCGACAAGAAATTTACAGGTTGTCTCATGCGATTGTTTGAAGAACAAAAAAAAATTAGTCGCTAAAAAACCAAGCAAAGGCTTTTTTTTCTTGCACTACATCAAATGAATGAGAGTGTCAGTGAGTATCCTGGCATCCTCCGCGCACGACCAGACTCGCTCTATTTGCGCCCAGCTGAGCAGACGGATGCAGAAACACTCGATATGGCTCGGAAAATAAGCAGTTTCTTAGGCTCTGAGGAACCAATTTCATTGAAGTTTTCAAGAAACTCTCCACGCATGTTACAATCGAAAACTCTGTAAATTTCCTGCCGATATGGTGTTTGGTTTTTCGCCTACAATCATGTAAAGTTGGGAAATCCGTTTTTCTCCGGATATACCCCAGCCCTTCGGTATCCCAAAACATTCACTGAGTAAATTGCGAAAATCTCAGAAAACGCAGAATGAAGTTTACATTTTGACCCTGAACTCCAAGGTATCTACATTCCCGACACAGCACATGTACCTGTATATCCCAAAGATATCCCCTTGGGGCAAGTGAGAAGTCCCAGAGATAATTAGTAGGGACATCTCAAGGATACCAAAATGTTAGGGCACAAAGACACCCCAGAGATGTCCCTTTCTTTCTAAACGCATCCTTTTCCTGCCATGCAGGACGACTCTTGACTTTCTGGTGTCCCACTTGGTATATTCTTCCTGTAGGGAAATATTTAGTCTGTCATTTTATAGCTCAATGCTGAATCTGTTATCACATGTTCACCTACTATACTTCTCTAATCTTCTAGTGGGAAGAATACAAGGTGGCATGTGAGTTACAAGCCATGGGTTTGATTACCATTCAAATTGGCAATTTTCTAGCTTACTACGTTGCTTGTGTCTGGTTCCTCCAAAAGAGACTTTTCAGAAAACCATCACATATCACTTACTCCTCTTTAATTGAAGCAAAATCAAGGGATTGATGAAAGCATCTGAAAGTCATGGATAAGTCTTCCCTAAGAAAATTTTATTCCATCATCCTTAGATATTCAAATACTCAAATAGACCAAAGGAATGATTCTTCAGAGATTGTAGAACACTCTCCCAAAAAATCAATTGATACAATGATAAATATAACAGCATCAGGAAATGGTGCACTGAAACACTTCATAATCAATACATATGTTTTTAATTTCCTTCGAGACAGGGGGTGCATTAATTCCTTCTCAGTCTTCCAGGAGCTCCTCATCCAGGTTGACATCCTGTAAAATCCCAGCATAATCAAAATGAACTGTCATATATATTGCTATTCCACATGATGTATGGACTCAGAGACTCACACTAGGATCCACATTATCAAGCTGCAGATTCTCAATCTCCAGGTCTAGCTCTGTTTCAATTGCAGAGGTTGACAGGTGCTCCTCTCTCCTTTTAAGTTCATCTTCTGTTACAAAGGAACCAAAAGAATTAGGCATGCTGACTCTCAAACTGTATCATAACAAAATCCTAGGAATATTTTTCTGCACAAGAATTGAAAAAACCACAATATCTCAAATCCCAATGAAGGAAAACCTTCTGAATAAAAACAAAGTAAGAATTGCATGCCTTCACACCCCCAAAAGCAAGACAATAAGACTCTTGAGATATAAAAATCACCTGTAAAGACATAAGGCACTTGAAGGCATAATGATGGCACCTCTGGAAAGTGATTCTTAATCAGACCTTTCCTTTTTCTCAAGTGATGAAGTTAAGAGCTTAATTGGATCATAAATTCATAGACACAATCAGTAAGGAGAACATAAAAAGCTATTCTGCTTCAATTATACCTTTCAGTGGCTTTACTTGTCCTAAATAAATCAGAAATAACAAGTCCTGACATCTTCAATTGGGAATTAGAACAATTACTACTGTAATTTAGTTATTTCCAGGAAATTTTCTCAACAAGCTGCTATAATATCATCTAGTGATCTGCTTCAGCATAAGGAAGTTCATGAACATGAAATTAAAATATTGACTGGCCCTGAGAAAGCATGTAATTTGTACAGAGAATAATCATGAAAACATATCAGAGTATTCTACAGCATTAATGCTAATGCTGTAGAAACCAATTTCTTATGTCAAAGAAAATCCTCTTCAATTTACTTTGGAATGCCTTATGTTTTACTGTAGGCATGTTCACTAACATGAATGATGCATCCAATGAAAGTATAAGACTTCCATCTCAACATGACAGCACAAAAATTTTGTATCCTCATACTGTATTACATGCCATTTATTGCAGATCAAGCTGTGATGGGAGCAGAACACAAACTATTTTTCATGTCTGTATTTGTACATGCATCTGCAAGCATGTGAAGGACATACATAGGTATGTCAATAAGGTATATAAACTTATGGTTGGTGTCTATAAAGAGATACTATCTTGCACTTGTTTATCTCTCCTCTGTCACTTCAGGGGAACACTAGCCTCAAGGCTGATATAATTGTATACACTGTTGTATAAACATTTTCCATCACAATAAAGAATACTATTATTTACATAATTTTTCATCTTTACCTGGAAGTAGAGTGATTCCATGTGCGAATGTGAGTTTCTAAACCAACAATAACCAGACTATAAAGAAAGCCTACTCATTCTAAGAATCAATGGGAAAAGGATACCCCCAAATTAACCTTTTTTTTTTGCAATCCATGCTGAATGAAAATCAGCCTCAGACAGCCCTTTCTAAAAAAAACTGTGAGCTGAACAACAGTTTTGGAATTGGCTCTCCAATTTCATATTTTCTAGTTCATGAGCTATTTTGTACAATGCAAAAAGGAAGTGTATACAGGAGGTCCTCATCCACATGTCCTATCAAAAGGCATTTCTAGCAAAAGAAACTGAAGGTTGAATTATCAATCACTATATTAAATTCAATGGAAGTACAAAAGCAGACAATTATCTCACCAGTGGAAGGTGCATCCTTGAATTCCTCATCATCGTCATCAAGTAATTCCTCAAAATGTAATAAGTTGTTCAGGGGCTCTGAACTTGAGCCTGCACCTTTTTGCTCCTGATCTTTTGCCTTCCCTTCACAGGGTACATAGTGGAATGCTCCCTCCTCTTCTCTTGCCTTCATCTCCTCAATTGGCTTTCTCTCTTGATTGCCCTAAAAAATTAATCTCAAATATCACTTTCTCTGATTGAAGTTATGTGTTTCAGGATAATAGTTTTTCTATGACTGACTGGATATCGAGGGTATGAAGAGGCAGGTGGAAATCCACCTTTCCTCTGCTGTTGGAGGTATTGCTCTGCCTTCAAAGAATCCAGGAATCCTGAGAAGAGGTTCTCATATTGTTCTGGGTCTGCCAGGCTCTGCGCTGTCTTTGGTGCAGATGCCTTGAGGGAGTCCTTCCACATGCTGATGATACGGCTTGCCTGGCTTGGCATGTAGGTCCTAGAAAATGGAAATAAAAAGCATTTCCATCATACTCTGATTCAGTCTTGAAAATTATATGCCTGGCTGAAAAATGAGAGACCTGGCAAAGAAGGCAGCTTCAGGGAGACGGTTGGTATCAACCAGGATCTGGAGGCATTTGTCTAGCTGGCCAAGGAGGAAATATGAAAGGAATGCCACATTGTTTTTTCCACTTTCAGCACAGGAATCACCAAGTCGTTCCACCATCTGTGCATTCCCTTTATAAAAGAAGCAAAAATTATGCAATTTCTCATAAAGCAGGTCCTGACCAACTGTCAGTATGATAAGTGAAGTCTTTACCAGCAGCGGTAGCCATGAGGAGAAGGCCTCCATGATCATTGGCCTTGTGAAGGCACTCTTGAGCCAGTTTAAAGTCTCCTCTCAATGTGGCAAGCTCAGAGAGCTGTTTCCACTTGGTTTCTGAGTTTAACTCCTCTGCCAATTGGTGACAGAGCTTCAGGTCTCCCAATTGGAAAGCTAGCTCAAATTTATGCTCTGGATCTGTGCTAACAGCCAAGGCCTGCTTCTTGAAACCCTGTGAATGGAAACAAGGTAAAATTGAGGAACCATAGCTTCTAGGTGGTTCCTAGGTAAGAGCGCAGCAAAACAATTTTGTAATTTTCACACGTCATTCTTAATGTGGTAAGAAGGGGAAAAAAAAAAGAGTAAATACTTCTTAAGCAGTATGCTAACTACAGTATGTTGATTGATTGATTGATTGAAGGGTAAGAAGTCTCAAAATAAACTAAACAAAGAACCAGCTGTGTGCTAAGTCCTTGACAATGTTACATTAAAACAGCATGGAGAATTGGGGGGGAAAAAAAATCAAGAGCAATTAAATTTTGCAATTCTTTGTGCCTCATGAAATATTGCTGATGCAATGCTTAACTTGTTTTTCTAGACAGATATATCAAACCTGCTTCTCGAGGAAGCTGGCAACACGGGTGCGTTGTTCTTTGGGGATGGATGGGAGAACAGAGTCAGCTGTCTCAAAGTCCTTGCGCATCACAGCTGTCTGATACTCCAGGACTGAGAGAAGGAGTGAGTACGACATGATGTTCAGTTCTTTGTCACCAAGATAGAGCCGATTGTCCTTGGGAATATAACCCAAGAGGTACATGGTCCTGTGAGAATTGAAAATAAAAAAGACAGGCATAAGTTTTAGGCCTACCTAAGAAGGCTCATAAAATTCTCTAGTTAATCCATGCACACACAGGGAGAAGAATTTTGCACTTGTAAACAGTCATCCAAATCCCATAGGTTAACAAGGCAGTCCAAGCAGCCTCACATGTTCCCATGGAGGCAGTATGGGCAACCTCTAATTCTGGGTGGCAATGCTACATAATCCTAGTCTCTGAGGAAATAATGCACAGAAAAAGAGAAGAATGAAATATGTTGGAATTTTAAAAACATTTAAAAATTATAAGGGAAAACTACATAACCAAAATGTGGATCTGAAATACAGCATTTTTGTATTCATTTTGAACTTTTTGAAATTTGGCTTTGTACACTCACATGGAAATTCCATGGAGCTACCCATTCATTCATATTCATAACTATAAAAATCACTTTAAAAAGTAAAACACAAATCCAAAAAAAGATGAAGCCAATCCAAACCCACTCTGAAATGATAATTATCACACCTGTCCAAATGTGCAATGGTGACCAGTTCCCCTCCCACATAATAGTTGAGTCGGTTCACACCATTAGTATAGATGAAACAGTCTCCAACCCAAAGACCTGTCTTCACAGACTCTTGAACTTCTCCAAGCACCTAGAAATGAAGTCAAGAGACAAAGTATTAGAACAGCATAGATCCAAGTCCTACACAATGTTAATGCCAACATGTCATGGATTACCTTACTCAAGGACTATCAGAACTAGTGATAGTGTCTAGTATGTGTCAAGAGGTTTCTTGTCTGTAATCCAAGACATCAGGGTTTCCAATTATATATATTAATGTTCTTGCTCAGATTTCTACAGTATGTTCAACTGATAAGCAGCTCCACATCACTCAGGAAATGCTTCTATCCAATAGTTACTCATTTAGCTTTAGAGCATGGTCATTCATGGTCTAACATGATGAATCTAGGAGGGGCAACATTTGCTAATAATTCCCAGTCGGTTTAAATTATTTCATCCACCTTGAACCTAGTGATTATGGAGTCTACAAAGTGAATGTTAACATTAACTATTCCAAAACTGTCCAAGAATCATCACATACAGCTGAGCAACACCAATGCAATGACTGGCCTAATATTAAGTGGAACTTGATCCATAAGCATGAATTATTCCTTGAGCTAAGGTACTATGGTATTGTTTGTTTTACAGGGTGGCTCAAAAGCAATTGGATACTGTTAATGCATTGAAATGAATAGGACACTGCATGAATGTCTTATATTTTTACCTATAATAAAAGGCATGTTTCATGTGTCAAGTGAAGCCAAACATAAAAGTGGCAGAAAATATGCATGGCAACTGTTTGATGCTAGAACATCAAATGCCATTAGCTTCCATACATTCCCAAAGGTCAAATTACTTTTGAGCTACCCATGATTTTATGTAAGGAAATAAAGGATGGAACACCAAAAGAAGGATAATGCAGATCCAAAACTGTTCTTCCTCCATCACTTTCACTTTCAAGTCAACATGAAGTCTCACTCCTTCACTACATCCATTGCTGCATACAGGCAAGGATCTAAACCAATATAATGGCTTCCTGACAGAACATCATCACTTTATGCCTGAAAAATAACTATCCCCTCACATCAAGAGCAGATTCAATGCCATCTTCTGTAAGGCCCGTCTTTGTCTGGTGAGCTTTGGTCACTTCAGAAGAATCATAGCGAAGGATAAAATATGAGTCTTCAGTAGCTATGCAGACCAGTTCCCCAGTATCTGACCAAAACACATGCTTTGGTTGAATCTCAATGCGACGAATGAGATCCAGACTCTCCCAATCATAGAAGGCAAGGCCTGAAACTGATCGCACTCCAAGGAGAAAGCCACCATAAATCCCTGGATTTCAAAGGAAAAATGAAATTTCTCTTAGTGAAGAGGGATAAGCAAGTAATGAAAACAGCATATGCCTATAGCAAACTTCACTGCCTATTGCTTACCCTCAGCACCAAATTCTGGTTTAAAGGACTTCTTCTCTTTGAAATTTTTGAAGAGCTTCACCATTGTAGAATTTTCCCGAACAGCATATTCAGAAGAATCTAATGCCCAGACAAACTCCTGAGCACTGCCAAATGCCTTGTTTCTCAGTGCCATTGCTGTATAGATGATATATTCTCCATCTCCACACACCACCACAAATCTGTTAGAGGCAGACAAATTTCAACATATTGCTGGCCCAAATTTCAACAGGAAAAATTAATGTTTGACAGAAACTCTTACCTTCCATTGGGGTTGTGAGCAATGGTTTGGGGATAGATTTCACATGAGCCCATATCCTTGACCACAAGAGGGAGCCTCTCTCCATCTTTGACCTCAGAATCACCAATGGCCTTCAAGTTGGCCTGCTGAATTTCAGCATGCCTGGCCCAGATAATCTTTCCATTGAGATCCATGGACATGGCTGGTTCTTCCCTCCCCAACTGTCATGCAAGACATATTAAATATAATATGACAATCTGTTAGGTTACCAATACATAGCTGGCCTACTAGAGTTTAGGATAATCAAGTTACCTTGATGATAATGCTCCCCTCATCATAGCCAAGAGCAATATTGTTTGAACCCTTTAGAGAGGCAATGGTCCAGACTCGCTCTAATCCATAATTCAAAGTGTTTTCAAGCCTATAAGTATTTGCATGCCATATCCGAACAGTCCCATCTTCTGATCCAGTCAAAATGATAGGAAGCTCTGGATGGAAACAAACTATTGAGAGGAAAGACACATATTAGCTGCATGAACTTGGCATTTGAATGGCAGCAAGTCATACTCCTGCATTCACCTGATGAGATGTTTTGTGCATGTCCCTCAAGTGTCTGAACACAGGTCTTGTTCTGGTAGTCCCAGATCTTAACTAAGCGATCATCCGCTCCAGAAATGAGATATGGCTTATCTCCTCCATGATAGTAGTCCACACAGTTCACCCCTTTCTCATGCCCCTCTAATGTGAAATTTGCAGTTGAGGAACCCAGCTGCCACACCTGGAAAAGCATACACAAAATAGCTCAATTACAACCTGAGAAATAGATCACTAAGTACAGGGTGTTCCAAAAATATATGGCAAGTTTTTCTATAACATTTTCTGATATAACAATTGGTATTCATCATTTGTTAATGTTTCACTTCTGCACTGCTCAATGTTCAGTTGATGAGATCCACTGCTTCTGCATGCCATTCTGATATAGTTTACCAGAAAACAAATAGGAAATTAGGAGAATGCTGCCAAAATTACATATTTTAAACAGTTCACCATGTACTTTTTGGAGAGTTTGTATATTTGTAAGCCAGTAAAGGCAATTTATTAGCTACTAGACATGGAAGTGGCTGCCATTTTCAGGACCACAGCCACTCCTACTCTCCCAAGATTCTCCATCATTTGATGTTATTGGTTCTTTATAATGCCTGGCCCATAAATGAAGGAGTATGCCTCTTATTGATATGTCAAGAGAAAGACTTAAGACATCTACACATACTCCACTGAACAGACCAACCTATGAGAACACTGATGGACACTTACCTTGACAGTGCGGTCAAGTGAAGCACTTGCAAAGGTATTGTTGTCCTTAGGGTTGATGACAATCTGCATGACATAATGAGTATGACCTTCAAAAACTTGCTGGCATGCCCACTGCTTCTCCCAATTCCACAGCTTGATTAGCATGTCATCTGTATAAGAACTCTCTCATTACAGTCTATTCATATCCAATAAATTAAAAATGAAGAATTTTATAGGATTCTACAACTGACCACTACTGGTGAGAATGAAAGGTTGCATAGGGTGAACAACAATACTGCGGACATAGTCCGAATGTGCTTCAAATGAGTGAATGCGCTCCAAGGTGTTGTAGTTGTAAATCCGGATCTGCATGTCATCTGATCCTGCAACTATCCAATTCTTTCGTGGCACAAATTTTGCAGCTCTGACTGGCAACTCACACACCTGAATAATAACAGAGTAAAAAAAAATCAGACCCATAAAGGTAAATCAAATATGTAAGTAAGAAAGGTAAGTCAGCACTCAAAGGTTAACTCTGAGCCTCAGAAAGTAAATCAAAATAGCTATTTTTTTTTACCTTTTGATGGATTGTCAAAATTTTTCATTGTCTTATTCCCATGTGGAAGAAGTTGCCCACAGTGTCTTAATAAATAAAAGCCCTATACCTTATCATTACCATAAAAAAAGAGGACAAGGGATATCCAGAAATATTACAAGAGTAAGCCAGAGCATGATTGTATAACTTTTTTGAAGCATTAATCATGAGCATTAGGCTTACTCAAAATGAGTTTTAAAAATGTTAGTTTCCTTTTTGCATTAAATACAAATTAGCTTCTGGCTAAAAAAAACTTCCAAGAAAGTGTAGTTGCAGGAAGCCCATCCTCAGGCATATACTGTTTCTTTCTTTTTAACCAGAGAAATCACTTACAATATGCATTGTAACACTCTTAGCTTCCTTGACTGAAATAGGACAAAAGCATGATGTTTTTGGCTTTTAAGAAGGTAATGCAATTAATTGATAAAAGATGATAAGTCTCCTTTCTCATATCGGAATGCTGAAAATGGAATGAATGAAAGCTGGCATTATTGAAGGCAACTACTGATAGTTTATCACTTAATGGATTATTTCTCTGACAAGCAGATACTCAAAACTTTGGTGAAATCATGTCCTCTGCTGTTTCTGACAGAATTGGATAATTTTAGAAGGTATGTAGACTCCCTGAGCAATGCACCTGAAAGACATGTCAAGGTTGAACCTATGGTTTATGTATTTCACAACCCAGTCACCACCTCAATATGAACTTGGGGGACTACATATTGGGCATGCCCACAGCAGGGCTCAGCCTTTAAAAAACTGGGCCTAAGATGGCTTATGGTTAAGTGTATACCCCCTTGGGATATTGTATTGCCCCTAACAAGGAACATTCATGAAGTGTGATGCTCTGATTCAAACCAAAATTTGTATAAATACAGCACATAATTATTAAATACTGTAAATAAAATTTTACATGCCCTCCTGGCCCAAGGACTGATTTATTATACTCATTATTTAAAAAATAACGAGTTGCAATAATGAAAGTAAATATAAAAATGAGAGAAACAAAGGCATAGCTCACAATGGGAGTATCTCATGAATGTGGCCACATGACATACGTCATCACCTATTAATTTTTAATCTTATGACCAAAATTCTTGTCTGAGAGTATTTCAAAGAAGTGCTATTCCCTGCAGTTAAAAACGATTTTCTTCTGGCCGATTCCTTGGGCACCTGCAAAGATCAGGATGCAATTAACAGTGTTAAACCGGAGAACAATGGCTGTCATGCAGATTCCACAAAAAACAATGAGAATTATCCAGCCGTTGGATGTTTATTTCTTCCGCATATGGAAAAACTGTTTACACAAACTTTCAGATTGTATTCTCATGGGTCATCTTGAATTCAAAATTTTTCAAGGCAATGATATTTTAACACTCCCCACTTCCACGTCAATTACCCACAACCAGTTCTTGGCTGTTCGGTTCAAGAACTTGATCAAATATGCTCAGTTCAAAGCTGGATATATAGATCAGAGGCCTGAAGCACATATCACACCATTTCAATATTGCTTCGTAATTATACATCTTCCAACAGAACTGTTAAAACTTAATAGGTGATAGTGTATGTGATGTGGCCACATTCATGAGATGCTCCCATTGTGAGCTACACCTTTGGTTCTCCCATCTTTATATTGACTTTCATTATTGCAATAAGTAAATTTTGAAATTTAATAAATCAGTCCTTGGGCCACAAGGGCAAGTAGAATTTTATTTACGGTATTTATTAATTATGTACTGCATTTGTACAAATTTTGGTTAAAATCGGATCGTCACACTTCATGAATGTTCCTTGTTAGATGGACCTGTAGGTTGTTAGGGTCTTGAACCCAACATTTGGCCTCAGCTAATCAGGGGCTCACCTCAAATGACTTGACCAGCTGTTGTGTCTCTATATTCCACACGTGAATATGCCCATTGTAGAGTGAAGCAAGCATCCATGGTTCGGTCGGATGAAGATCTGTACACTTCACTCGATCTGAGCGCGCCGTCAAACGGCGCTTAATATCCAATCTCAGCGGCTGCAAAAGAACACCAAACATATTTTGAAGTCTTGACAGTTGAGCCGTGGCAATGTAGACTCGTATATAAAACTCCAAATGTCTCACCATGGGTAGCTGTCGCTTTGCTTATACAGCCGGCCTTAGTGACACGATTCCTGTCGTCCTGAAAGAATGCAAGGGAGATCTAGGCCTTAGTCTATTTCCAGAGAAGAGAAGTGGGAATGATGACAATTTTTACGTATAACAATTTCAGTGATCTATACGCAGAAAAATGAACCAATTTCAACGCGAATAAGCCTAACGGCAACCTTAGATCAACAACAAACTGCATTCCGAATGAAAGTGTGTAGCCATGTTGCCGCGACGACGTGGCCATTAGTTGTAACATGGTTGCCAGAGTCCTCGACGGTTCATGTCGCAAGGATGGACCCCAGTGATTCGGAAGGGCACAGTATCCCAGACCCTACCATGATACAGTGGCTTTCTCTTGAGGGTGACCAAGTCGAACCAAAACTCGCATGACGCGTTCGGCTCAGGAGTTTTGTACTGGAACAGTCCTCGCCCAGGAATACTAGAACCGCAAGTAATTGTGCTACCGGAATTGGACTACTGAAAAGTTGACTACCAGGACTGGACAATTCGATGTTTCTGGTTGCGTCAAACCCCAGGGCCGCCCATGGGAGGGGGGGGGGGGGGGGGGGGGGGGNGGGGGCGGGGGGGGGGGGGGGGGGGGGGGGGGGGGGGGCAAAGGGGGGAATCTGCCCCGGGCCCCAAGGGGTCTCCGGTTTAGTTTTGCCCCGGGCCCCTGGAAACATCTGGGAAATATCAAACCCTGTCGAACTACCTCCAGACCTATCGGTCGGCCTGCCGCCGGCCATAGCATATTTTCGGCATGATGCCATAAGGGCAGATCAGGAGCAGAACAAAGTGGTAAGGCAACCTAGGCAACGGACTTTGGATGTAGAAACATGGAACGTGCTGACACTCGGCAGTAAGGAACCGGTACTCGATGAAGAGGCCAGTAAACGTAGACTTGATATACCAGGCCTAACATTGACCATGAGGAAAGGCTGGGGTTCCATCGCTCCAGATCACAGATGGACCTTCCACTGGAGCGGAGTAGACCCAAAGATGTTCGCCCAGTAGGGAGTGGAGGTACACATTAACTGGCTGGCTGGCAATGTGATAGAATGGAAGAGACTTCTCTGCCGTGCAGGTCTACGGACCAAACAACGAATCCAATTACGGCGCGTTTCTCGAAGAGGTGAATGAGGCCCAATAGGAAATCCCAAACGACGACCTCGTCTTACTGATGAGGGACTTCAACGCACGAGTTGGGAACGATGAAGCTGCGTGGAGCAGGGTGATATGCAGTTTCGGAGAAGCCAATCTGAATAGGGGTTGCAAAAAGTTGCTAGGCTTCTGCGCTGACAATGGACTGGCCACCAACACCTTCTTCAACACAAAGACATCCACAAATATAGAGCCTTGTCATAAGTATATAGACACCATATTCTGGCAGTAGGGTCATCCTATATATACTTATGACAAGGCTCTATATATCTGACAGGCGGCATGACGGTCGGACTGGTGCTGTCCCACACAGCACAGGGATATCCCAGGGATGTCCCTATCTGGACGACTTGTCCCCATGTCTTTATAGGATATCCTGAAGACATCTTCTTTCGGACGGTTTCGGACATCTCGTAAGGGATGTCTTCGGGACGTCTTTTAGACATATTCAGTCGATATCTTAGAGATATCCCTTTCAGGATATCTTTAAGACATCCTTAGTCGAATGCTTCCGGATATCCTAGAGGGGATATCTTGAAGATATCTTCAGTGCTTTCTGTCGCCTTCAGTCAGGTGCACAGCTTCGACGGTAGATGTCTCCCGTAAGCCCTGATCTACAACCTCAGATCTTTTCTATCGAATTCATCTACTTGATTTGTCCTGAGGACAAGTAAGGATTTTCGTACCATACATAAGGAAAACTGCCATCAGGGAAAGTGAAAAATGAATTCATCAACTTGATTTGTCCTGAGGACAAGTAAGGATTTTCGTACCATACATAAGGAAAACTGCCATCAGGGAAAGTGAAAAAATTGCGGTCCGAATTTTAATTTATTCCTTTATATTCTCATTAATGATGTCTGATTGGCATGTCTGGATACAACTATATTGGTTGGAGGCCTGAGCCCATACTATTTGAAAGGTATAAGACTACATCATATAATCTATGACCCTTCGTGTAAAAGTGCTAAATTTCGTCCCTTGGAGATGTTTCTCCTATGGTTGGGCTTCCTTTAGGAATGGTATTTTCCTCCCCCTTAATCGTTACTCTTCAATCGAGCAAGAACTTTAGATTATGTGTTCCTATATAAAATAGAGACATCTACGAAAGCAAAGGGTTCTCCTGTGCGATGGGAAATGAGTCCATATGGGTAGGAAGGAATAGGAAGGCCCCTACAAGTATTAATACTACCTGAGACTTCTCTCTTGTCCCAATGGGATATCCCTGGGACATCTCTGGGATGTGCTATTTCTCCAAGAAAGAGATGTCATTGGGCCCAGACATTTTGATATCCCTAAGATGTCCCTACTCCTTGTCTCTGGGAATCGCACTTGTCCCAAGGGGATATCTTTGGGATATACCTGTGCTGTGTGGGTTGGACCACCATGCTTCAACACTGCCAATAAACGTGGTTTACTGTTCGAACCACAGTGCTTGAAAGAGTTAAACTGACTTTGTTCTCATTTCATCACCGCCTAAAAGACTGACTTCGCCGCCAGACTACCTGAATGAACGGAGCGAACACTTTCCAAACTTCCGCTTGGTCATCCTACCCTCATTGAATGGCCTCCTCGATCTTGAGATCTCACATCGGATTTCTTTTTGTGAGGTGTTCTGAAGAATACCCAGCAAGTTTTTTGGGCACATCCACGCACTTTCCCAGAGCCTCACGAAGGCATTTCGAACGCCTTCCGTAGAATAACACCCGATTTGTGAGCAAATATGCGACAGGCAGTGAAATATTTTCATAAATGCTTAGAAAACGAAGAGAAACAAGTTCTGTGATGTTAGGAATTTTATATATCTGGAAAGAGGAAATTTTTAATTTTAATTTCATCAAAATTCTCATTTCTGTGTCAATTACCTCCTGAAATATAACAAATTAATTTCTTAGTTCCGACCCACCCTGAATATCTTCCTTCATCAATCTTTTCTTGCGTCCCCCTCCTCGAACCTTTTCCCGATAGCGAACCATCCGTCCCTCCGTTTCCCTACTGCGATGACTAACTCCTCAGTTAATGTGCTTTTAGTCTATAGGTCTCTGTCTTCTCCAGAAACCCTCTCTTCTCTTTACAATGGCTTCATGCCATTTAATTAGTTACCACTTTAGTTTGTTTCCGGTTAAAAGAAACTGGAGACAAAATGTAAATAATTAATAAACTGGCGGTATGAAATATCTACCTGCACTCTTTCACTTTAGCTCATGTCCATTTAACCGAAACCAAATAATAGTTAAACTCTCCTCATTCCAGCCTCATTCAGCTGAAACTGAAGCTGCGACTAAACAAGAACTAAACTAGAGTTAAGTGCTCTCCGATAAACCGCCAATCGGGGTCGGACCTAGCGAGTGACTATGTTAAACTAACATGACGAATTGCAACTTGTGGTTCGATTGTTGCTGTTGAACGAGGCTTCTACAGTGTTTTTCCACCTGGGTCCGACATTTTTTCACTTGACCTTTGCACTCGTGCATGAGTGTCCGAGTCAAGTGAACCATTTTATGACGCAAGTGAAAAATAATACACGTATAACGTTTGCCTCATCGAGAAAAGGTGCCAAGTTTTATGTAAATAAAATTATTTATGCATAATTCTGATATTTCAAGATCGATTTCGAGCTGTTCAGACCGAATAAATGTTTTCGGAGAGCGACTGCTACGTAGGGCATTCAAAAATGACTTCGCACGGCGTCAAATCGAATAATGGGAAGTTTGCGATGGAAGAAGTTCATATGGGAGGACGAGTTCGATGCGAAAGCGCCCAGTGCCTGTCCAAAATTGGTTATCTGGTTGTCTTAATTTATTTGGGCTTGCACTCCATTCCTAGCACCAACTAAATATTGCTCAAGCCTTTTTTTCTGCCGACGCCACAAGCTCAACATGGATTGACTGGAAAGGAAGCGGGATGGAAAATGCGTTTTCGTCGCTTTCCTTGGAAAGGCAAAGCTTTTCATGTACCGTAGTGGGTACTTTACCCTTTCAACTTTATTCAACCTTGTTCCCCTATAGTGATGTGTTCCAAAATATAGTTTTAACACTACAACCTTGAAATTCGGGAGTTTCCCTGCAGGATAGGGTCAAAAATTGCCATTGAGACAGGATTCGCGATTTTATTGAGGATAGCAATCCGGAATTGACTCGTGGAACTATTGGAGGGAATTACAAGGGACTTGGTTTGAAATGATCAAGCGGAATAAGATTTTCTTCAGCAGACTTTCTATTATGAAGTTTTACGAAATCGGTCCATTTTGAGTGAGGTACTCCCAAGAAAGGTGATTGCAAAATGAAGCAAACTGTCTCGCACCCAAAAATCGACGTCGCAGTGGGAAAATCCGAAATATTTTGATGCTGATCAGATCATTGAACTCAGGGCGGTGATGCGAATCCGATAGTCTAATTTTGCTTTGATATCCCAAGTACCGGGTTTGGTCGATTTTACGATTGAGTTCGCACTAAGAATTGCGACTGGCAGAAAACGGCGGAGGCAAAAGTAAGGTCATTCGCAAACCAGCAGCGTACCCAGAAAATCCAAATGGGGGGGTTGACATGAAAAAATTGTAATCCACCCTGCGTATATGGCCCCCCCCCCCCCCCCCCTTTTTTTTTTTTTTGCCTCGATGGCGGAAAATTGCATCTGGTTGGAGAAGCCAGATATAAACTTTTTTTTCTCCTCCCTTCCAAGCAATGAATTTCAAAGCCATCCGGATGGCTTTGGTTTAAAGGCAATCCAAAGGAAGAAAAATGGATATATCGGCTTGGAAATTCCCAGGAATTTTTTTTTTTTCCTTGGGAAAGGAAAAGTAAAGGAAGCCCCTTCTCCTTCACACCTTCCTTTCCGTTTCGTAAAACCTCGCACGATTCGGAGCGGGAAGACCCATCTCACCCGTCTCGAATAAATAGGATTTAAAAAAAAGGGATATTAAAAGGTCGAGAACGATATCGTTGCAGTGAACTCGGCGACGATCTTCCGACCGACGGAGATGGCGCCGTTCCACGTTCATCCGAGCATGAGCAGCCTGGTCGGGCTACTCCGCCTCTTCCCCTCCATGTCGCTCTCCACCGTGAGTCGTTCGGGCGACCTTCGCCGCGACTCTTGCCGCGACCTTCGCCGTGACCTCTGCCGCGACGTTCGCTTCGGTAGGTGAAGGCGTTCCTGTCGCCCCCGATCCTGGGGGTGGTGCTGCAGACGTACGGAGCCGGGAACATGCCCAGCAACCGGACGGACATCTTGGAGGAGATCCAGAAGGCGTCGGCGCGGGGGGTCATCGTCCTGAACGTGACGCAGTGTCCGAAGGGGGGCGTGGACGCGTACTATGCGACGGGGAAGGTGCTGCTGGACGCGGGGGTCATCCCCGGCGCGGATCTCACGGCCGAGTCGGCCCTCGCCAAGCTCTCTTACGTCCTGTCGAAGGAGGAGTGGGACCACGCCACCAAGAAGAAGGTATGCGGGTTTCTCGAAGGGTTGGGTGTGGGGGTGAGGGGGTATCCTTGTAACTCGGTCCGTGGCGAGAGATGTTCGACGTGTACTGCAGTCTCGTAGTTGTTGTTTTTTTTTTGTTTAACACTCTTGCCGACTCGAGTCTTTGGCACCGGTGCATCGCGTCTGTGTGGTTGCAGGGGTCGAGTGGAGAAAGTCCAAGAAGGAACAAGTGTGCCGTGCCAAGGGCAGACGGAGATTTTAATCTCAAAGAGTCACTCTTTTTCACGTGTCGGTGTGAAAGGGCGAATTTTAGGGAAATGAAGTGAGGTGCGATTTTTTTTTCAGCGAAAATCTCGATTTCGAGGCAATTCGAGGTTCCGGACGAAAGTGAGCAAAGCAAGGAGTCAAAATCTGATGAGAGATTCATTCATCATGAATTCTCGGGGAAAGGTTATAAATTTGAAGAGACCTGGGAACCTTGCCCCACGTCCGGTAATTAAATTTGGATCGCTCTGCAAGGACGAGAATTCATTTTGCTGTTGAAGTGGCAGGAAAGGGGTGATCGAGATGCCGCTCCTTATTGGCGCTTTTTTTTGTGCGAAATCGTATAAGAGCGGGGCGGAGGTCGATATTTCCGCTGGGGGCGGGGGGGGGACTCGGATAGAGCCCCACGCGGGCTCGGGGATTTCTTGCCTCTGAGGCGTTCCGGTACGTCGCAGAAGCAGTACCTCGTTTAGCCGTACGTGTACCTTGCTTAATGGGTGTCGTGGTTAATTTAATTAATCATATGCGTGGGTATTTATAGGCGGTGCGATTTGAGATGCCCGAGCAGCTCTCTACTCGACCGTCGGGCAATGTTTCGCTCGTTTTGCGTCGAGTGAGAATGAATTCAAGGTTTCCGAGAGATTTCCTCGGGGAATTTCAGGTACTGATGAATATTCTAACGTATGGGAAAGTGTGCCCTCGCGAGAATTTCCCTCGGCTTTCCCTCCTTCGACGATCCCGCAAAATGCAACATTTGTGTGTTTTGAGGGAAGTTTAGAAATGAAGATGAAATTACGGGGGAAATGAGATATATAGGCGGAAAATGGGAGGAAAGTGCGCCGATTTGCATACCACTGCAAAGAAACAAGAAGACTTTGGAAACAAGGTTTATATGGTTTTCGGAATGATTTTCGGAGATTTTCTTTTTCGAAGCAAGGGACAGCTGTGATTTGAAACTCGACGGTGACAATCGTATATTCGCACGTTGCCCTTTTCCCGATGTAAGAAGTTTATATATATCTTTTTACGTTTTTTTATCATTTTGCATATCCGCACGAAGGGCATATAGGGAGAAACAGGTGAACCCTGCATTTCGAAATATGCAGTTCATAGTTTTGAAAAAAGTTGATAGTGAACTCGTGTCGATTAACTGCATTTTTATTGTCATCCAATATAGCGCTGAGTTGCTTTGAGTTTTCTGTCATTTTCGTCGCTGCAATTCCGACTAAGGCCATGCCAAAATGGAGAAGAAAAAAAAAAAGAGAAACCCGATTTTGAGGGCTTTCTGCAGAAGCTGCAGCAGAACCTCCGCGGCGAGCTGACGCTGTTCGACCAGGACCAGAAGCCGCACGAGCAGGCGGACCTGCTGGCGGCGCTGGGGAAGGCGCTGCACGTGTCGTCGTCCAAGGAGCTGGATCAGGTGAAGGAGTTTCTCTTCCCGTGCGTGCTGTGCGCCGCGGCCAAGACGGGGGACATCTCCAAGATCAAGAATCTCATCAAGCACGTAGGCGCTCTTTCCCCATTTATTATTTCATTCGATGGTTCGTGGTCGTAGGGCGTGAGGCCTCCCGGTGTCTCCAGATTTTTCGTGGACGGCAGAAGATGTTCCACCGAACGTCGAAGGCCTTTGCACGTATTAAAATGTCTGGGAAGTGTCTCCAGGAGAAGCTTTTTCGTTTCCAAGTTTTGAAGGAACGGTGTGACGATCGTTTAGGGTGCGGACGTGTCCTCCATGGACTACGACAGTCGGACGGCGCTCCACATCGCCTGCAGCGAGGGGAACACGAAAGTGGCCCGGTATCTCTTATCCAAGGGGGCGAGCGTCCACGTCAGGGACAGGTGCGTGTGATGCGGGGCTCCGATGCAGTGTTCCGATGCAGAGTTCTGATGCCGGGTTCCGATGTCGGGGGGTTGTAGGAACGACCGGACGCCGCTCATGGATGCGATCAAGTACGGGCACGTGGAGTGCGTGCAGGTCCTGGTGCAGTGCGGGGCGTGCCTGAATCCGAACAACGCGGATCTGGCAACCCTGGTGTCGAGGGCGGTGGCGGATGAGAACATGAAGGTGTTGGAGGCCTTCAAGTTGGCCGGGGCGGACTTCAACGTTCACGATCCCGGGAAGAGGACGCCGCTCCACTTGGTATGTCGTTCTCACGGTCGGACCTTTCGGGTTGTTAGTAATTATTGCGAGAAATCCCTAGAAATCCACGTTCGGCCGATGATTTTTAGATGCTCGCTATGTCGGAACGAAATTTAAATCGATGCTGGAAGAATGTCGTAAGGCAGTGTTTTGCTCTGCTGTCCAATCATTGGGAGGAGTTTGGTGTCGATATTTTTTCGAGTTCTGCTCGCGAATGCTAGCCAATAATGGTCCGTTTTTGATGACACAAAAACCGCTGAAAACTTGACATTTCACATTTTCCAAACCTGGAATTTGCTTCGAAACTAGATTCGAATTTTTTATTCGACTGATAAATTAGGCTTAAAATATTGCCGTTATCTGTTAATTTTCTTGTGTGTTTCTCATCTTTCTTCCAACAAGAGTCATGGAAAAATTGGCAGGCTGACTTTCCTGGAGAGCTCCAGAGAAATTCGCCTGCTTTTCGTCTCCAATTCTTCGCAGAATTACTCGTATCTCGACTCCGTCACACAGGCCCATTTCGGTTCCCCAATGTCATCAATATATACGTTCCATATCGGTCTAAGATGACAGCAGCCCTCGAATGTCAATATTTAGTCAGTCCACCTAGTGAAAGGCCAATATTGCATACTCCTGCAGATTGCACACACGAAATGAAAATATAAAAATGTTTAAATTATAAAAAAAGTTATTAAAAAAATAAACATGTATTAAAACTGGTTCCCGTCAGGCGGTGTTCCTGGGGAAGAAAGAGGTGGTGCAGTTCCTGTTGGCGGCTGGAGCGTCCACGGCCACGCTCGACGATCTCAACATGACGCCCGTCCAGATCGCGAAGCGACACGAGAGGCGAGACCTGGTGGAGCTGCTGAGCCACTTCGACTTCAAGACGGAGCTGCCCCGGCTGGAGGCGGTGGCCGCGGGGGCGGCGGAGCACTGAGTCGAGATGGGTCGGTGGGCTCTCTGCTCTGTGGCGGTGAGGGGGAGGCGGGTGTGGTGGGGGGGGGGGGGGGGGGGGGGGGGGGGGGGGGGGGGGGGGGGGGGGNGAGGCAGAAGTCTGGATGCACTGGCTTTTTTTCTTTTTTCAAGCTGGCATTTCGTGAGAATGGGGTGGCGAGGGCCGATCGGAGCATTTTCCAGCATTTTCACTCAGATGAGTAGCTAAGAATAGATAGTGGTCTTGCCAGGTGCCGGCCAGCAGCGTGGTCGGGAGGCGTAGTTTTCCTGTCTGATGCGTTCGTCTCCTTTCCATCACTTTTGCCTCGCCCCGAATAGGCCAGAAGGTTAGAAGGTTTAGGGGCGGGGTTACTCAAACTATTTTTTTTTTTGGTGAGGGATGCCTTGATATTCGGCGGCAGGAGTCGGTAGAGGATCGGCAGTCGAGATTGGCATCCAAGAATGTACTTTCCGTTTCTGTTCATTCAGTCGAATTAAAATTCTTTTTGAATTCCTTCTTACAGGCCAAGTTTGAAACAATAAAACGGCATCGGAGTGGTTCGATGAGAAACTTTCAAATGTGATTCTTTAGCGGAGGAACGTTTTAGCAGATTTGAAGGAAAGAGTCGCCATTTTCGAGGCGACCGAGCGCCATTTGTAGTTGCCTGTGAAAAGCGTGAAATCATGAGCAATTCGTCGTCACGTGACAATATTTTTCTCAGGTGATTCGCGGGAGTTTTCTTCACAGGCGAAGGGCAAAGGGCAAGATCGTGGACACTCGAGTGTCCCAAAAGGGTCAAACCGGCCGGTTTAGATGCTTGAACGAAGACGAAACCGGAATCTCGATAGTGCTGCGTCGTCTTGGTTTCATTTTTTTACCACGGTGGAGTGGCTGTTAGTAGCTGTTAATGTTTTAACTCTGGAGAGGTCTTCCTTCTTATTCCCTGTGATGACCAGTTTAGGAAAATAAAGTGAATTAAATTCCACAGCAGAAGTGTTTCAGTGTGTGTGAGACGAGTGTCATTTGAAGTGCACTCGATTTGGGTTCGCAGAGCGAAGATTCCTCTGAATATGATCATCCGTTTGGGCAGACGGTGTGACGTCAGTACAACGTCACAAGCCGCCTTGACAGCCGGGGATAGACTTAAATAGGTCTGAAAGAAAGAAATCAACGCGTACTCCTTGGTGGCCGTGGAGTTAAACGTCGGAGCGTTAGAAGTTCCATGGTTGGCGTGATTCAACTTGCACCCGAAAGACGAGGGTTCAACTCCCTGCCCCACGGCTCTCCTTTTCCCCGGGACCAGTTTGGCAGGAAGAGCCCGGGCGTGTAAATGTAAAGTTAACGGTAAACCCGATGGGATGGGAGGGGGGCAAGGGACCCGATCGTCTGCGGTTGACCCACGGCCTGAACCAAGGAGGGGTTTTTGCATCCCTCAACTTCCGTTTTTCATCATCAAGTGTGTCCTACTCTACCGGTTTTCCTTAATGAATAAAGAAAAGAATCTGATCAAATTCATTTTATTGCATTATAAAAACAATTTTCTTCGCGAGAGCGCTGCAACTACACTGGAATGAAACTCAAATTGGTCGTTTTTCGTGGAACCACTTCGACATATGCGATTTTAGACTTTTTTTTAATTATAAATGTAACTGAGCGTTTTTATTTCAGCTTCAAGAGAAAAATGAATGCAAAAGCAGGAACTCCGCAATAATCTCATAGATGGCAGCACATGGGGTAACAGATCGCCATCTACCGAGACTGATTGCAATCTCGACGACGACGGGCCTCCTCCAGTGACGCAATTGCAGCGCTCTCAGAATGGAGACCAAAAACGAACTGGACGGAAATTTGATTAAAATTAAAAACGGATGCGACGTCTCCGGATGACCTGGACTCTTCCTTCTCCCGTCCGTGGCCACCTGGAAAACAACAGGAAACACAGTATAGGGTCAATGCCACAAAATGCGCTTTTCGAAATTTGCGGCCTCAAAATTGTCACAACTTCTTTGGTTCTTCTCAAATAAAGTTAGCGGGATATGTTTGCATGAGCATCTAAGGGAGGATCATATTCTCTGACACCTTTTCGTTCAAATGAATTTCTTTTCCCGACGTTGAAAATTCTGAAATATTGGAAAATTCTCTTATTGAAATAATTATGCAAGACTTTGGGGTCTCGCACCCTGAGGAATGTCACTGTGTTCAAAAAGTATCCCATACTTTACAAATTCACAACTTTAAAATGTTCACAAAAACACGAAAACCTTTTTAGTCTAAAAAGTTCCATTGCGAAACGTGACTCGCGGAAATTTCGCTCAAATCGAAACAATAAAAAAGCAGAATCGGGAAAAGAAGAGTTGTGTAAGTACTTCATCCCTCGAAAAGAACCGAATTCCAGCCGGGGCTTCTCCGTAAGAGGCTTTTCCACTAGTACTTGATCCGAACATGACAGGAAGATCGAACGAAACGACTTGAAAATTTAACACATCTTTGCTCTGAATCCCCCTTTCCTCTTCCTTCCATCTCGGTCTTCCATGCATCGAGGTCAAGAGAGGTCACGAATGCCAAGACGGAGCAAAATCAGCATCTACGGACTTGTACCGCAAAGAGTGCAATCACAGGTTGTAAGACGCTTTCCTGCGATTTCGATCGAAGCAATTCCGATTTTCCTTCCTCGTAGACAGGACATAAAAGATGGCAGACGTTGAGGCACTCGCGAAGCGACCGACCACCCAGCCTGTCGCTCGAGGCCCCTCTGCGCGCAAGGCTTACCATTCGTTATACCTTAGCTTCACGCTTTAAAACGAAACTCTCGATTTCATCGAAGACATTGAAAGGGGCCCGTTTCGTTCGTCGTATCCTAGAAGGTGGTATGATCCCGAAAGATATTGCGACCCGGTACTTCATCCCGCCCAAAGCCAGAGAATTGCAGGACTGAAAGGAAAAGTGGTCCATCTGTATAAAAAAAAAAGGAAGAAAAAAGGGTAGCTGGTTTTGTGTTCATAGAGGCTGTCACCTTTCGTTGAAAATAGTAGTTTTGGAGAATACGTAAAGGAAGAACCAGCCTATCTACGCATACCACTTTAAAGAAGACAGTCAAAAGAATATTCACTCTTTCTGCGAGGAGCTCGAGAAAACAATTCTTCGCATCTAGACTTTCCCTTTCAGTTTTCAATAGACCACCCACCACGTCGCCTCACGCTCCACGCCCCGCACAGGCCCACGGACTCCCACTCCCACGCGAAGGCCTCCATGCCCTCCATCCACCCCGACCGCGCACTTCCAACGTCCACCGCTCCTCGAGATGAGTCAGGCAGGCCCGAGTCACGCTCGAAGGCTCCATGCAGGCCACGACTGGACAGACCTTGGCACTATTGTGGTTCACGGATCGAAATTTTCTCTCATCGATCGATGCGCTTGTGGCGAATGGAAATCGCTGACTACCATATGTTGCACATAGGGCACCCCCCCCCCCTCCAGTCTAAACTATAGGAGCTAGAAAATTTTTAAATATATCTTTGGAATCCTTGTTCAAGTGATTCTATTCAATCCCATTTTGTTGTTCTCATGTCAGATGATGGTGAAGAACTTAAATTCATTGATCTATTACGTTTCGTGAAGCCTGAGTTGAATTCGCTACCCGTTCATGTGTTTCGAAAATCGTTCAGTTTCTGCATGATAAAGCCCTATTCTTCAAAGCTTTGACCACAAACAAATGCTGAAAGGCTCAGAGATTTGACTTCAGAATGGATTCTTTTAACAACATCGCCAGAGACGCGGAACTTTTTAAGCGTCTCTTTCCATCTCATCCCGCTCCTCTTAAAGCTGTCAGAGACGCGGACGGGATGCACATGTTTGGATTTAAAAAATGGGTGCTCTTTCTCGTGATGTATGAGACTTTTCCCTAGCTCTGATAGTTTAGGCTGTGGAGGAGGAGATTATCTACATGTAACACCCGGTACAGATCATTCATTCAAGGGAGGGAACAAGAATTAAACACTTATCTACAATTAACTGCTTGGGTACACGGAGGCATACACGACACAATGCCAAACCCACGAAGCTATCTTCAACTTCATCATGAAGTCCATCGCTTGGAGTTGAGGAATGTGCACTTTAGCTTTCGCCCACTTGCTATTCCTGCTGACAGGCACGAGAGGAAGAGCAAAAGAGAAAAGGAGACGCGGACGAACACCGACGGAAACTGATCCCGTTTCAGCCGTCACATCACACCCACTTCATGTCACACGAGACAGCCAGCGACTGCGAAAGCTCGACCAAATATACTACGACAAATGCTTGTTGATACCCGGCGAACTGCAGTTTGAGAAAATGACAGACCTGACCAAGAAAGAGGAGTAGGCCCGAGTAGACCCCTTGCACACGACCCTCGAACCACGCAAAGGCAGAGTTGCGAATCGAGAGCCTCCAGGGCGATGAGGTCTTCCACGGACAAGCCCACTTTCCACGCCAATCCCGACAAGCTCACTTTCCATGCCAATCTCGACAAGCTCACTTTCCACGACAATACCGACAATCCAGCCTCCCTCACCTTTTAAGTGAACGGTGAAAATCTGACCGATTTATTTCAAATTAGTTCCTTGTTCTAGGAGTTTATAAAACGAGCTGTGAATCCCCTTAACTGTTTATCTTTTAATAGAACATCGCCGAAGCAAAAGCCGGAATTTCATTTTTTGCCATCAGTAGCACGGAAACTGCGAGGCTTCGCTAAAGGGTTGGAAAAAAAAAAGAAAGACTAAGAGGGACACAGGCAACGCTATGCGCTTTGGATGACCCATTTCGTCACTTCACAAAGTCTTAAAAACAAAATACATACCGATGCCAAGATATGTACTAGCATTCACTTCTCAACAGAATTGGGATGGCTTCAAATAACTTTATACGTTTTATTTTATTTTATGTTAATTTTTTTTACCACCCAGTAGACGTGTCCTATGTTAGAAGGATGACGTTTTCATGACTTCCCCTGGACGAGTGGTACTCATAAAACGACTACTTCGGATCAGAAAATTTACAAACAGAAAACGCAAAGGTTGGGCTTACATTGCACAGGACGTCGTTTCCACCTACATTCTGAAGCAAGACCGAACGATAAAACTACAACGCATTGGCAGAGGGATTCTCCAGAGCTAGAGGCTAGAAGACTAGCAGACGATACATAGTGGGCGGAGCCAACAGGATCTTCCCGCATCTTCAAGAAACCAATCCAATTGCGCGATCAATTCCAATCCCCCCCCCCCTCGCGATAAGAAATTAGGTCGCAGTTGTGGACCGTGAGGACTGGGAATGAGCGAGCAGACCCGAAAAAGACCGTCGAGGCGAGGACAAAACGACAGGGACACCATCTAGTGGTCAGAGTTTCTTTGAACTGGTAAGATTATAGGCACGAAGCACTTTCAACGTTTCTACCCCCCCGGCCCGATCGATACTTTCAGCTTGATGAGCTGAATGCAGCAATATCCCATTCGGTCATGCGACCTTTGACCTCTGCCCTCGTAATGAGGCTCACCTCGACCTTTTCTCTGCAAGCGAAACATTTCTCTCTTCGTGATGAGTTTCGCAATATCCTTCGGTACTTAGTACTTCCAGTGAACCTAACGGCGTACTTGGGGATAATCTGACGTAAATTAATCTAATCTCCCTCAAGCGGGGATCAACAGGGAGGGGATCACGTTCTGACGTCATAGGCCAAAAGGTCACGTGACGACATTCAATCATTCAATCCGGTTTGTTGAGCTGGGTGCAACGATATGCTCGTTCAAGGGGTGTGATAATAAAATTTATCTTCAAATCTGGTCTATAACGGTATTTTAACGCTGTTTATTTTACGAAAACTGGTTTTAGTCCATTTATGTTCCTTTTTCTTCCATTTTTTACTTGTCCGGAGTTGGGGGCAGAACGTAAACAAAAATGATTTACCTGAATCTAGTGTCTTGTTCGCGGCTAACATTGGTTTTTACTAGGCTTACAGGAATTTTTGGGCGAGAAACTCAAGGTGTGTATGTGTGGAGTCTCTCAGGCACTTTTGAATGACTTTTTTTTTTAAACATGAAATTCGGTTTAGTGGCCAGAACTGAAATCCTTTCAATACTCTAGCCTGTGGACTTGCATCTAAAACGGGACGGAAACGTACTTGTAAAATATTGGGGAAAAAACGAACATCATCGGATGGATGACCGGAAGTCATGAGGATTTCCTCGGTGCGAGGATCTTACCCAGGGAGTGAGAGATGTGATGAGATGACTTCATGCTTTCGAGTATTCGTCTCACTCCCGACATGAAAGCCAAACGAGTTGAAAATATGGATGCAATCCCAGCAATGAAATTGTCTCGTGGTGACTGGCAAAACTCATGGCACTGCATGGCAAAAATGTCACCAGTGACTCGAGAATGTCTGAGTCTGAGTAAGTCATGACTCGGTTGGGAGATGCAAACACAAAAGCTAGGGAATGCCAGAAAAATGCGAGAGACTTTATTGCAGCACAAGGCATTCATATAATTGCAGGGATCACCATGACCAATGAGAGGGCTCACAGACGAAGCCAAAAACATAGGGAACTGGAGGTTCATGATGGGACTAGATTAGCACCACAAGAGTACTTATGGGTACGAACACATTCAGAGAACCTCTGCATATTTTTTTTTGCTTCTTCTTTCTTGAAGAGGACCTATCACATCTTCATTCATCATTCTCCACATCACAAATGGAAGAAAGAGTGAGAGGGTTCACTGTGGGTGTCGCAAAGGAATGTCAGCAACATTTAAGCACCTCTTGAATACTTCATAGCTGCTACACAGGGGAGAAGATCATTCCAGATAACAACAATGATGATGATCACAGAAAACAGGCGAGAGTGTTTCTTGCATTCATCTGTCAGGAAGAGATGAAGATTTCATTCTTGGCTCATTGGTCTGGCACGAAAGAAGGCTATTAGAGTAACCCGAGGTAAGTGCTGCGCGTGTCGGGCAAGGGCGAGAGCGGCTGGTCTCGTTTTCCACGAGGGGGCAGGGAACTTTTCTTCTGCCCCTTCAGCCATTCCTCCTCTCCCACTGCTCCTCCTCCTCTGGTCCTGCAAGTTTGAATAGCAGGGATGTAAAGAAATTCCTGGCTCTGGGACTAACACGTACTACCATCTCTTGGACACATGCCCGACCAACCTGTTGGATTTAGACTTGTTGGCATCAGTAGCACTAGAACTATGGAAAGATCCAATCCCTGAGCTGTAATCTTCAATGCTCTGGTTCAGAGAAATATGGAGGGAATCATCAAGATCTCCTTCATGATGATCTCCTCCAAAACCATTGGTCAAGGATGATCTGGAGGGACTTGTGGCCCCTGAACACCATCCAGGATCCCTAGAAAAGCGATCAATATCCAGAGGAGGCCGGAGAACGTGAGAGCGCGAGGATAGGGAACGATGCGGCAGGGAATACATCCACGACTCGGGTCGAGCACCGTTCCGTGTCAACGACCGACGCCTCGGGTAGGAGTCGTTGAAGCGGGAGTAGTAACTCTTGCGGCGGATGCGTTCGCTCACACTCTCTTCCTCTAAATCCAAGTCTATGTCTGAGGCAATGGAAACTGAATCCATTGAATCACTGGGTGTTGTAGCTTCACTGTTCTCTGCTTCTCCATTCTGAAGGCCAGGTGTGAGCTCACGAGTAACACCCGTGTCGCTGGATTCGATCATGCTGACAGGTCTTCTCAATCCTGAGATCCATCGGGGGATGTGAGAACTCCCATTTTCTTGATTTGCCTCTCCACCCTCTGGGCTCTTGAGGGTCTCCATATGATCAGATCTAGGACTGGTCAGGGACTTAGTGCTTCCCTTTCCCTTTGGTGCTGATGACATCTCCCAAATGTTCTCATATGTATGATCCTCCTTTTTTGCATTCAGTCCATCAGATTCAGACTTCTTTCCACTCCTATCTCCAAGATGGATCATTCTAGTGAGGCTAGATCGATAAGAGGGGAACTGAGACGAAGAAGAGATCCAAGAAGAAATTCTGTGCCCACCATCCCTCCCTTCAGCTTCCCCCAATGAAGGAGGATGAGGGGGATTTGTGGACAACAGAGAAGATCGGTCGTCAGACGACTCAACGGCCCCAATCACGCTACGCGGTCGCCTCAACAGACGAGTCACTGTCACGTTGAATGGTTTGAAGTTGGCATCTGAAGACATGGAAGATGCAGTGGGAGTAGCTGTGACTCGGGTGAGACGGGAGATGATCTCGTTGCGAGCCTTCATGCGAGATTCTGCATCGGGAATTTCAGACGTACAGGAGCGGGCATATCTGGATTGCCTCCTAGGTGTTGGTGTCGAGCAATGACCTTCGCCAATGGAGTGAAGATCGGATGTGGAAACTGGAGTCCGAGAGGTATAAAACATACGGCGTGTCATGCTTGGAGTGTAGACAGGTGACTCTGCTTCGGGTTTAGTGTTACGCGGGATCCACTTGTTCATGTCTGCAAGATAAAAACAAATTCCTCCTTCATCCAATCCTTCCCTGGTAATCTCTTCCCAATTGTTTACCTAGCAAAATGAGAGCAAAATGAAGATAATATTTGCCTTTCATTTCAAATCAACATGCAATGTAAGATTGTGTTAGTGCATGCTTCTTCCTATGTCATGCATCATGGAAGCAAGTCCAAAGTTTGGCTGATCTGGGAACCCAGATCCTGAGAAATTCTCCACATGAACACTTAATAATAATAAAAAAACCTATCAAAATTACAAAGGCCTGCATTTATTACCTTAGAAATTATATGTAAGAAGTGCAGCATATCAAGTACACTTTTGGTTTATACTGCACAAAAATAGAGTCATTAAATCCATAGCAACAAGATCATCAAAGTAAATGGCTTCATGAGAGGTTAAACAATTTGTTCTTGCTTAGATTCATAATTTGGTCAATGAGGAATAACCTGTTTCTCTGTTGCTATATCAGATTGAGAGAAAGAACAACTTTTGTGGTTGAGAAAAGGGAAAGTCAAACCTGAATTTACGTTCGAAGGATGGCGGTCCTGAAGATGCCTGGAAGACTGTTGATGAGAGTGAGGAGAGTGATTGATCACAGATCATGACTCAGTGATCCACAAGTGAGATGTGATGGACCTTTGTTCGACTGGTTCCAGGATTCAGTGGTGGCATGGAGGATGCTGACCATGACATGTGGCCAGGGGATGTCACATGCACACTCACACTCACATGCGGGGCTGGAATGATGCCAATTTTAAAAAAAAGGAAAAAAAGGAGAGAGAAATCAAATATACTGGGGCAAACAGAGCTAGAGGGATCAGACAGACAGATGGACCTCCATACAGGTTAAAAACACAGCTACAGATGAGGACATCGTATGTTCAGATCAGAGAGACACATGCACTGGAATCCCTAAGAGGGATCATGCTGGCAAGCCCTTGCTGCTGATTACTGTGGCTGCATTTCCATGCAATTCCCTACCTTTTAGGCTTGCTCTATCTCAAATCCATTTTTAAATTTCCATGTGTCTTTCGTGTAACATGTGTTTGCCTCTGTGTGGAGGTCTCTGTCTCATCACATGAATCAGCCATGAATATGTCAATAATGATCCTGTACCTGTGGGTTCCCACCATATCCCAATGAGTTGCTGCATGTCAATAAGTTCTGACTTCCAGGTAGTGCATAGTGATAGTTCTTTTGGATGAAACATTGAATTCATTTTTCCAGAAGGATACTTCGTTGCATGATTGTGAAGTCCTCATTAGGATGGAAACATGAACAATGGATGCAGCACTCATTACAGAAAAAAGAAGCATCAGGAAGGAGTTGAGTTATATAGATGAAATTTAGTTCATGAACATATGAACTCATAGAATCAGTAGTATTGTAAACAATTACAGTTTCAAGATAGTGTAAAAAGGTCAAAGGAAATGAGAGGGCATCTCCACTCATGCCAATTAACTTCTGCACCACTTCTGAGAGTTTAGCAGAGAGGCAATGGAGATATGCATTTGAAGACGGTCCACAACCTTCACCGCTTCCAACACACGCATCATTGCATGTGGGGGAGCATTAGCCCAGTGGTGAGAGTGTTGGCATTGACACTGTTTCCCCATTAAGTCTTCAATAATGACCTTGAAGCTTCTTGAAATATATAGTTTTTTACCACATTATTACAAAGATCTATTCCAAACTTCATCCAAGAAGCTCAACTCCTACTCTGTGGTTCTTTTTGACAATGAGTGTATGATTCTTTTTGGTTATCACAAACAGATGCAAATTCATTATAATATGAAGTGATGCAAAGTCACATTGACTTACCTCTATATGATGTGGGCTCACTGTAGACACTGTCTGTGTCTGAGGACCCTCCTCCAACTCTCCTACGTGGGAATGTGTCCGAGGTCCTCCATACTCCTCCGCCACCTGATCCATTACATGAGTCAACATTCTCTTTGAATCTCATAGCATGCAGTGGACAAACCTCTTATGATGATAGCAGGGGAGAGCTAAAACACTAACGCATCGGTACCTTCACTGGATGAGCTGGATTGTCTCTGAAAGATGACATTAGGGGAATCTCCTCTCATCTGAGTAGTGATGCTACTCTGCCACGTTGGGCTGTCCTTCCGTCTCCATGGACTCTCAGGCTCCTCTCTCTTCTCGCCTCCAAATGAACCCTCAGATCCACACCTAATTCCCATACAAAGATCTAGATGATCACATGGAAGCCTTATGGTCACCCTAATGAATACAGTAGGGTTGTACAGTATTTGTAGCATGATGACTTTTCAAGCCTGATCTTGGATAACTGAAACACTGTTCAGAAGATGGTAACCCAAATCCAGTCCTTGCTAAACTTAATTCATCCATCAACAATACCTCAACATTTTAGCATTTCCAACCTTGGAGCATCTGAGTTCTGATGGCTGTATGGGTGGAAGGTGGTAGTGATTGGATGATCTGGGAAATCCCGAGGATGGAAAGGCACCCCAAAATGCGATGAGAATCTGCGTGTGGGAAATGCCTCTTCCTTGTTGATCCTTCGAGTCAGACTCCGCACCTGAGTGGGACAAAAGTATATCAATCGTGATTCCTTGCAACAGGTTCAAATATTGCAGAGAGGCAACTTCCAGGAATATTTCTTACCCGTGAGAGAAGAGCACTGAATAAGGATTCAGCAGTCAATATATCGAAGCCATCATCATCGTCATCGTCTTCCCCTGCCGAGCTGAAGCTGTCAGACTTTTCCACCCTCTCTGAGGGGGGCATCCTGTGTCACGAGACCAAAACACCATGAAAAGATGTGAACAAGAATCAAGAGGAGAATATATTGGTAGCTTTCAATCATGCTGGTTCACCTCATGGTGGTTCTTGGTGGAGCTCCAGGCAAGGGTCGCTCGTTGTTTTCCTCTGTAGGCTGGTGTTTTCCAAATGAACTAAGCCTTTGGAGCCCTGAGGGGATGGGGTGTCCCTCTTCATCTGTTCGACCTCCAATGTCATTCAATAAACTGTCAAAGAAATCATGCATTATGCAAAATATGCAACTCTACCACTGAGGAAGAATATAAGAAAGCAAATAAATCCTATAATTTTTTCAAACTGCACACACTTCTGTGTCAGTGTCAGTTTTGGCACAGTTTCAGGCTTCCTGATTTGTTGATGACTCAATCAAAATGCAGAACTCACATGTATCAGCATGTTACTGTAGTTGTTTCTGAAAAGATGCTGCTTGATTTTTCTCAAGATGGGTGAACTCTTGTAGATCATGCATTGAATTTCAAATGTTCTTTTTAAATAACTAGCATCTCTACCACCATGCACAGCAAGAGGATTTTGCATGTACTTCTCCATATCACAGTTTTTCTGGTGGATTTCTTTGAATTTTCATTTTCTTGCTTTTCTCAACACCTGTCAAAATTAACCTCAAAGTGGGAAATTGAAATTTCTCAGACAGAAGTCCATCCCATAGTAAGGACTTCAGCCTAGAGCATGACAGAGAATAGGTGAAGCTGAGACAAATCTGTAGAACCTAGAAAACTGAGTTGTACCATAAGGTGAACCCCCCCCCCTTCTACTGTGCCAAAGTAAAACCTTTTTTCTTTCCCATCCCACTTAGTTCAGAAAATAAAGCATTTTTAAAATTGAATTTCTTGAAGGAGGGGTTTCTAAAGCAACAACTTTTGCCTTCTGCAAAGATGAAGAGGACAATTTTCTATCTGTCACCTCAGTGGCTTGGGTACATGTAATGAATGGATGTGAAGTAAAATAAAAACTAATATTCCCACCTGCTTCTCTTGGTTCTGAGTGGAGATGGGCGAGTCTTGGACCAGGGCTTTGGCCATTCAGGTGCTTCATTGGTGGCTGGTCCAGGTGTAGAAGTGGGAGTGGCATAACCTCCACCTTCTAATGCTATTGGGATTATATACTCCCTGGCACTCTGCCGCAAAGGTCTTAGACCTGGAGGTGTGTGCAGCCCGTTTTCACTTGATGCCTGTGAAGAAGATTCACTCTGGCGGGAATTGCTGCGTTCCAATGGCAGAGGCTGAGGCTTCATTTGTTCCTGAGTCTCTTCCATAAGGATAGGAATGACCCGCTCACTGGTCTTCCTCTGAATTGCTTTTGCAGGCCTTGGCCTTCCAGTCTCCATGCTTGGCTCCACAGATGTGGCACGTTTTGGCATCTCAGGAGCTTGCACAGGGAAAGCCACTTCTGACCTTTGAGCTGTGTATTTATGAGGAACATGTCCATCCTTATTCTCAGCATTTGACAGCTCAAACTCTGCATGAGATATTCGTCGTGGTTGACCCTGAGCCGATGGTGTGCTAAACTGCTTATTGTTAGCTCCAAAAGCAGCTTGGTATTCAGTAATATTGGTTGGAGTGGTTGCATCCTCTTCATAAAATGACCTCCTCTTTGATATCACCTCCCCTTTTGGCTCAGAAATCTTGCGAAGGAAACTGGTCTCTGTGCCAGCTATGTCTGCACTGGTGGGTTCTCCATGATCGGGGATGGGAATGGGAGGCGGAGACTTCAAGGAATGCAGGGAACTAGGTCTCTTAGGACTCTCAGTCAGAGCAGGAGATATGATGTCAGCTTTCGGTGTTGTGCTCTGAGAACTGGATGGAGTTGACTTGGGTGTATTAGGAGGGGACTGGACCATGAGCAAGGCTTCCTTTGTTACATTTGGTTGGATTTCCAGCATCACTGACTTCATTCCTTGTTCAAGTACAGGAGGGGGAGATTCTTTCTTGGCCTGGTGTGGCTTGGGAATGTAGAGACGTGGAGGTGTCTTTGAGGGAGATTTCCGGCGTCCTTTACCCTTCTCTGGTGGCTTCAATGATTTTTCCTCCTTCTTGGTCTCTTCTCTTTCAACACTCTTCCTTGCTAATTTCTCCTCCCTCTTAATTTCTTCCCTTTCTTCCTTTAGCTGTGTCTTCTCCTCTTCTGCTGTCTTCTCTGTGGCACTTGGAATGGTTTCCTCCTTTTCAGGAGCCTGAGGGCTTTTGACATTTTCATCTTGAGATTTCAGTGCCTCTACCATGACTCCAATCTCCTCAGTCACTTTCTCCACTTTCACATCTGCCACACCACACGCTATCTTTTCTTCTTCAGGGGATGGAGTTGGTTCCTTTATCCCAGATTCTGGTTCCCCCTCTGTTGGAAGGCCTTTACTTTCCTTTCCCTTGGCTGTTTCGAATTCCTTCCGAGAGGTGACACTCTTGCCTCTCTGGTCAACACTCGACTTAGAGGGCACTCTCACAGCAGTTGAGCGGCGAGCACTGGGTCGACGCTGGACCCCGTTCTTCCCACTGCTTCCACTGCTTTCATCGCTGTCACTCTTGAGGGAGTCCCGTCTCTTTGGGGATTCTGAGGACTTAAGGGTGGGAATTTTTGTAGGAGGAGACGTTTCCCCGCTCTTGGTAACTGAAGTTGGACGTTCTGACTTGGGTGCCTGGGACTGGCTACGTGTCACCCCATTGTCTTCAAATTTCTTTTTGGCATCGGAGACAGTTCGGCTTGGGATCACACTGGGTGGCTTCTCTCCACTTCCATTGCCTCCATTCTTCAGTTCAAACTGTTTCCTAGCATCACTGATCTTCACTCCAGGAATAAGCACCTTTTTGGGTCTCTCAAGTGTCTGTGATTTTCCTTCTCCTGGCTTTGCAACTCCTCCATCAAACATCTTAACAGCCTCAAGAATGTTACGAGAGTTTTGGCGTGAGTAACGTGGCTGAGAAGAGCTCTCGCTCTTGCTGGACTCTTCTGGTACCTGCCGAGATGACTGAGGTCCTGTTTTGGTTGATGCTCCCTCTTTCTTGCTCCCAACTTTAGTCGTTTTCACCTTAGTTGTACTCGAGTCTGACTTTTTAGTCTTGTCTGCTGGAGATTTCTTTTTCACTATCTTCTTTGGTGTGTCAACACCTGGAGATGAAGGCTGTATTTCAGTGGGAGATATTGGCTGCAATTTGGCACTAGTGTCCACTGAGGGAGTGATGACAGTGGTTTCCTCACTTTGTTCTGGTAAAGAAGATGCATCTATTTTACATGTATTTTCTGTCTCAGTCAAGTTAGTTTCCATTTTGATATCATGTGGTTTCATATCCTTCCCTGAAGGTTGCACAGCTGGATGCTTGCATTCAGATTTGGATGCGTCCTGAGTTTCAGGAACAAGAGGAATTGATTCTTCAACAGAATCAGAGCCTTTGTTATTTGAAGGCTTGGCACATTCTGAGTGCACTTGTGGGTCAATTTCTAGTTCAGTCACTACTGACTGGTCCACAATATGAGGAGATACATCTTTGGAGGGGGATTGTGGGAGATTATCACAGGGAACTGCAGCTTTCTCCTGTGGTTGTGAGTGCTGCTCTTGCTTTGAATGCGCAGGAGAAACTTTTGTTTTGGAAGACTCCAAGGGGACATCTTCCTCATCCCCTTCTTCATCATAGTCCACCATGCTAGAGAGATTTGGTACACTCTTGGACTCTTTCTTCAAGCGGCTCCTGAGGAATGGACGCACCGCTTTCTTGGTGGGAGTCTCGGGTAACTTCTTGGCTTTCTCGGAGACATCCTTGAGGATGCGTCGGGCATCCTCTGAAGATAAAGATACCTGCTCTTGCTCTCCAGAGGCAGGTTCAGAAGGAAGTGCCTCAACTTGCTTTGATGGCCGAACATCTGCAATGCTTGTATCCTTCAACTTCCTCTTCCCGGAGCTAGGAACTTCTGGGATGTCAACATCCTCATGGATGGGAGGTTTTGGGGCTTGTGTACTAACTGACTGATCCACTTCCATGAGGCTACCACTGGAATGGTTACGAGCAAACATGTCGGCACTGTTAAGATACTCATTCATGGGGTCACGATCAGCAGCACTTTGGTGCTGTTGGGTGACACTGGTGGAGGGAGCCTCTGCTGATGTGTTTCCCAAACTCTGAAAGGGAAAAAAAATCCCTATTAATAGCACTGAACAAAAAGAGTTCAACAGGCAAGCCCAAAAACGGCTCAAAACAAAAATTGCTGTAGTTCTATGCAAATAGGTTGGTTTGATATATCATTCCACATGCTCTGCTTATAGATAAGGAGAGTGGAATAGTAAAAGCAGGAACTGACCAGAGATGCTGATACTTCATCTTGGTCATCAATGACAAGCTTTTCAGTGGATGTGGGGCATGGAGCAAGGGAAAGGAGGAGGTCCAGGCGAACTGGGGTCTGACAAGCCAACTCGTCTGCCACCTCTAAGCAGGACACTGAATAGCCTTCATTCACCCACCAATGGGAGCAGATATCCTCAATATCTGCTCTTCGCTTAGGTGCTACTGTCAGCATACTGCGAATCAACTCAGAAGCATCTGCCAGAAGAATATCCATAAAAGTTGAATTCAAACACATCCAGCATCAGAAGGAGTAGGGCTTCATAGCATAACATGGAAATACAAACCTGATGGCTTCTTGGGCTCATAATACTCTCCATTAGTTATCTGCTTGACAAGTCGCTTGAAATTGGAACCGTCAAATGGCATGGCACCATACACCAATGTGTAAAGGAGAACACCCAATGACCTTTTTCAAGAGAGCAAACAGACACATTTGCCAGACTGTTCATACAGAGCAAGCCTAGAAGTACTGAGAAGCAGGGACTCATTCTTACCAGCAATCAACTTCAGGACCATAGTAAGGAATACCCTTAACGATCTCTGGTGAGGCATACAATGGACTCCCACAAAATGTAGTAAGAAGATGCTTCCCATCATACACATTGGACAATCCAAAGTCTGCTATCTGTGGAAGTTTTAATCCAAGAGAGTGCAATATATATTTTATTTCACAACAAAATATTTGACCTTCCAGGGGCTGCAACAATAACAGATTTTTTCCATACCTAGAGCAATGATATCAGGTTCTTACTGATATTCAGTGCAGTGGCCAGATATTGGCAAAATTAGGTGCAATTTTGCCAATATCTGATATTCTGGAGATGAAAAAACCAATAGCCAATACCTGATATCCAATATTGTTAATTCCTAATTAATTAATTTCTTTACATTAATAAGCTATCTAGAGTATCCATGCTTACAGTGGATCGTTAAACAGGAGTAGGTGGAGCATCACATTAGATATGATCTAGCCCTATGTGTACTCATTGGATCTCCTATTGCTAATGTTACTACCTCTGAGGAAAGAAAATAAACAATAACAAAAATATCAGATGTCATGCCCTCTTATATCTAATACCTAATAATAAAACATATAATGTTTATATCAACCAATGTCTGATGCTGATAAAATATAATTGCAGCCCTCTTTCTTTCTCTCACCAGGAAAATAAATATACAGAAAAAAAAAAAAACATTTTGCAGTTGGACATGGCATTGATTAATTATGGAAGTTTAAAAATCTATGGTGGTTGTTCTCAGAACAGAAGCTATTATGGAAGCCTACACATGAATGCATGGCTGGCTATGCTTTTCTTTTTCTTCTGTCTTTCATCTCGACAAGAGTTCTGAAAATAAACTTGGCAGAAGCAACAGACTAGTATAGGCTTGGGATCTCGGGCTATCGTTCCTCCTCACCTTTGCATTCCCCTTCTCATCTAATAAGATGTTCTCCAGCTTCAGGTCTCGGTGGCAAATTTTGTGCTGTGACAAGATGGAAAAGATTGACAGACATGAATAAAACAGGAGCTTATTACACTTTAATGAGCTGAACAAAATCATGAAATAGAGATGAGCTCTAAGAAGAAGGGCAAGGACATCATGCTATTGCCTCCATAATAAAATTGAAAGGACCTTTCCTAACTTATTCCTTGTCTTTCTCACCTTGTGACAATAATAACAAGCTGCTGCAATCTGACGAAAAATGCGCCTGGCTTCTTCTTCGGGAAGAACTTTCCGTTCACTCAAGTAATCATACAGTTCTCCTCCTGCTGCATACTCCATCACCAAAATGATTTTTTCCCGATTCTCAAACACTATGAAAACCAATAGAAAAAGTTGTTTTGACCTTTTTCAAATGTCAACTTCCCATCATGAGGAAGAATACCATGCACAGATATGCATATTTCTTAAACTTCCTTCCACATTTGCATGAATTAGGAAACAATGGAGGGTGGAGGAGGTCACATGTTAAGTGTTCCACCCCTCACCTTCATAGATGTGGATGATGCTGGGATGCTGGACAGATGACATGATCTGGATCTCTCGACGGATTCTAATCAGATCTTGATCTGTCTCTATCTTTGCCTTTTTGATTGTCTTGATTGCCACCTGCATAGAAAAATTTAACATTCAAATGCACTGTTATGCAATAACAGCCTCTGTCTTAAAGTTATAATTTTTGCAAAGAATCAAACTCCATCAATGGCTGCCAACCTATGCAATAACACCACAGCACTGAAAATCTAGAATCCAAAGGGGTGTTTAAGATGGTCTAATCACTACAGTTGACTGAGAACCAGAATCTGTTAGACTGGACCGGATTTGGTTGCAACATCAAATAGGTTATGCATCCATATCACCTTGCACTTTGTGATATGCCAGTTTCAAGTCAAACTGCCTGTTAAACCCATAGTGGACCTGCATGTCAGAAAAAGTAAGGTTGACCAAAAATCATACCAGATGACTGCCTTCTTCTCTGCTAATTCCATCTTTTCCCATGATCAGTGGAAAACAATCCACCAAAGCTCCAACATACATAGTGAGCCAAAAAAAAGTAAGCCAGTAAAAAATTACTATTAGAGAAGCCATATATGTAATAAATTAGTAGTTTCCTGCAATATTAAGAGGAATGAATTTGATATATACCAGTCAATTTTCACCATGGCAGAAATGGTATAATATTGATGGTATGTCTTTGATAAATGGGGTTCATATTTACCTGCTGCCTGCATCAGCACAAGCACGAAATTGGCATCAGCTCTCATCAATTGCACTCTCCATCATATCATAAAGAATTTTGCCACATTGATGATTTACTTCTATAGTTCCTCAAACGTGTTGATTGCAGCCTAATTGTGGTGATAAACCATATCCAAAATTGCACCCCAGATCCAATAGTCAACAGGGTAAACAGTGAGATGAAACCAGAGAACTAGAGTTCCTCTAACAGCTGAACAGTCTCAACCTGTATTCTGTAAATTATCTAGTCAAGAGTGCAATTTTAGATATGGTGTATCATCACATTCAGCCTGAATTAACACTTTTGTAGACCTACAGAAACAAATTATCATAACATGTGGTTCAATTCCTCAATATATAATAGAAAGCATCATGTCGAGTAGTGATGTTGACTGTGCTTGCGCTTGAGCATGCAGCAATCGTTTTGAACATCACTTTTCATAGACATACTGCCATCATTCCAGCTTTCTCACTGAGACAAAAATTGCCAAGTAGGTTTAGAATCCATTTCTTTTTCTACTGCTGGATACCACATTTATATTTTTAAATGGCTTTATCTATTGGATTAACTTCTGCTGGCTTACTCCTTTTTGACTCACCATGCAATTATTACATGTTCCTTGTAAGGGCTCAATCATAGCCTCTGTTAGAGCATCTGCCAGTAAGCAATCCACCATAGCCCTGGGCCTGTTTGTGTCAGTTGTTTTTGAGACATACAAGGTTCTACCTTCATCTTCCAGTCTGCAACAAGAATGATTAATTTTCGAGGGCCAGAGGCTGGTTCCTGATGATCCTACATAAGTTCTTGTCACCATGACTGACTGCTTTTTCCCTGTAAGATTATAATTCATACTTTCTTATCTTTTAAGTGATAGCATGACTTGCTAACATATTTGAGCTTGTCCAGCTTGTACAACAACAACAGTACAGCCCCACTGTTGTTGTACAAGCTGTTGTTGTCCAGCTTGTACAACAACAGTGGGGCTGTACTGGTATAAAAAAAAAGGATAGGGATGAAAAAATACTAGCTCAGACATAATCTTGAGAGTCCTTTCCATGAATTGATAAAATAAATTTTAAACAACTCTCCCCCTCCTCTCTCTCAGACTAATGGATAGGCCTCATTAATTTTTTGTTTCCATGTAATAAAGAGTGAAATGATGAAAATCCCTCAATTAAGACAAGCCACTGTCAATTGGCCTCCATCTAAACCAAGTTCATGTAACATAAAAATGTTACAATTTGACAAACATTGTTCACCTTGTAATCTAGGCTAATTGAGGTGACTAGAAAGAAAGTCATTCCATTAGAAAGTCAACCTCATTGACAAAATGGAAAAATGCATGAAAATCAATTAAGTGCCTTTTGAAAGATACAAACTGACAATATGAATAGCAGTTGGGTTTTATTTTGCAAAATTTTTACATTGAAAATAGACAGTTTGTTGTTCAGAGGAACTGAATACCATTAAATTCTGCTTAAAATGTTCACTACCACCTAAGAGAGAAGCATAGGCTATGCACTGCGAATAAGACTACTATATCCTTGCATTCTGAACTTTCCATTTGCATCAGAAATACTCCACCTCGAATTATCTTCGAGATGGAAGTCACAAACTTACTTTAAAATAAATAGGCATCATCATTGGATATTTCCAATAAGAAAAAAATCACTGGAAAAATATTTTTCCTTTTTTTTCACCACTCAAAATGAAAGATACTGGAGGAAAAAACTTGAAACATTTTTAAATTCACAATTTCAAATGCACTGAATGATTTCTTCAGCTAGAATTCAAGTTTCCATTACATTTCGAGAAGCAAGAGCCATAATTTTTCAGTCTGGAGAGTTTTCTTAAATCAAAACTTAGCACTTCCTGAGAAGTCTTTCAGTGGCCTCTCAGTCCACCAAGTTATGCACAGGGCTGGTTATTATGCATATCACCACAATGTGCAAAGAGCCTTAATATAGACTAAGCTTTCCCATGAAGCTTAGCTTTATAAAGGACTCAGCCCTGGAAGACATTCTCTACCCTAGAAACAAGAGGGTCCACATTAATTCGTCTGCTGCAATGAATGACAGCTTCTTAAAAGTTGCATGGCTTTCTATATTAGCAATTTCATTCCATTTAATCCCAGGACATGGTTTGGTTTACAGAGAATACCTTAAATTATGGCATTATGGCTATAATGACTAACTAGCGATGTTCACATGACAATTATTTCTTTTACATCATCATAATACTAAAATTTATTGAGGATATTAAGAAAATTGCAGGAGTGATGCCACACCAACCACCTACCCACTCATCATCTCCTGAATTTATTGTTCCCTGATATAGGATGCACCTTCAAATTTATTCTGAATCACTTGTTCTAAATGAAGCAGCATGGTGCTGAGATACGAAGTAAGTCAGGGGATTCTTCATCCCAATTCTCAAAACTCCCAAAATACCTTAGGACTATTATTTTTCACCTTTACCTATTCAATGTCTCATGTTCAATTTGATTCACCACACTAAAAATGGAGTGTTCCAGAATACCTGTCACTTGCATAAAAAGTTTATTTATTTTACTGTACTTGCTTTTCCACACTTTACTGCTATGTTTGTGACAAATAATGTGTTTATGTAAAGTTTCTTCATTTCACACAATTTCCATGAAATTACAGAGAAAGCATTTGAGTGTCTGGTTTTGAAAAACAGGTGAACATTTGGGTGCTCAGCTTCAAAAAGTGACAAGTGTTCTGCAGTGCCCAGTATATCCCCCTCAAGACTAAAATTATGTCAGCTAGAAAAAAAAATGAAATGAGGATACTTTCATTTTTGCTTCAAAGGTGCATCCAAAATCATGAAAGCCATTAGGATATAATAGCCTTATTGATTATAGTAATTTTAAAAAATAATTCTCAGTAAGGTTATAATTCTCAAGGTCTACCTCAAAACTTTATTAAAACCATCCAAAAGATCATCACCATCTACCATCCATCTTCATCTACCAACCATCTAGCATCATACTATCCATCATCTTCACCATCCACATTATTTCATCAAGGGCAAGAGGAGAGATTGAAATGTTTCAGATTCACACCCTAAAAAGCACAGCACCACTAAGATATTAATAATTATTATTTACAGTAACTTCAGGATTTGAAACATCCACTCTGATTTACCCCTGATGCACTTGGGCTTTCCCTCCACTACTCTTTCTTTCAGGAACTCGCTTTTGACTGTTGATTCCAAAATACAGGGTGGTCCAAAAGTCTCCATACATAGGGAAAAACTAACACTTTTTAACAAAATTCAACTTTATTCACAAAATATGCTTTATATGTTTGCCATTACTTTGAAAACACATACGGATGCGACTCTCCCATTCATGGTGAACTCGCATTAATACATCTGGTGTTATATGCGAAATTGCATTTTGAATGCGTTCCTTTAGGTGATTCATGTTCTTCTTTTGACAAAGGCATTCTTAAAGGGTATCTGAAAAAAGGAAAATAATTCAATATGTATGTAGAACATATTTAGAAAATAAAGTTACACTTTCTTAAAAAGTGTTCATTTTCCCTATGTATGGAGACTTTTGGACCACCCTGTACAATTCTTAAGGGTAGTGCAATCAGGACCTTCGAGGGGTAATGGAGCTAAGGGCTGTTTCCATCCAACTGCCCTTTTAGGAGGGACAGAGAGCAAAATATGGGTCACGTCCATTCCAGTTCGATTCAAACCGAGTCTCTGCAGGGTCCTCGATTTACTCAAGCGTGTCGCAACTTCTTTCATTGTCTACGCCGCCCTAGTAATCTTTGGCTTCATTGATGGTCGACGCTAGCCGGAGTCAGATGATCTGGAAGCTGGACATTATCATAACATGTCACGACCGTCAAACAACATGATGGAAGGAGCAAACAGAAAAAAGTCGTGCAACCAAGATGACCTTCAACGCCCCTCGTAGAATTCCAAACGCCTCTGATGCGCTATAATGAATGAGATTTTAATAGGGAAAAAAGCGTCGAATTCCCGTGGTGACTGGGATGAGGGAGTACAAAAAAGAGGAGGAAAATCGGAGGAAAGGGGAAGGGAAGACAAGACAAGAAATAAACATACCCGCTTTGGCAGCCTTTCAAGTTGTCCCTACTGCGTAGGCACTACACTCTCGGCATAGGGGCACAGTAGGGGCCAGGTGAAGTAAGAGGGGGGATGAGGGGAAAAAAAAAAATCTTTTAGTCTTCCTCGCCTCATCTTCGGCAGGCGAGCAGAAGAAAAAATAGTTCCGGGGCGTGACAATCGACTCATTCATATGCGGAGACACACGCACGGGAGTGAAACAGTAGATTCATCTCCTCCAAGGACGTCTCTTTCTCAGACAAAGATTTACATTAGAGTTCCATACTCGGCTCACAGATCGACAAAAATGGGCAACCCGGAAGAGAAATACCAAACGAGAAGGGAGGGAAAGCTGGGAAATCCATCGCAAGGAGGGAGCAAGAAATGGTCAAGAATCCCCGGCCATCAGTTCTTTATCTACCTTTTCCTCCTTATCGCCTCTGCCCCTTCCTCCTTATCCTCCCTGCCCTTTCGTCTCGACTCGATTTCCACACTCGAAACACCTGCAGCCCGCGACGATACCCGGACAAATTCGTGGAAGCCCCAACACAATGGAGCGAACGAATCCTGGATGTCATGAATGAGAAACGAGGACCGGAGAAAGGGAAGATGGGAGTCGCGCCCATGACCTCCGACCTCTGACCTGCCACCACCTCCGCCCTCCCCCCTGCCCGGGGGAAGGTGACTGGCTGATGAAGTTCAGACGATGACTCCGCTCGTAAATACACGCTACAGAGCTCATAATCGAGGTTCGCGAGCGAGTCATGGGCTCGCGTGTGAGCTGCATGCCAACTAATGGGGTCTCGAGACGTCTCATTGGCTGCCATCGCCTGTCAGCATCGTGCGGCATTTGTCATGCCTGATGCAGATAATCGGACTGAAGCTGATTAAATCCTTCCTGGGCAGATATACTTCTGAAAAACTGCTTCAGAAGGCTATAAAATATCGATCATGCTGACATGCGATATAAATTATGGATGAACTCAACTGTACTTCTGGAGACAAATCGGCGAGTTTCTCCATCAGACAACGAAACGGAAGTTTTCAACCCTATCTGTCAACTCCTCGGTTTACATCAAAACGTGTTCTTCACCTAATCGAATTTAGAAGCACCTTATAATTCATCAACAGGTGAATGCCTCTTGCTATCACCATTTGTCTTCTGTAAATTTCCTTCTCGCGTGGTCAGCAGCCCAAATCTGCAACTCGCTGGAGGAACTGAACCAGTCCTTGAAAACCGAGAAAAGGTATTCTTACAGCCATCTAATCACCTACTCAAAGCAAAACGCACCCGTGCGAGCAGTCACGTTCGCGCAAAATCGCAGCATCTGATTGTACTTTTACTCAGAAAAGATTCAAATCGGTTTTGCGTCAGTCGCAGCCCATTCTAAACCCGCTCGAGTCACAACTATGACAACCAGTGATGGCTCAATTCTATTATAGTGTCGTCTCTATGGTCACAAAATATTAATTTATTACCTCCATAGTCCAGTCGTACCTAATTCGGAAGGATTATGTTCCAGTCACATTTATTCACAAGTCAAGAACGAAATCAACTTGGTATTCATTCCATCACACTTAAGCATACATCGTATTTAAAATTCGCGTTGCCATGAGGCCGCGGAGGACCGTAATTACGACAAAACCTTAGTTTTCGTTATATTTTCCGAATAAATTAAATTTTGTCCACTTCCATCGCTGAAAAATTTTTAAAACTAATTCTGCTATTCATAAGATGGTGCCTCGGCACCATTGAGATAGGTTCGTCTCGTCTCAGTCACGACTTTATTGCCGTCAAAATCGTATTTGGTCACATCGTAAATGCATGCATTTCATCTTCTTCGCCGTTAACGAGATTTGAAATGACTTCGTCTGGAGCCATCTCGTCACTGCATTCGTTAACGTAACATGACTCGATTAGTTGGCTTGGCTCCCGTGACAGGGGGACCGGGTTCGAAGCCATCCACTTCAGACACTTAATCCCGAGTGCAAACCTCAATGTGTTTGTGAAGGGGGACCCCTCGATCACGTAGCACGCCCGTCTCGAGACTTTGAAAAGCACCAGAAGGCCAAACCAGGAGAGAGCATCCGCAAGTAACCATTTTGGCTCTCCCGGTTTAGTTTTTGGCTAAATGGAGTTCTGGAATGATGTCAGATTCCTTCAGGTCATTGTAACGTAACGGGATTGATCGTGCTGTGAACCCAGCACCAGAAGAGTGCATGGTTCATTTTAATAAAACGTTGCGATGTTAAAGCCACTAACGTACCGTGCATGAAATTCAATTACGGGGAAGTTTAATTGATTGATGGTAGAAAGTTAATATCTCCTAGGCAAACCCTCAACTCCCCCCCCCCCCCCCCCCCCCAAAAAAAGAGAAAAAAAGAAGCAGTCTCTCACCTCTTGCCCGGTTTCCTTGTTAACAGCCAGCTGGACCTTCCCATATGTCCCTTGCCCCAGCTTCCGCATGATGTCGAATCTGCCCATCGCAAGAAAGGAAGATGAATTGATCAGGCGACAAAGAGAGACTCCCACGCATCCTTTCCCCCCTCTCCTCACCGATGCTTGAGCTTGTGCTTGTGCGTGTTGAGTCGGACCCCGGTGGCACCCTCCATGCCACCGGTGATGTTGGAGAGGGCACCCTCGCTCACCACCATCTTCCACGATGTGAGGCTCCCTTCTCTATCTCTCTCGTTTTCTCACTCACTCACTCACCTCAAAGAGTAGACAGCACACGGCTCGATATTAGATATAAAATACTTCATCAATGGAATAGATCAAACGTAACCCACGCAAAATCTGACAGGAGAACGAATCACCTGTCAAGGCACTACCATTTTTCGAATATTAATTAGTCGGCTCATTCAGTGGAAAGTAAATGCAAGTTTCTAAGCAGAAACGTACACTGTACAAACAACAACGCTCCTCTAGTGACGAAAACGGTGTACCATGAAGGCATGGGTATATAAGGGTATGCAGAGGGCCATAGAGAACCCATTTCTCTTCCAGGACACTAGACATAAATGAAAAAGGAATGTATGCTAATGACGTCACTTCCGGCCGACATGACGTCACTTCTTTGCAACCCTGGATTGACGGCCATCGCGGGAGGAGTAGCAGACAATGAATCAAGCCCGGACTATGAAATGTCCGCAATTTCCGGTCCCTAATTAATTAGCTAACTGGTTCAGGGTGTCTGAATGTGGAGGACAATGAATGGTCCTTCCATTCATGTAAGGATTTCTTACTCCTGACACCTGACAGGATTCGAGTGGGCGTACAAAGAAAAAAAAAGCTTGAAAAAAAAGGTAATTCCACACTAGAGTCTGAAGGGGTTGAGCATTGTTCCCAGGCGATAAAGAGGTCATGTAGTGAGTGCCTGGCACCCCCACTTATTACTCTGCGAAGCTGTGAAGGGACGGCGTGGGCCGTAGTCCCACCTGGAGGAAGGAAAAATAAATGGAAAATGCACATGGGAAGGAGGTCATGGAAAGAGGAAATGAGTCGGGTTCCCTTCCAACTCCGATTACACTCTGCCTATACGTTCCGTTCCCCGGTTAGCGGGGTAATGCATAGCGGCTCTGAAAGCAAATAAATTATTTCTTTTTCCTTTTTCTCCGCCTTTCTAATCCTCCCCCCCCTTCAAAGCAAGGGCAGATTTTCTCTCCTCTCAAAGGCGTTTCCGGTCGTGCGGTCGTGAGGTACGATTATGGATCCCATCCCCGACCTTCAGACGGTGCTCGTTTGTCCTTTCTCCCACAGCCTTTTTATGCTAATGCTGCGGGCATGTAATCGAGATCGGTATCAATTTCGCCTGCCCGTGCTCCAAATCGACTCTAGACGGGAACTCCAGAGGGGCCAAGGACTACAAAGGAACGGCTGGCTGTGACAGAAGAAGTAAATCGAGGTTTGGCTCAGTGCCCAGACAAACAAATAAAAGCAACCCAGTTCTCCAGGCTCCTCGAAGGAGCAAACTGGAATGTCATCGAGGCCTCAGGTCATCGAATCGACAAATGATAAAAAAAAAAACACCCCGAAACGGAGGAAATGACCACCAGATTCGCTCCTGTTCGCGGTTTAACGGAGCCAAACTCTTTCGCGGACCACAGACCTCATTTAAGCGTAATTCCAGTTACCATCTATGGCCAAGATTCCGTTCGTACTGTCTGAGAAAGGAAAAAAAAAAAGAAAAGGAAAAAAAAAGGAGGAAACCAGGATGATTATGATCGAAGGAGTGACTCACGAGTGGAGTCGAAGGACAGGTTGTGGGAGGAACTTCCAAAACGGGATCATCGTTCCAAAATGTTCGCTATCACTGTCACTCGCATCATTTACCACGCCTACCACTCGGGAACGGCGAACCCAATTATCGGACGGTCGACGAACGCAACTCGAAAGGTGCAGGGGACGCTCGTCATGGTTGTTAGCACGCGACGTGGAACGCAGTCGGCGGAGTCCCGGGGAGCCCGGCTCTGGACTGAAGTCCTGGATTCGGGAACTCGGCGGGGCCTACGCGGGTCGGCCACGGTTGCCGGATCGTCGGTCCGATCCGAACGCTTGGAATTTTAATTGGCTGGCTCGTTCGGGTCGAACGTGGGGAGACGGGATCCCGGGGAACGAGTAGATTAAAATCGCAGAGGTGATAAATGTAACGGGTGCGAGTGAAAGATATCTCTACCGAATGCGTTTTGCAGGATGCGACAACCCTGGCGACGGTATTGGCTCTGTCGTCGTCTGCAGAGACCAGGATGAGGAAAAGTAAATGTTCTGGAAAAAAAAAGAGTACTTGGCCTGGCCTTATGGCACTCCGTCAATCACCCCCAATCCATATACCACCCCGCAAACCCCATCATCATCGCAACCGCAATCGACTCTCGTCTCCTTAATCATTCCCCCCCGTCGGGAGACGCGGCATCGAAAAATCGGCGTACGAAAGAGCCTCGCACTCGGCCCTCCCGAAGCCCGTTCGCACGGAAGCAGGCCAGCAAGAAACGACGAAAAAAAAAGCGCCGAGCGAGCGGAAGAGGAAAGGCAGGGCACAGGAGGAACCGGGCGGAGCCATATTGGCTAAAAATAGGCAGAAGCCCAAGAGAAAGAAGAGGGAAAGAGAATGACTTTTTGGCATGGGACTCCCTCGCCGTCCTCCCCGACCAGTCTCACGCCCAAATGATATCCGAGATCCCCCCCCACCCCCAATCTCCAAGGGGGATAAGTTTTCCATCAAGACACGCCCCCTCCCATCAACTTTGTTCTTTCTCTGATTCACAGCGGGGGGAACCCCTCGCACCTCCGAGAAAACCGCCTGATGGCGTCTGCATCCAGGAAGAGGCCCCAGAAATAGTCAACGGCGTCAGTCATCGGAATGACGCGTGAATCACCGCGTGATTCACTCCCCCCCCCCCCCCCCCCCCCCCCCCCCCCNTGGATCCCCGCGTGTTTCCCCCCCCCCCCCCCCCCCCGCCCCCCACATTTTCGCTCGGGTGTTCATTTGTGTTCATCTGTGTTCAACTGGGAACTCGAATGCATTTCGGCCGCGCTCGTTCCGCGCCAGGCGACTGGCAACGGCTTCGAGTAATTGCGGCAACTAGATTAGTCACGCATCGCTCGGCTCTAATGGGTTCAAGCGCTTTCGAAGAATGTTAAGGGGTTATAAGAACGGAGATGAATTTCATAATTCATTTTATAATCAAGCTCTTCCAATAATTGATGTTTAATTCGCATCGATTTCGTACGAAGCCGCGCGTGTCCCGCGAAAGCGCCTTAGGAATTCATTAAAAATTCCCGGTTACGTCACGCGTCAAGCAGCCGATTGCGTTTCGAGATCGCTCTAGGCCTAAAAAGCGAAGGTCCACTCGCCCTCATCTCGACGAGGAAATCACCGGGGCCTCGTCCCCTGCGGCTAGGCCTACCACGAGCACACGTGGATCACTCACGGACGTGAAACTCCAGCGAAGGCACGACGACGTCACAGAAACCCGCGAGAATTCGCCGCATCGAGCCCGTCCACACACGTGCCGCTCCGTCCCAGCGCCGAGCCGCCGACTGACTGGCGTGGGCGAAGGCCACGGAAGAGACGCAACGAGAGCCTGGGGCCTAGGCCGGGCTCTTCTGAGTCGTGTGGGCAGCGCCGCTTGGCACTTCTCTCCTTCCTTCTCCATCTTCGCGTGATTCATGGGGGAGACTAGGGACATCTGCAGTGCCGATTCCGAACCACGACGCTCGCTCCGTCCCTCGAGATGGAGGGGTCGTCGGGGACGTCCTCCCCTCGTTCGAGCATCGCGACTCATCGACGCGTGCCATCCCGAGGGATTCTCGAAGCGAGAATTCGCCGTAAGCGCCTGATGGAATTTTTTTTTTCCGTTCTTTCGGTTGGCCTTCTCGCGATTTTGAGGTCAGAGACGTCTTCTGAGTCCCACAGAACTCGATGAAATTCACAATTCGAAGAAATTATTTATTATTTATTATTATTTTTTAATTTTTTAAAAGTTGCTATGAAAAATGAAACGATGAATTTCGTGAAAATTTCGCAGGATGATGCGACTTGGATTTTCTTTCCTGCGAGGATCGGGAAACCCTCAGTCGGTTTTCGAACATTTTGCGTTCCCCACGGGAGCAGTGAAGTAATTTGTCGATTCTTCAATAAAAATAAAAATATATATAATACAAATAAAATATAAATATAAATATAGAGAAAAAAAGAAGAAAATAATGATACTAAAAAATAAAATATTATAAGAAAGAAAAATGAATTTAAAGAAAAACCAAAGCAAATTACAGCTGCGAGTATGGGAAATTCTAACCGCGGTCACCCGAGTCCCGCATTCCATCCGAGGCATTCCCCTGTCCCCTTTTCCTTTTCCCACGACGGAACAAAGACCGGCCCTCACGCGATTTTCTTCGACGGTGCAAAAATCCGAAAACGGCGACGGGCTGCACTCCGCGTCACGCTCGGCCGCCGCGAAATCGCGCGGATAAATGGCGGGCGGCGATCGCGGAGGAATTCCTCTTGCGGAGTTGACTCCGCGCATTTTCCGCATTTTTCCGCGCGTCATCCGCGATTATTTCGAGTGACTCGGATGAGACCGGCCGCCGGTCATTTCGACCGGTCACTTTCAAGAAGCCGCGACAAAACGTGCGACTAAAAAAAAAAAAAAAACCTGCAGAGTTAATTTGCCATTAATTAAATTAATGCCTCACCCGGGTGCAAATTGCTTTGCCATTTTTTCGCAATCGCTCGTCAGTTCCGTTCCGACTGTTAAAGCAGATCAATGCCAAATTATTATTTATATTTAAATTTACTGTCAATTTGATAAGATTAATCGACCGATTAATCGATTAAGGTGTTAATCGCGATTTGAAAAAATTAGTCGAAATAAATCGAATTTTAATCTCCCCCCTAATCTCCCCCTGAATGCCTCTTTCCCCCCTAACCAACAACGAAAGCTTCATCATGGGAATGAAATGTAATGATGGCTTATAGAAGGCAGTCGTTTTCGAAAACTGTTTTTGAAAAAGGGAACACAAATGAAAGCCACCGCTTTTAGATTATTCCAAGAAGCTCCGTGACCCTTCGTGACCCCTCGTGACCCCTCCATTCGTGACCCCTCCGCATCCGCAAACGTACTGGCACGCATCCCGCGTCCTTCTGCCTAACCTACGGCTAAGGCAACGGCTGCCTCGGGCAGAGCGACCGAAAAGTCACTGGATGCGAATGGGGGAAAGAAAGTCGCAATGGAGCTGCAATTCGAGCACAGAAGGAAGAGGGAGGTTGAGCAGGGATAGCGGATCACTGGGAGTGAGAGGCGTACGCGTAAGTGCACCGGCGAACGTCCCCGGTGTCCCCGGAATCCTTGCTAGTCCCCGGAAAGTAAACCGAAAGAGGGTAAGAGCCGAGGGGGAAACGGAAAGTGTGAAACCCTTTCCTATTCCTATTGCTCGCTCCTATACGGTATTTCTTCTCCCATCCTGTGTTTCCCGAAAATCGTGAACGAATCTTTAAATTTCAGCGCGACGAAACGTCACCGTATGCGTCCAATCATTTTGGTTACATTTTTGCATCCTTCTGTCATGGATCGGCTAAATGGCAAAGGACCTCAGTGCGCTCCTTTCCTTACGTTTCATGATTTACCTCTCAAAGTTGTAACTATTTTCTTTCCGACCGGAATGTTTCACATGTAAGAAGAACTAGTGTCATGCATGGATCGCACTTAGGATTACTGATTTCTAGGACAGGATTAGATTAATCGGTCGATTGATCGATTAAATGACTCACGATCGATCGATCAAATTTTTTTAATCGATCGACAGCCCTAAAATTCACAATATCAGCCGTCAGCCCCTCCACACGACCAGACTCCTGCCCACCCTCGACCATAACGCCCTTGCATGACCTCGCTGAACATGACCTCGTTTCCGGTCAACATGACCAGAAGAAGGTCAGGCACAAAAACCCACCAAGAAAATCCTTTCCCGACGCCCAAAAGCAACGATTAACTGCCAACCGCTCATAAATCGGTAACTGTTAAAGCGAAAATGAAAAGCCGCGAATGCTCGCAAGGGCGCAGCGAGGGCGCAACGAGGGCGCAGCGAGGGCGCAAAGAGGGCGCAGCGAGGGCGAAGCGAGGGCGGGAATGGGTGGCGCTCAGTCACTTTTTTTCTTCGAAAAAAAAGACAAAAAAAAAAAATCAGTGCAATGCACGCAAGGAAAGGGTTTCCCTACACCCTCTCCCCTTTCCCTCTCCCCCCCTCTCCCCTTTCCCTCTCCCCCACCCCCTCTCCCCTTTCCCTCATCTC